CATGTTTCTTTCTTGTCTCCTCAACGTCGTCTCCATCTCCTTGTCTCTCTCCCTCTCTCACTCCCCAATATACCCCTCTCTCTTTCCTCGGCCGCCGTCTCCCTCCTTGAGGTGCTGTTGTTGTTGCTGCTGCCGCTGCAGGTAGACTGCGCAGGTGAACAGGTTTGTTTTTGTATCAAAATGTCCAAACGCTGTTGCACCTTTTAATATTAATAATAATAAAATGAGAAGCAAGAAACAAAAAGGCAATAACAAAAACGATGGAAATTGACTTGATTACCTAGTAGACTTGGGGATACTCTTAAATGGATTTAAGATAAGTTTTCTAGGGTTATAAAATCAGGAAGTATGTATTCTTAAGATACTTCTCCATAGAAAATGTTCTTCAAATAAACCTAAACCAAATGAAATATTTATATTAATCAAGGAAAAGAATATTTTCTAGGTTTTTATAGTTCTGAAAATTAAAATTATATCTTTTTTTTTCGTTTCCGACAAAGCTCTTAGGTAAACTGATATACCAAGTGTGTAAGTTAGGGTATGGAAGTGCTCCATTTGCAAGCGCATGCGTGACAGTGACTTGGGGTCTGTGTCGCTGCCCCTCCCCTTCTTGTATCCCCCCTCTCCCTCTTCCCCTCCTGCGCCCCTCCTCTCTAGATGCTGTAAAACGGCGACAACAGTAAAAATATTGAAATATTGTCAATCAAGGGGATAACACGGCGAGGAGGGGGTCCGATCGAGGGGGGAATCGTGAGTTGAGCGACAGAGACAGTCGCGTTCTATCTCCACGATAAGAGACACTAAAAGTGTCGCTATGCCGCCGAAACGCACTGTATAGCAAATAAAGTGGAAAATTAAAATAAACCAAAGGAGTACCGTAAAACCAAAAGGGGAAAAAACCAACCGAAAAAAAAAACGAGATAAAATATGTTTTACAGCTCAGAAACTTAATATGATCGGGTAAAGTGAAAGTAAGCAGAGCTATATAAGATATGTATATGCGAGGTGTGGGTATACATATATCTCGAACTGGGAGCGTGTGAGTGCGTGTGACATGCGCATTGACCGCGAACACTCCGATCAGAAGGCTAAAACCCGAAGGTTATCCTTGTGTATGGAAATTTCACAAGCTGCATTCGATTCGCACAATTTGTGGGGTTTCCGCATCGTAATAAGGAAAAAGTCCCTGCACTGAGCTACAAAACTGGGGATTAAAGACAGAGTGGAAAAACCACAATAAGCCACTTCCATTCACATGAGATCTACATAAATAGGTTGGGGGAACTTTTCAGCTATGCAAATGTCAAAGTTGAAGCTCGAAAAGAAACGATTTCGTCATTAATTATTATTAATTTATTTCACGGCCATCAAATATTATTGCACTTTAAGCTTCGCTTGAATTCAAATTTGGTTATAATTTACGTAGGAGATTCTATTTTTATAACTTTATAACATTATCAAATGTCAAAGGGTAAATTGCGAAAGGAAATGCAAATGACGCCTTATCAATTAAAATACATTTTATGGTCTGAACATGTGCCGCTGATCAACAAATTAATAATAAAAAGTAGCAACAATGAAATATGGTAATTTTTCTTCCAGTGAGTATAAAAAGAATTGCTAATTTTTAGCTGCCTATAAATTAAATCACACTGTACTTAAATTTTGAAGACAATTTAAGTACTAAAACTCGTGTCGCCCATTAATATTTTCTGGATTTAAGTCCATATCTAAGATACCCCTAAAGATTTCTATCAACGTATTTAACGAGCACTTTAATCCCGGGAATCGCCTTCGTTTTTTCTTCATTTTTGAATCGAATAAAACATTTGAATTGGCAATTAAAGAAATTATACGGATTTATGACGCTTTGGGGGGCGGTTGCATAAGTCTTCGTGCTTTTAAATAATGGAAAATGCATAAACAATAAAACAATTTTATTGCCAAATGGCTAGAATAATAAAATCGTACATCGTACATTGCTTTGCACTCAACTCAACCGAATAATCTGGCCAATTCAGGGGATCGTAAAACTTTATAATCCACTCTGCCGGAGGCTGCAATTTGCGAAATGCAATTGATGGAGCTTTTGCCTTGGCATTTGTTAAACGGAGCTTTAAGCTTGGGTTTTTGAGATCCCTGTTGATCAGTGTAATTTTGAGAATCGTTTTTTAGACTCATAGATATTTTCAAGAATTTTTAAGAATATTTTATGATAAGAATTGCTTATTAGGAATGCTCTATTAAGGATCTGTATTGTATTTTTAAATCTATTCAACCATTTCTGCAAAGCTTTCTTTAAATCAAATATATGAAAGATATAAGAGGAGTTTAAAGTATATAAATCATTTTCAAAGTTTCCTGTTGCTCAGTGTAAATTAAGACGCTGCAAGGGATATGTTATGCGGTGACAGACAGACACAATGGAAAGGATGGCTCGAAACAAAGGTCAACTGGCCTTATACGTGTATATACGGACTGCCATCCCCAATCCGATCTGTCTCTGTCGCCGCTTTAATTTGACTTTAATGAAAACGTGGCAAGGCGAACACTTTTGGGACGCAGACATTTTACTTGGACGTGGATATGGACGTGAATGTGGATGGGGATGTGGATGTGGATGTGGACATGTCCTCGGCCGCTTATCATGGGGGCCAGCAAACAAAACAAACTGTACATCAACCGAGGCCGAGAGACCAAAAGACCGAAAGACCGAGAGTGCGAGGCCACAGCCAAGAGCAACACGCAAGGTCCAGCACAGCAGCGTCTTCAGCGGCATGCCACAGTCTGAGTCTCAGTCTCCGGCGAAGTCGAAGTAGAAGTCTGCGTCTCAGTCTTTGTAAAAAGCCAGGCCAAAAGCAACCAAAGTCCGAATCGAAGTCGACGTTTGCTCGGTCCATATGCGGAAACGCAATTTTGTCGTTATTTATGGACCTTGCCGCGCATGCAACATGCACGCCGGCCAAACGAACCAGCGATGTTGCTGCTGTGTCCGTTGATGCTGATGTTGCTGTTGCAGATGCTGCTGCTGCAGTTGCTGCTGCTACAGCCTCCGCTATAACAGGATGGGACATTGCCATTAGAAGGATGCACTGAGAAAGAACTACTCAAGAGAAAAGTTCTAAAATAAAACTAAACAATGTTTCAGCTTGACCTCTTAAAAATAATCTCATACTGATATATCCATATTAATCAATTTTTTTTCCATTACTTTAAATACAATAAATGATATATTTCCTTTATCATCTGTATTCAATCTGTATTCTGTAAAGTGATATCTTTTCCCTCTAACTTCGATCTATTACCACTTTCCTGAGCTTAGAACTCTCGTTCCAAAACGGTTTTGTTCAGTGTAAGAATTATAGGAGGAGGCCGAGGAGGAGTCTGCAGATGCAGATGCGATGGCCATGGCCAAAGCGATGGCGTTGCAGATGTCCGAGTGGCCAACGATCCGGCGATCCATGCAGATGACGATGACTTAGTTGCGAGCCTCCGCAGCTCCGAGGCGGCACCTTGCTCAAGGAGGCTGCGCTTGCATCTCACCTCGCTAACGGTTCTCTATTAGATTAATTTATATTCAAATTTTTATTGCCCGCGCATACCACCGCTCGACGTCGACTGCTCTGAAATGAATTGCCAAGCGGATCGGAGGATCGTTCGAGGAGTAGGAGCAGAAGCAGAACGAGGAGAAGGAGGAGGTTGGGGCAGAAGGATGGGGTTTCCGTGGTGGATCTGGGTGTTATTAGCTCGCCTACTTGCACATTCGATGCACGCCAGAATGCCAAAGTTGTTGTTGCTGTTTGGTTGCTGTTGCTGTTGCAGGGGCAGCAATAACGTATAGGAGAAACAGTTACAACGGAAGCTGTCATTCCACTGGGGGAATGGAGGATGGAGGATGGAGCATGCAGCATGGAGCATACGAAGCTTGGGAGCTTGGGGATTGGGGTATGGAGTGGAATGGGCTTGGATGAGGACTCCGGCATGAACTCAATGTTTGGGCAGTGGAAGGGGAAGAGCCAGAATGCGCTGGCGTTGCCGTTGCAGTTGCTGTTGCTGTTGCAGCAGCAATGTTGCTGCCGTTGCCGCTTGGCCTATCGCAATAATTAACAGTAAAATGCGCGCGGCAAGAGCGGCTAATTCAAATGCATGAGAAATGCAAATGACAAACATTGATTTGAAAGGACCACGACGACTCAAGGGGGAACACCGAATCGAAACTAAAACTCCGCTGTCCCCAATTAAGATGTTGATGTGGCAAGCAACCGCTGCAGCAGCAACAGCAACAGCAACAGCAGCAACAGCAACAGCAGCAACAGCAACAGCAGCGGCAGTAACTCATACCAAAAGTCCAGCTGCAACTGGCCGCCATGACGAAGGCAATTAGTCGAGATTTATGTTGCCGATAGAACGGCGCTCAATGAATAGCTGAGTGGGCTGCACTGGGTTAAGGATATTAGCCGGAACATATTCTCCACGCTATCATATCATATCTTAGGGGGCATTTGGGAGACACTCTAACTAATTCGTAAAGTGTACATTTCATCTTATTCCCAATATTAGCAAAGGTTAACCGCCTACTTGTTAATAACCATTTGGAAAATCTAATGTTAAGTTGTTTAAAAGGTAAAGTATTCAGAGAAGTTCTTAAGATAAAGAGAAGACTTCAATTTTACTAGGGAAAGGATTTGCCTTATTCTATACTTAGAAATATATATACCAGAGAGCACTTTATATTAACTATGATACATTAACCTGAAGATGTATTGGAATTGTGGAGTTGTATAACCTATACAAAGTTTCCAAATAAACCCTTTTGCAACTTGAACTTTGAACCCTTTTCATTTCCAATTCAGCCACTAATTAAGGAGCACAGCTCTGCCGAACCACTTGGCAGTGGACCAACCCCTCCCGGCAGCAACCCCTTCGTTAGGTCAAAACGCCCTTGTGGACCACTAATCGCTAGGAAATCAGTAGGAAGGAAACCAGTGGGAAGCACTCACCTCTGCAGATGCTCCTCGACTCCCGCTGGCAGGGCTCCGTCGGCCACGATGTAGACGGGCTGTCCGCCGGCGCCGGTGGTGGTGGCATAGGGGAGTCCCGCCTGGACGACCACTTGGCCGTCGGAGACGAGGCTGCCGATGTCGCTGCCGGAGTAGATCTCGAGGCCCTTCTGGTCGGTGGTGGAGTAGATGACCGTCTTGCTGCCGTCGTTGTAGATCAGGTCGATGTGCTTGTCCGCCTGGTAGAGATCCGGATCCAGCTTCTGGGGCACCGTCAGGTGGGGCAGCTGCTTGACGTTCACGTTCACGCCGTTCGGATCGGAGGTGGTGTAGATGATGGAGCCACCGCCCGCGGCGGCTGCTGCTGCGGCAGCGGCGTGCTTCTTGTGGTCCTCGTAGATGTCCGCCTCCGTCTTGATCACGTTCCCGTCGTTGGCGCCGCTGTAGTGCAGCACGGAGGCGTCCAGGGGGAGGGGGGAGGTCTGGTAGACGGCCTGCCCGTGGTCGTTGTTCATCTTCTGGGCCTGGTTGTACATGGCCGTGGCCACCGCATTGTCGTTGGGCATCAGCTTGGAGGGATCGCTGACGATCCGCGTGAGGATGTGCTCGCCGGCCTCGTTCCTCGAGAGGATGTGGTGCTCCCCGTTGATGATCTCCCGCGAGATGATTTGCTGCTGCTCCCCATTGGGGCCCACCACCCGGATGATCTGGTTCTCGTCGAACTCGATCTTCGCCAGCGGCTGGTGCTCCGTCTGCTGCTGCTGCTGCTGCTGCTGTTGGCCCGCTTGGTTGCCCATTTGGGCCGCGATCCGCGCATCGATGGCATGGCCTTCGTCCGAGTTGCTGCCCCCGTCCGGTGGCATCACCACCTTGGGCGTCTCGTAGATGAACACCGCCTCCTTGTCGTACAGCTTGGAGTTGTCCGTGTGCAGGTCCAGCACGTTCACGTTCGTCATGGTGGCCAGCTCCGGCTGCGGTGAGTCCGGCGAGCGGTGCATGGTGGTCAGGAGGGGCACTCCGTTGGGCGCCAGTGGCGAGGTGTTGTTGTTGCCTCCTCCGTTTCCGTTTCCCCCTGCTCCTCCTCCTCCTCCGCCGCCGCCGCTTCCCTGCTGAATGGGTGAGAGGGAGGCGTCACTTAGGATCCCCACTCCGACTCCTACTCCGCCGAGGCGACTGTGGGCGTGCTGGTGGGCGTGGAGCTGGTGGGCGTGGGTGTGACCGTGGCCGTGGGCGTGGCCGGACAGCGAGAGCTCGTTGGACGTGATCACGCTCGTCGTGGCGGTGGATGTGGACATTATACGCTGTGGCTTCCGCTTACTGAACTAATTTGAACTGGATTCCGGATTGCACTAGGACCTGGTCGTCGTGGTCTGATCATCGGTGCCGCGATCCCCTCGAGAGTTGGCTATCACTGCTGGCAAGTATAAACATAATAAATATCACGTATCATCAACGGATTGATGGAAGGCACTTGGTGGTGGTGGTTCTAATTCTCTTCTCTTCGAGTTCCGGCAGCTCGTTCTTTCTTCTTTGTTCTTTCTTCTTTGTTCTCCGTTCTTCGTTCTTCGTTCTCCGCCGTAGTTTCGGTTTCGTTGGTGTTGGTTTTAATGTTGTTGTTGGTGTTGTTGGTTTTGTCGTTGCTTCAATTACTGCATTCTATGGCACTAAGGAACTTCCTCGATTCGTTCTCAGCTCAGCTGCAATTAGACAAGACAATGGTCTTAGTTAGTACCGCATAAATACTTAGGTGAGAAAGTGAGATAAAGACTTAGTCTAGTTTGTTTGGTTGCAGAACCTTTTTTGAACAACAATGGAAAAGTGTAAATAATGCCTTTAATTATCGATTTTAATTTTTACTTAAAATAATATAACTTTCAAAATAATTAATTTACATGAGTTTTTATGAATGTCAGGAAAGTCAGACCCTTTATGAAAGTTTCCTCAGATGTGATAAAAAAATGTTTAGTGTGTGGTCCTCCCACCCATCCCTACTTACTACTACTTATGCCCGCTAAACACCGGTTGAATCATGGCCTATGCTCCAAGGTGTTTCCCACTTACCAATCACGGCCCTACCACTCCGCCCCCTTCTCCCTTCGCCCTGCCAATTACCGATGGGGCCGTAAAAGGCCACAAAGCAACAATAAAAGTGGCAGTGTCTGGCGGCAGTCTGCTTGGCGCCCCGTGCCCCTGCCCCCCAGCCCCCTTGCCACCCTGCCCAACCCCCTCCACCTGCCAACTGCGATGCAGTCACACACCCCCGACGATCAACAAAAACAACAACAAAAAGAAAAACAAAAAGGCAAACATAAACGGAGGAGCCAGCGGAACGGGTTCAAACGACGAGCGATTTGCAAGCACACAACAAACAAACAAACAAACAAAAAGAGGGGCAAACACAAAACAAAAAACGAGAAACAAAAATCGGAAAACGGAAAATCACAAAACACGAAACACAAAAATAAATAAGCCGACTTGGCCTGCACACACGTGCCCGTCGAACTAGTTTGACTCCTTCGCAAATGTCAAACGTGTAACTGCATAACTCAGCGCGGTTCATCACATCAGCGGAACAGCAAACCAACAACAACAACAGCGAAACAACAACAATACAACAGAACAACAAAAACGGCCAAACAGGTGGAAGAAGCGTCGCTGCCGGCGTCGCTGCCAGCGTCAACTGCGACGCCAACTGCTCAGCCATATTTGTGTTTTGTTTACAACGGGGCTTTGTGTGAAATTAAACACAGAGTACTACCGCTGCACAGCTAAAAAAAAACCCAACAAGAACAACAACAACAACAAACCAAACAAAATACAGGAAAAAAGAAATGAAATGAAATGAGGAAAAAAAAACCAGTCAGTCCATCAGCTGTTAATAGTCCAGAATCTGCGAGTTAGCAAAACATGTTTATGAGGGATTTTGAAACCGAAACCGAAACTGAAACTGAACTGAACCGAAACCGAACAAAACAACATCGCGCCATCGACAACAAGTTGAGAACAGGTACTACTCTCCACACACAACAGCAGCAACAGGAACAACAACAACAATCCAAAACACACCGGTAGCAGCAACAGGCATATCGTCTCAATCCTTGACCTAATCCAGAAGGCTGACTTTCTGGTTCCACCACGCCTCTGCCACAAAACGTGGCCAGGTTCAGATTCAGGTTCAGTTTGAGTTCGAGTTCGAGTTTGGGTTTGGGTTTGCGTTTGAGTGTCAGTTCCAGGTGCCGATTCAGGTCCAGGTCCAGGTTCAGGTCCAGGTGCAGGTCCCAGGTTCCAGTATCCAGGTTCCGAGGTCCAGTTCCCCGCACATACTCGCACTCATATTGTTGTTTGATGATAAAGCCAAAAATGAGTGCTGCTGCTGCTGCGGCGCAGAGTTCACTGCTGAACTGCTGTTCGCCTGCCCGCTTCTGCTGGGATGTGGATGTGGATGTGGATGTGGACGTCGATGCCGATGTCGATGTGGATAAACCCGTTTTGTCAGCCCAAGCCGGCGAGTTCACGACGATCTCGGGGGCTCCTCGGGCCCGGTCTGCGGGTTCCGTTAGTAGGTGAGGTCAGTGTCATGCTTATAGACTAGTTTTTGGCAAACACAAACAAACAAACAAAAAAAACAACAACAGGAAAATAAATACCAGCCAAAAACGATTACCCGATGAAAGTCGAAAGGCAATTAGGAAACAATTAAACCAACATCAACACCCCGGATCGCAAGTGATCCCATCGCATCGCACAGCATCCATCGAACTGGGTCAGATATATGAGCATCCATCGGACCCTCGGGGCAACGGAGCCCGGACGAAAACTTTCCAACTTGCCGCTTGAATGGCGGTGAGCGGAGAATGGCCACGGAGCCGGCAGATAGATGGATTCTGGCCAAGACCCATCACTCATACGGTGGGTGCAAAAGAAATCGGCAACATGAACATGAAGAGTAGCTGCTGGTATGGTTTATGCCCACAAAAGGGAAGCGATGGGGAGAAGATAATCCAAATTAATCTTGAGGAAACTTTCTTAAATTTATAAAGTCCACCCGGGGGCGCCATGAGATATCTTTCAATTTATAAAAATTACCGGAAGACCTAACTAACCCACCTCATAAATATAAGTGAATGACATAAACACTTGCTTTAAGGTGTTAATAACAATATATATAGTTAATGTTATGCAATCATGCGTAAGTTTTGCACATATTCGATCATCAAAACAAGTCTTTAAGCGCAAGCGTAGCGCATGGCAGGAAATTAATGGGCAATTACAGTACTGATTGGGTGAACAATAAATCGTAAATCAAGTTCAGCCAAAGCGAAAAGTTATTTGAGCTCAGCACTGACAGATTTACGGTTATACTGGATCAGCATAAGGAAATCTTTCGCGGCGAAAGCGATTTGAATATTCATAACTATTGCACCTCGATAAATTTTAATTTTCTGTTTTCCTTGAAGGCGGATTAGATAGCAATATATAATTATTGGGACTATAAATAGTATTGCTGATACGAAAAGGCCAAGTACAACGAACCTCTGATCGATTTTGTTCGACAGTAAGAAAGGCAGCTTATGTCTGCTATGTGCAGTAAGTCAACCCTTTCCCAAAACAATCATTACTAATTTTCTATGATGCTATCGTCTGGAATCACCACATGTGAACATAAACCCCAGATCTAACCTCTGCATGCGGACAACGCCTACAACGAGATCTATGGCTATGTGTTCTTTATTATCCCCCCTTCCACCGATCACCTTTCCCCTCGAATAACACCGACTTTAGATACATGGTGAATACGAAAAGCAATTCCATTTCAAATCCCATTAAGATTTGACATAATTTGAAATTTGGATTTTACGTCTCTCTACCTCACTTAGGGAGAATGGTGGGGAGAGAAGGGGAGAGGAGGGGAGGGGGAGAGGAGGAGTGGAGAAAAGACAAGAGAAGAAATGCGCGGCGTAACCCTAAGACGTCAACGGTCAGAGTTGTTGGGCATCAATAACCAAAGCCAAAGACTGAGACTGCGAGTTGGTATATGGTACACGGAAAAAAATACTCTATGTAAAAGAATGGATTTAGCAATAAATTCTAAAGGAATTACCTTTATAACCTAGAGAGGTTTTAAGCATTTTTAATTGTTATTGGGAGAAATGAAAATAAATAATCATTAGCTTATCTAATAAGCAATCTAAGGTTTAAGCGCTGTTTACTACTAAAACAATGGAAACTTATTAAACACAGTCATCGCTCTGACCATCAAATTTCGAATAGCAATAGCAAATGTTTTTCGTATTGCATTTCTCTGTGTGTAGATGGGAATGGGAATGTTAGGGGAATAAAGGTGTGCAGGGAGTGGGAGGAAGGGGGATGGGGGAGAGGAGGGGTGGGGAGGGTTTGAGGTACGGCTGCAAGACGGAGTCAAGAAGGCCCGAAGAAACGAAGAAAGGCAAAAGAAAAGAAAAACAATAAACGTTAACACGAACACGAAAATAAAATAACTCTCTCACGAAGTTCCCCTTTTTTTGTGTGTGGGTTACATGTGCCGCTGTGTTCGTGTGTATCTCACGGCTGAATCGGAATCTGTATCTGTGTCCGTGTCCGTGTGCCGCCGTCGGTGTGAGTGCTGCGTAGATGTTCGTTTTACTGTACCATAATCGCAGCCCCAAATTGATCACCATCATCAAGAAGGGAAAAAAATAAAAATCATAATAAAAAGAAGCCGAGAACACAAGAGCAAAAGGCAGCACAAAAGTCCAGGGGAAAACGTAATCACAAAACACTGGGCAACATCATCGATTTTCGAACAAGAAGGCGGCGCAGTAGCGGCCGCAGTCGGCGTCGGCAGAGGCAGCGACAGCGGCGTCTTGATCCCTTCTCGCTCCCGCTCTTTATGGCCAACTCTCCCGCTCTAGCACGGCATTGTTGGCAACACCACGGCAACACCAATACCTGTGCGCCTTACCTGCCGCTGCTGCTGCGCAGCGTCGACTTCGAAATACGGAATACAAAATAAAACCAAACAAAGAGGAATGTGTGCGCGAAAGACACCACCAACAACACCGCCAACAAGAACAACAACACCAACACCAACAACATTAGCGGCCGTAGCAACAAAAACAACAACACGAACTGAGGCTGGGACCGAAAGACTTAGGCTACGTCTGCACAACATACAGGGTGTCCACTGTATACGAAGGCTTTCAAACGAACACTTCACAACAAGGTAATAAAAAAGTTTCAACTTCAATTAATACTATACTATTAAAAGTTATTCAATAACAGCGAACTCCAATCACAGTAAAGTGAGCTCAAATATTAAACAGTTTGTCTTTAAAAATACCAAGTACTATGATTAATTAACCAACTGGATTTTAGATGTCCCCTATTAAACGTTTTTTATGTATGTAACTACAGTATCAAGATTTTTTGGTTATATACAGTACCACAAAATATAGAATCGATTTAATATTTTATTAAGAATTGGTAAAATAAAGGTGTTTAAAGCAATATTATAGTAAGAATTGAAAACTAGACTGAGCAATAAAGTACTTTGTTCGAAGTGAACCCGCTATTTTATTGCCCTCTTGAATTTCAGCCACTGTTTTGGAATTTCCCGAAATCCGCTCAATAAGCCGAAATGCTAATGGAGCGAGAGGTGCTGTTTCTGTCAGTGTAATCCCTCCGTGAACCGACCAGGGCTGCAGAGCCTGATGCGTTTATAATTACTTCTCGGTAGGCTAATACTACTCACTTTTCGGGCCGCTGTCCTTTTCGGTGGCGATCGGCGGGTGCCTTGAGCTCTCGGGATCAGGATGCGGATTTTGGCACTTGGTGAGGATCTATGGCACTCGAGCACGCTGCAATGGTGAATCGCTGGAACTGGAGCTGGATCTTGACTCTGGGGAGTCTGTAACCTGGGAGTCTGGAGCTGGAACTGAATTGTTGCTGGCTGCCTGCTGCTGCTGCTGCTGTTGTTGTTGTTGTTGTTGCTGCTTGTGTTGCTGTTTTGCTGTTGTGCTGTTTTGCTGTTGTGCTGTTTTGCTGGTGGGTGCACCACCTTTCGCCACTCTTTGCGTCTGGGGGCTTTTGGCCTGGCTCTCTGGGCCTTTGGCTTACACAATGCTCTTGGCTGGCTGCTTTCGGCCGCTTCTAATGTGCCACTCTTTGTGGTATGTGGAGCTGTTGTTGTTGTTTTTGTTCCGTTCGATTGTTTTTGTTGCTGCTGTCTTTGTTGCTGGCGGATTGTGCATTTTGGCCTAACATTTGTCAGGCATTGGCCTAAACATATTGCTCTGGCTGCTGATCATTTCGCTGCTGTTCAGGCTGATGTTGATTTTGTTATAGTTGCTAATGTTGCTGTTGCTGCTGAACACTGAGAGGCGCAAAGTTGGGGGACAGAGGGCGGGTCGTTTCGGGGGCGTTTCGTCTGGCATTTGCGTTTTCGAGCCACGCTTGTACTTTGTTTTTATCTCTTTGAGTATTTTCACTATTTTTTCACGCGCTTTTCCGCACTGCCATTTGTTGTTGCTGCTGGTTCTGGCTGCTGTTATTAATCACTATTTTTATTTTGCATTTTATTATTCGCTGCTCAGCTTTGATGGCGTCTCATTCCAGCTCGCACACACACATACACACGATCACGCAAAGCACACGCTCTCCGAGAGCCACTCACACACAGGCACAGATACTCACTCACACACACGAGGTTTTTTCGCTTTCTTAGCCTTCTCTTCCTCTTCGTGGCTGAAATTCGTGTGTGTGTTTTATTTAATTTCGAAAAAGTTTAAGCGCGACTTTTTGCTGTTTGTTTGGTGTATAATTTTTTTGGTTTTTCGCTACGATCGACACACACGCACTTATTCACAGGGAGAAATTGGCTAAAACCGATAAGTCAGATTTGTACATATATTTATTCGATATCGATATCGGTATTAACTTGCTGACTTTCCGTGTGCGCGGAAAACTTGTCGTCGCTGTCGCTGGATCTCGGCTCTCGGCTATAATGCCCAAAGAGTCAATTGGAGATTGTTCAACTGTTGAATGTGCTGCTGCCGCCGCTGCTGCCACCTCTGTCGACGTCGCTGGCTTGCGTGTATTGGTGGCAAGGTGCTGTCCGTGAGCGCTGCGCAGGTGAGAGAGCGCTCGATTATTATTGCTTTTTATGGTTTCATCTCTTTCGTAACTGATATTGAGCAGACGCGGCAGCGACGCCGGCAGCGCAGCGCCACTCAAATTCATTCGAATCGATGATGTTGTCTCTACACTCCCGAACACCAACACCAATGCGTTGCCAGGAAAAAACACAGGTAGCACCGTGTCTGTGTGTGTGTGTGGGTGCACCTGCAGAGGCCAAAACGCAGGCAGGTACAAAAGACTTAGGCAACGAACCTTCCACTCAGTATGCACTTGCGACCAAGAAAGAGACAGCCGAAGAATGGTTAAGAGAGAGGGAGAGAGAGCGCTTGTGAGGGGGGGCGAGAGCGACCCTCGTCTCGGGTAAACCGCTCCTGCTTTTTGTATCTCTCCGATTTTACGTTCATTTCTGGTGGCATTGCATTCATCACCGAAAATTCGAATTCGCTGCTCGATGTTGTTCGCTTTCGAACTCGCCGCCTTGTTGTTCTGTTTTTGTTGTTGTCATTCGGCTTGTAAGCCGCGTGAAAGTGGTAGTGCAATCGGGCATCAGGTAGAGAAACAGACACACACAATGGTAAGAAAGGTGGAGAGACATAGAGAGAGCGCCGCATGCCGAGAGAATGCACTGCCAAAAAAGCGGGACTTTCTAAAGAATTTTCCAGAATACATGAAATGTAAATATTTACAAACAATCAATTTCTTTCATTAAAATATTATATATTAATATGGAATATTTCAAATATATTTAAAATACAATATAAGCTAATATAAACATGTTATATTTATTTTGTAAACATTTAGAAAGCCAATTGATTTCTCTCCGTGTGGAATACGTAAAATAGTTGTGCATGTACCACAATCGAATACGCCAAGTAGCAGCAAAGCCGCGCAGCCTCCGCCGTTCACCGTCCCGCTCCCCCACTCTCCCCTCTCCCTCTTTCCTTGGGTCTGGCTTTCGGTTAACCTCAGTTCAGCTCCTACAACCTCACCTCGACAGGCGGCGGCAATCAGCGCTGTGTCGTGTGGATCGACGGACGGTCGGACGGACGGACGGAGCTTGTGTGCTTTCCGCCACGGTAAAGGGTGCCCCCCATTCTCCCCTCTCCCCCGACTTCCCCCACATTGCTTCCCCACTCTCTCGCTCGATCCGTCCGCCTCTGTTTGTCTTCTGGCGCTGCGCACGCGTGGAACTGCGGTTTAGAACGGCTTAAAGCAGCGCACACACCTGGTTTACATCAGACGTCTACATAGCGTAAAATGCATTTGTAAACAATGCAGCACTTTACAGTAAATTATACATGGGTATTTACACACCTTAGAATTAATGGAACAAAAAAATTCAGAGTTCAAGTTTGAATTTGAGTTTTATTTTCATTTCGGTTTATTGTTGCAATATATTAAATGTTTAAAACTAAATTTAGGCTTAGTTTAATCCATTTTGTATTTATTGATTTTGCCGTTTTTGCGTTTACACATTAGTTAATTTTTTGTTTTGTAATAAATTTAATTTATGGTTTTTAACTGGTCGAAACTTTTCACTAATGCTTGATTACGTTTTTGTACATATACCGCTAAGTAGTATATATATGCATGTATCGGTGTGTGTGTGTGTGCGTGTGTTTTGTGTGTGCGAGTGTGGCGGTGTATAAAACTAAACAAACAACAATCGTATTAAATGTACTTATATATTTGGTTTTTGTTTTTGTTCAAAAAGTCTTATATCTGTCCGTTCTGCAAAGTAAGAAACCGAAGAGAAACATTCACAATCAAACATTCCTTCCCTCCGCGCGTCCCGTTTAGCCAGGACATTGTGTCTAACCTGATTGCCTAAAATTAATTTAACAAACCGTGGAAACTGACGTTGGTTTTCGGGGCCCGATCTTTCCGATTCCGGCGATTCCGGCGATCCCGAACTCTATATTGCGAAAGCGGTTGTCGAATGATCAATTCCAAGTAGCAGCCTGAGTGACGCGTAAAGTCAAGTTTTTGAGGACTAGAGCGGAAGCTTGAGGTGGAAAGTGCTTATCTGAATTATTGGGTTTGGAAGTCGGATCTTGAACGGGTCAGAACTGTTATAAAAAATATAGGAACTTATGTGGGGCTTTCCAATAGTCTCAGATATTTTAGGGTTATACTCTTTGGTTTCTAAGAGTGGACAAAGCAAGCCAGTAGTTTACGCTTTTCAGCACCTTAATTTTTGGTTTTAAAAGTGCTCCGATTTCTTGGTCAACCTTGTTAAACTGAGTTTTAAGCTAAAAATAAATAGTGGTTTCTCGAGGGGAACTGGAAGATGCTTAAACGCTATTAAAGTTACTGTTTGTGTTTCTGTTCTTGTTCATGTTGGGGTGTTGTGGGTGGTGGCATGGTATCGATAGATGCATTAAAACTAGGCACACCAACTAGCTACGAAAATACACTCCCTGCTCCCCGCAACAAAGGTACACACATGAATATTGTACTTTAAAATATTGTGCCTCGAACACAGACAACCTAAGGTTAAAGGAAACCAACTTAAGATCGAAATACAATGTTAACTTTTAGCCAGGGCTCGAACCGAAATTCTTCCTGCATGTTCTGTGTTTCACTTATAAACTCTTGTTTTTTTTATTTTTATGTTTTTAGTTTTCAATTCGACAACTTTTTGCTAAAATTTAAATGTAACCATACTTTTGTGTTTCGCGTTTTTGTTATTTATAATACTGTTTTTCCATATATATTTTGTAATGCAGAAATGGGATAATGTGGGGGAAACTCTTGGAACTTCCGCTTCTCTAGAAAAACAATTGCATAATACATTATAAGAGGATATTTCTCTTGCGAACTTCTGATTTTTGTTTTTGCTGGCAGTGATATTGCGAAACGTTCTTCTTTCGACTTGGAAATCAGCTCGACATCGAAATAATATAGTACACGTTATTTATGCATTTGCTTTGGATTCGGGTCTCTGTTTCGGTTTCGGTTTCGGTTTCGGTTACGGGTTAGACTTTATAGGGCATATGGTCTGTTCTGGTCTGGCTCGAAGTACAGCTCAAGATGGGGCTTTGTGAGATTTGCTTAAGAAAGGACTCGATCCTCAATGGGTTTTCATAAGAAAGTAGAAAGTGTTGCCGTCTGCTGTGGTATTTACAAAATGCTTCGATGTCATTACTCGTATGACCTAAAACGATTTCAAAACTAGTCAAGTTAAATGTCTCTATATATCCGTATATATATGCTGGTGTGTATATATAATTTTATAAATTTATGTAATACGTTTAAAAAGATTTTTTTGTTTTCTTGCTTGTTTTTTTTTTGGTATTTTTTTGGAAAAAGTATTTCTGTTACGTTGCGGTTTATGATTACGTTTAAATTTACTTATCGGTTAGCGGGTTCCGTAATCTTTGTTGCAATTTGATTAATACGTCTCTTAGATCACTAGTATTACAATAGATGCTATTTGTGTCGCTCGTTTCGAATTAGCTTTCTGGCTGTTTGTTTATGGAAAATGCTTGCTGTGGTCGAACCAGCTCCTCGGTGTAAACAAATTGTGTGGCGTGGTGCTTAACTCTTTGGTTTGTTTAACGACTAGAACGTGGGTAGAGAGAAGGAATCCGTTGCACGTACAATGCAATGCATATCATCTGGCCGACGTCCGCCCCTCCGAGGATCCGGGAATTCGGGGATTCGGGGCTGCGCGCAAAACGCTTAAAGGGTTCTACTAATGGGTACATATTGCTTAGTCGATTGCAGCAGCGGCGGGGGCGGAGAGCCAGACGGGATGCCCTTAGGGAGAGCAGCAACGGAAGGCGACACAGCGCAACTGAATACGATCCACATCCGGTCCGGGATACCCAGTGCATCAGTGATCCTCCTCTCTAAGTGGGACTGTCCGCCTTGGAGCCGGCATTCGAGTTGTCTTGCAGTTGAGCGAGTGTCTTGAACTTTTGCGAGTTTAGGAATCTATTTAAGGGTAACAATTAATTTAAGAACAACCTTAAAGAAAATCAGGAGTAACTCACCTCGGATATGAGTCTCTGTGCATCAGTGTGTAGATCTGGATTTGAGCTTCGTCGAAGGTGTGCGTCGTCGGCTCGATCATGTTCCGGTTGACGATCTCGCGTACCCTGGAGTCCAGCGACACCTCCCTGGGCGACAGGATCGAGATGTAGTCCTCGTAGATGAGGCGCGCCTTCTCCTCCACGAGCTCCGCACTGTTCTCCTTTTTGAGGTCCTCGCAGGCCAGCCAAAACAGGATGTTCTCCTCGCTGAATTCGCTGCGCAGGAAGTTCTGGAACACCTTTCGACCAGCTGGAAACGATTTGTTAGGCCAGATTAGTGGGGATCAGAATGTCATTTTTTAATGGCTCACCTGAGCTCTTCATCAGCTTGTCGAAGCTCTTTCCCCAGCTACGGATTTCCTCCAGTGTGGGTCTGTAATGTACAATTAATGTAAGTTTTTTCGGGCTTTTCTCGTTTTCATTTGCATGAACTCACTGCTCGCCATCTAGGAATTCGGCATTTACGAGATCTCGCTTCGTGGGGGCATTTTCATCCGCATTCTTGATGGCCAGACTGCAAAGATAGGAAGGAAAACAGAGGAACGCTTGTTAAATGTCGATTATTTTGATTTTACAACTCATCAATCACCCTTTAAAGTAGACTACGATTTTATCCATTGCTGAATTGCCGCCCAGCCTGACTCATTTTTAACTGGCGCAAAATAGCATAAATGTGTAAATACAGTAGGCGCTCGATAGATAAAACTCCTGATAGCGAAAGCTACTGAATAGCAACTGATGTGGCCTATGTACAAAACTATACCTTTAATAAATAGCATGAACAGTAACTTTTGAAAGTACACATACACACATACGCATACATAATAGTGAAAAATCAATGCTAAACAGTAACAATTACTTAGTTACAGTAAAAATTCAATAGTAACCCTCAGGAAAAGTACAAGAATAGTTCGTTAAGACATACAAGAATATGTATAACAAATGTAACCTTTATTTTGTAAAATATTAGAATATTTCATTCCAGGGTGACCACTGTAGATGGGCCAATGTCATATCGGTTTTGGGTTTCGAAGCCCGGAGACAGAGCACCGGAGTACTCGAACTTGACAAAGCTCCCTTATCTGTTCGTCAGTTATCAGAGCGACTCGCTGGCCCAATACCTAATCAAAGTCACACAACCGTACATATTGCGCTCTATATGAATCGAATTAAATGTGGCCAGGGGGTTCGGGGACATTGGGGTGCCGAGTGCTGGGTTTTTTGGGCTCTGGTAACCCCCCAGTTGGGCACACAAAGGTGCGGAGGGGGTGGCCGAAAAGACTTTCGATTTCATTCACGAAAACATGCAACACTTGGAGGAGCCGCGGAGGAGCCGCCACATACTTATTTATATTTGATTTGAAAAGTGCCCTCCAGAGAGCTTTTCGCTGCCCGACCACTTGCTCCCGGAATTGTGAATGAACGCGGGAGAAATTGAGAGCAAGTGACTCTGATTTGAAGAGTGTTTCGAAAGAGCGAAAGCGGAGAAAGGGAGAAAGTTCGAAATCCACCGAGGGAGAGAGAGCGAGAGAGAGCTTTCGAAAGCGGCGGCGTTGCCAGCTGCCAGGAGAAAGGCCACCGTGTCCGTGTCCACTTTCATTTGGACCTCCCTATCCCCATCCGTGTCCAAGTCCATGTCAGTGGCCATAGCCATAGCCACAGCCACAGCCACAGCCAGAGCAATAGTTAAAGCCAAAGCAATAACCAAACCATAGCCGTAACCGTGGCCATATCCATGACTGCACTGCGAAAAACTAAGGAAATTGTAAACTACAAGTTGATTCTAAACCAAACTTGGTAATTGAATGGCTACACTAATGAAATAATATTTAATGAAATTAAGAATTTAATCGTTAAAGCGTAAAAAGAAAATAAAGGAATTCACAATACTGGTTTTTATAGAATTTGTAACCCTCTTCACAGACCCAAGTTCAAGTACTTGACTATTTCTCCCGGTGTAAAAGAGTATGAGTGCTCGAGGAGTCTACTTACCATTTGGCCCTGTTGTTACGGTTGCGGTTGGTATTGGTTGTTGGGCATCGGTGTTGGTAGTTGTTGTGGCCAACGTCGAGTCAAGGCAGCGCGGTAACGAGAAAGAAATTGATTTCGTGTCAGAGGATTGGAGCGGTGTGAACAAGTAGGCCAGCGAATCCACTCGGACCCGGACTCGGCGGGACGTACTCACCAGGAGCAGGAGCAGCAGCAGCACCAGCAGAAGCAGCACGGCTTCTGCGACTGCGGCCGTTGCAACGTGGCCGCGTTGGACTCCTGCAGCACGTTGGCCGTAGAGCCTACTCCCACGCTGCCGCCCACAGTGGGCGAGATGCCGCCTCCTCCGCCGACGCCCCCCACTCCGCCGCCGCCTCCCCCGTTGCCGTTCCCATTGTTGCCACTGTTGTTGGCGGCGCTTTGCTGTGAGGATGCAGTCATGCCGCGCAGTCGACAGCCACTGGGCAGCTCCGAAACGGTGCAGGACATGCCGCTACCTGCAATGAAGGTACAAATTGAATCGTTAATAAACCGACAGTTGAGCTGGGGGTTGAGGAGTGTGGAGGAACCCCTCGTTCACTGAGAAAAATATCGATTCAATTAGTCATCAATTGGCAGTTGAGTATGCCTCTTATCTATCACTAACAACTTAATTGATAATTGTTTAATAACTGTTTGGATAATCAGATTACAATTTGTTAAACACACTTATAAGTGATTTTATTGAATCAGATTCTTATAAAAAGTTTCTTGATGATTATGATGATTTTTAAGCTCTTCTGAAATTAATATGCAAACATACAGCACAAGAAAAATGGAGTGATATTTAACAAGAATTTTATTTTAAACTATTTTTAACACATTTGACAGTAGTAATCCTTGGACAAGACGTTTCGTAAATGCAAATAGAATTCAACAGAGTTCCTTGAAAGTAAAACCTGAAGGAGTTCGCCCAAATGTCAATCTGCTTCTTTTCCCGTGTGCACTTACCTGCCCTTTGAAAGTTGAGGTTGACGCTGGCGGTGCCGATGCCGATGGACGTAGAAGAGGTGGAAGGAGGTGCAGATGGAGATGGGTGGTGATGGTGGTGCTGCCCCAGCTGGCGGACCGCCCACTGCCACTGACCTACCCACTCACCCGCTCGCTCGCGTGCTCTTTTCCTCGATTCGGCTTCTCTTTCCCGATTTCCTTGGGGGAAGGCGACGAAAGGGAGGACGAGGAGGCCGTTACGTATTTATGTTTTTGCTAATAATTTTTTATCGAAAGTTCCCACTCTCTGGCGCTCTTTCTTCTCCTCTCACTCGCACTCTCCCTCTCGCTCTGCTGCTCTTGATTTTAGTTTTCGTTTTGGTTTATTTTTTCTTAGCTTTTCTTTGGGCGATTTTACATGACCAAAAATTCCAGAAATTCTTGTCGACTTTTCGGATAACCTTTTGGAGTAGTAGTTTTCCGTATCCTGGATCCTGATTTTGAACTTCGCGTGGGCTTGTTTTTTTGGGGGTTGGTGGTGCGAGCGTTTTTAGCGAGTTGATGGTGCGCGGGTGGTGGCGCCTACGGCATTTACATATTCCGCTCTGGATTTACTGGCGAAAATCTAGCGATTCAATGGCCCCGTGCACCAAGGGGCACATTTCACAAGCGTTACGAAATTTATGAGCAGCTGGAGCTGCCCCCGTAGTTGTTGTTCTGGCCTTTATTTATTTCTTGGGCTAGTCATTACACTGATATATATGTACAAATGTGCCTCTGCCTCTGCCTGTGCCTGTGAGTGTGCGTGTGTGTGTGAGTGTGTGTGGTTGCGGGGGGGAGTCCACCACATTGACACGCAACTTGGCTAAGTGGAGCGCATTGTTTGGCCCGATGGGCGGATGGGGCGTATGCGTGATTTTCTCCACTTGGGCTGATGTTGCTGCAACAGCTGCAACATGTAGGCAACCCAGCAATTGCACTTGTAACTCGAGGCGACTGCGATTTTTGGTCGTTGCACTTATCACAAATCAGCTGGTTTTGTTCCTTTGTTGTTTTTGACCATTGCCTTAATCTAGCTATCTATATGAATACTTTTTTTTATTGTTTCACCAACGCTTCCGTTCATATTTTCACTGAGAAGCACACACGTATTTTCTTTGAGGATTTTTGGGCGATTGGGTGGGCGGGAAAAGGGGGACGCGTTTGTATGTATGTATGTTTTTGAGGAGCAACGACGAGTACATACGAATTTTTGCCACTAGAATTGGAATCGAAATGTGTGTATTTGTGTGTATATTTTTTTCATTCGCCCCGAAATTGTTTTGCTTGTGCTTTGATTTTTTCTTTCTTGTGTGGAAACGAATCGGGAAAAACTGCAATTTTCGTGGTCACTCAAATGGCCTGGACTGGCATTTTCACATTTTCACATCTCGCCCTCGGCCATATTTTATTATATTCCTTCGTTCTCGGGGCCCCCGCAACGGCAGCGCTTTTTCCCATTCGATTTCTGCGCTCTGCGATTTTGGCTGCTCAGCACCCAGAAGCCAAAATCCTCGACAGGTCGATTCGAGCGATTCGAGATTCTCTCCGGTCGGGCAAAGGCAGGCGACTGATTTCCAAGCAGTGCCGTTTCGCCAGCTCTTGATTTTCCAATGCGCGCGCTCCTCCCGAGAATCCAAGATAATGTCCACTGGGGGGTGGATGGCGAGTGGGGAGCGGGGGCTCCAAAGGTGGACTGAGCGAAAAGCTCGCTGGCATAGCTATACAGTTAGAATTCCTGGTACACACAGGAGAGAGGGTCAGCGGTTGAGAGAGATACCAGGAACACATGTGCGCGAGTCGCCCGAAGAGAACAAGCACGGGACTCTTCGCTCCGCTGGAATTCCTCGCAAAGCTTTGGGGCTAGAACTTCAAAACTTTCGACAGGGTTGCATTTACACTTTGGTCTTGGGATCCCATTCATTTCGGAACCCGGGACGTAAACAAAATGATCATTAAGTTTTTAAAAATGTAGTAGTCTGCAAATTGAAATCCACTTTAACATTTCTTGTGTAAAATAATTATATTTTTTTTTAACACTACTACGCTTCGAAAGCGAAGAAATTTAAAACCATTTCCATTTTTAATTAAAAATTATTAAATGTATTTATTCACTATAGAAATTTCACAAAACTGTATGGAACGAACGCAACTTTCATACACAGTTTACGTGTATAGTCGAATCGTACAGTCAGCGCCAGTGGAGAAGACCCAAGGCTGCACAGGATGCCAGTTGACATCCAGCACGCCAAACTCATCTCGTTTCTCGTGGGTCTGCAGCTTTTTGAGGGGAACAATCAAAGGATTTTGCAGCAGGTCACTAGAAAAAAAAAAAAAAACATTAGAGGGATTTCGGCATAAGCAATAAAGAGGCTCTTACTTGTAGACCATGCCGTGGGAGACGATCACAGCTTGGTCATCGCTGCCTGAAGCAAAGAGCGGATAGCGGAGATGGAAGGCCACACTGCGGACAGCATTGCGATGGAGTCTCATGGTTTGGTAAGGCTTAGTCGACAGATCCAAATCAAACCAGAGCATCTTCTTGTCGTAGGTGGAAACCAGGAGATTGTCTCCCTTGGGGTGGATAGACATGCCCGAAATCCACTTGGAGTTCGTCAGCAGCTTCTTGACCAGTTCCTGTTTGACCAAATCATAGATGCGAATATTGTGCTGCGTCTGTGGAGCGAATTTGATTAAATTTGATTATTAAGTAAACTTATATTTGCAACAATCTATTCCACTTACCGCCACAAAGAAGCACGGCTTTACAGGATGGAAAAGTACGAACTGAATGAGACCCTTGCTCTTGGAGAATGGAATCTGTGAGCGCCGCTTGGACAACTGGTGGATCAAAGCCGATCGATTGGCACCCTCGGGCATCACAGTGGCGAGGTAATCACCACGTCCGTGCCAAGTCACCTGGCGAATGGGTTTGAAGTGAGTGATCACTACCCGGACGCCCTTCTCTTGCTCGTCAGCCTCTGCGTTGGACCACTGCACCGCCGTCTTGATGCGCTCACTTTCCTGAACATCCTGACTGGGCGCCTCGGCGAGCAGATCGTCGGTCTTCTTCACCAGCACCTTGTCGCCCACCTTAGGGTTGACGAGCAGCAGTCTATTGCCAGTGGCCACCGCAATGATGGAGAGCTTGGGATTAGGACACCAAGCCACGCAGCGCACCACTTCGTCGGTTTCAATTGTACGGATGCAACGGCCAGTGGCAATCTCCCAAACTGTATCGAATAATTATTATTAGGGTGTATAATAAAATTGGTAAGTAGAAATCGGACTCACTCTTGACTGTTTTGTCATCAGAACCGGAGACAAGGTATTCTCCTTTGGGCTCCACGCTAACGGATCGCACCAGATCGGTGTGGCCGCGGTAAACCATGCTCTCCACCGTGGGGAAGGGCTGCAAATCACGCGGCGAAGGCAACTTGGGGATCAGGTACTCGGCGTCGATGTTTAGCTTAACGCGCTTGGCACGCGGACACAAATAAAGGTCCAGGCACCGCAGGAAACGCTCGCGAAGGTATCTCGAGTAGGCGGGAACCTCACGCAGCGACTTGAACTTCTGGGGCATAAAATGCAGCTTGCGCTTGTGTGGCTCATCTTTGAGCTTAAGCCACTCCTTGGTTTCCTTTGCATCGAAGAGGTACTCTGGCGGTGGATTGTAGGACTCTGCGTGACCAGGTAGATCACGTTTGGGCGCCGAGACAGGGTCGTGGATACGACGCATCTGCTCTCTGCTGGTGTCCGTCTCCCACAGCATGTAGAACTTGGGACCGCGCTTGGCCTGCTTCTCGCGTTCCACCTCCTCGGTTGTCTTCATCCAACCCATCTTGAGGGCGTGAACCATGCGAGAGACCCGCTTCTTTTCGGAAACGGAGGGTAGGAAAGATCGCTTGTGGTCGGGCACATTCTTGATGGGCATTTTCTCCACCTCCGAGGTGAACCATTCGATCCAGGGCTCGTACTCCTCGTGATCCTTGTTAGGAATGCGACCCGAAACGATGCGTTTGATCAATGCAATGTCCTCGTCCGTTAGGCGTACTTCCTGGCCTGTCAGCGGATCCTTGACCGTCCGCCAGAAATCGGGGTCCTCGATTTTGCGCAGGAACTCGTCGATCTGATCCCCTTGTGGTGGCTTCACAATCTTCTTGGCATCCCAGTCGTAGCCGATGTGCTTGTACTCGTCGTACCAGTGCATAGGTATGTTGCCCACTGTGTTGCGTATGTCCTCCTCGTCTGAGGTGTCTGATTCCGCGTATTCTGTCTTGGAGGGATCTCTTTTGGTCAGCTCCTTTGTGGGGACATTCCTGGTGGCGGCACTGCTGCTGCCGGGTTTCTCATCGCCTTTTTTTGCTTAGATGTGCCAGGGGATTCTTCCTTCTCCTGGTCCTCGTCTTCGGAGTCGTCCTCTTCCTCATCTTCATCTTCCTCTTCTTCACTGCTCTCTTCTTCATCTTCAGCTGATGAGGATTGCTTTCTGCCCAAGTAGTTGCCCTCCTCATCGCTCTCAAATTCCAATTCATCGCTGGAGTCGGTGTGGTATTCCTGGTCTATGCCCTCATCGTCTGTGGAGTCTTCACCGGGGTCTTTTACGGCTTGCAGCAGGTCCTTAAAAACCAAAAACACACACAGGTGATTTTGACTACATTTTTAATTGCTTGCCAATCGATCTTACCTCTTCCTCCTCGTTCTCTGAGGCCTCGGAACTGGCGGCCACTTCATTTGTGGGCTCTGATTCCTTTCCCTTGCGCTTCAGTGCTAGTTTTTTGGTCATTTTGAGGAGAAAACAAATCTAACGCGGCGCACGTGTTGCAGTTAGCGATAGAGATGGAAGTTAAATAAAGTGGTCGGCTATCGATTTACTTGCCGCCAATGCTTATTGTTATCGGATTTACAAATAGCTAAAAATAGTTTCAAATTTCTAAAACTACTAGCATTACGAGTTTAGTTTATTATTTTTTAAAGATAATATGTAGAAAACATCTTGGATTATTTTTGTGTCAGATATTTGAAATACATGAAAATAAAAAGTTCTGATACAGATATAAACTAGTTTAAAAGCGTTGAAAAAAGCTATGTTGGCTAGTGCAATCTCACCATAACGCCATCGTGAGCAAATCCCCTAAAATACCCTAACGCAAGTTGGGGATTCTTGGTCGAACCATTTTCAGTGGAATTTGCAGACTTACGTGCGGATATTTTGGGGCCAGTGCGGAAATAAAAGGTGACAGAGGGCAATTGGAGCACTGGGGACATAGCAACAACAAAATACCGGCGCCCCATCGATCGTATTACTCATCCGAAAGGCGAAAACCATCGATTTCCAGCTCACACAAGGGCAAACAAAAGTGCAAAAGCAGCCCCTCTCACCCCCCACGCACACACACACTCGTTCACACGTAGTTGCGCCCACACACACAGACATCACGATGACTGCGCCGCGACGCCTGCGAAAAGAATTGAGCGATTTGCAGGAGAACACACTAAAGGCCTTCCGGGACATCAAGGCGGATGACGACAACCTGCTACGCTGGACGGGATTGATTGTGCCGGACAATCCTCCCTACAACAAGGGCGCTTTCCGCATCGAGATCAACTTCCCGGCGGAGTACCCTTTCAAGCCGCCGAAGATCAACTTCAAGACGCGGATCTACCATCCGAACATCGATGAGAAGGGTCAGGTATGCCTGCCCATCATCAGCACGGAGAACTGGAAGCCGGCCACACGCACCGACCAGGTGGTCCAGGCCCTGGTGGACCTAATCAACGACCCTGAGCCGGAGCATCCGCTGCGGGCGGAACTGGCCGAGGAGTTCCTCAAGGATCGCAAGAAGTTCGTAAAGAATGCCGAGGATTACACCAAGAAGCACAGCGAAAAGCGTCCGGCGGACTAGCGGATTGGCGGAGAGGAAGGAGGAGCAGGTGGCCCCAACCACGACCCATGTACACCCGCGCCCCCTTAGTCTTGTGATTTTCAGTTAGTTATTTAATTTCAATTTTCGATCCCCAACAACAAAAAAACTACCCTCAGAAAACATGTAAGCTGATTCCCCCGGCAGAGTACCTAGTTTTGTAAAAGTAGCACTGTAATTTTATGCAAGTGAGAAATACATGTTCGTTATGTTAAAAGACAGCAGCTGGCTCTTGCATTGCGGAGGCCTCCGAGTTCGGTGCTAAAGCCAGCGGCATGGGGAAGGACTCCTCGCCCAACATGCCGCGGAAACAGGTCAATAGCACGTTGTTGTTGTGCTGAATGAGAGCGTTGCTAAACTGATTCTTCTGCAGCTCCTTGATGTCTAGCAGGCTGTGAATGGCACCCGCCTGCTCATCTTTTAGTTGTTGCAGGACCTGCTTTAACTCCTTGTTGTCAGTTTCTTTGAGTTTGCTCAAAGTGAGGGTCTGCTGTTGATTGTTCTCGAAACTGCATTCTTCATAAATGGTTTCCATAAGAAACAGGAGCAAGGAGGCGGCGTAGTGGGTAAGGAACAGGAACTTGTGGAAGGCAATACTTTGGGGCTGCTCTTTTAGAATTGTTTCCAGTAGATCCACAAAGAAGCGCTCCTGAGCTGAGTGAAAGCTTTCGTTCTCCTTTGGCGGCAAGTAGTTGATTGTCTTCTTTTCCACCTGACACTTGGGCGCAGACTGCCAAACAGGATCGAGATCAAAGGTGTCCAGAATGCGTAGGCGCAGAAGGAGAATAGGTTCTGCAGCAAACATGCTGCTCTGCAGACTCTGGACAGGGGCTCCTCTGGAAACGTTCAGCTTCAGCGGATTCACCCTATTTTTAACATATGAATATGTTGCTTTTGCGCTGGCACACTTTTCTAGTTGGTTAAATTCTCGCCTTAGGCAGTAAATTTGCTTCAGAAGATCACCGTGTTTCAAGTTTTCCCTTTCTGTATAGGATCCTCCATATACGGGAACTGAAAATCCTAGAGCCTTGCTAGTCGCCTCCTTGTCCACAATGCAGAGACTATCCTCTAGAGGTTTCACCTTGTATCGACTGTAGAAGGTATTGGAGACTAGCACGCGCAAGTGGTGAAGATGTCTTAGATAAAGTCGATTATTGGTCTCGTATGCAAAGATGGATCCCTCGATGGCATCTATCTGGAGGTTCATGTACAGTCGGCAGGCGATCTCGTGTTGCATTAGGAAGTCCTGGGGTATCTGAGATCTGGCAAACAATGGCATCACCATGGTGTCGTTTGGCTGAGCAAGCTTGGCTTGAATCTCCATCAGCAAATGAGGCAAGCCAGGAGTGTTCTTTTGGTAATTTAGGCAGATGATATACACTTCAGAATTTCCTCGCTTGGAAGTTGCAGGTTTAAAAATGTGCACCTTCTCAAAGATGCAGTTCAGCATGTACAAAAGTGACACACTGCAGGCCTCGAAGAGCGTAAACATTTTCACCAGAAAGTTGCCTCCATTGGAGAGAACTTTTAAAGCACTTAACACTTCAGCGAAAAACAGGCGAACCACAATCTCTTCTTGGCAATCTGGCTGTGCCGCGCAATCGATGGAGCCATCGGCAGTGACCAAATCCACTTGTCCCTGAAAGTCTTTTGCACATCGTTCTGCCAGGTTTTCTATATTGCCCACATCTAATATATTGCCAGTGAGATCCTTGTGAAATAGCCAATTGTCCAGGGTGTGAAAAATAAACCTGTCATCGCTTATCATCTGGTTTAGAGCGTTGCCCTCGAAATAGGGGTTCAAGGTAGTCGATCTCCAGTGCCATTTAATCTGCAAATAAAGTTTAGTTATTGATTCTTCAAAAAGCTTATTTTTAAACTTGCCTCATCTTTAGTGTATTTACTGTGTAAGTAGTGATTTAGAGAAGCAATAAATGCTCCAGGAGCCTCGCAGAGGTGCAGGGTGTTGACCACTGGAGTCTTAACCAAAGGATAGCGATGTAAGCACTCAAAGAACTTGCACCAGGCGACAGTTACAAACTCCGCTTTGGTCTCATTTTTGAGTCGCCAGGATACCTCGCCAGACGGATCCCTTTTGTTGGTATGAGCACTCCAATCCTGAACTCCATAATCATTAAGTTTGCTTTTAACTGCATTTAGCTGCTCCCTGAGTCCTTGAAGCGCCTCGTACTGGTAAAACTCACTGCAAAGAGCCTGTTCCTGCGCAGGCAACTGCCATGATTCTTTTCCCCGTGGCTTCTGGTAGAAGAACTTCTTCTCGAAGAGCTGTTCCAGTTCAGAGGTTGACTGATAGTCCGCCTGTAGAGGAAAAAGAATAAGATAAATCAGGATTTGACGTACAATTCTGCACTTACTCTTGGGTATTTAAACTGTAAACTCATTCCGGTGATGTTTAAATCAGAATTCGCAAAAACAACGCCGATCCCTTTTGAGATTCGCACATTAGAGATGGTTGAAGCTAAACGCGATCCATCGCTTAAGTTCTATCGATGGTAACTTAAACCCGGTAAGCTTATCGATTATGATATCAAACTTGAATTGATTTGGCACACTAAGTACTCAATTAACTGATGTTAATTATTTTAAACATATACAAACATTGATATTGTAAAAAATAACAAAATAAATTTTAATAAAATGTGTACATTAAACTTGTAACTACCTAATGTATTCGTTGGCAATTGATTTTTTTTTGTTTTGAAGATTATTATTGTTTATAAGAATTTATGTAAGAAATATTTTATTTCAATATAAAAAAAAATTTGAAAAAAGGTAATTTTTGAATAAAGGAACACTGCTGATATTACTTTTCGAAATGCAAACCTTTTGAATAAAAGACACCTAACTCAATTTAAAAAACTAAATCTTTGTAAAAATGTTAGGCCATAAGTCATAACTAAAACGTCGTCATGTCTCTTTGAAGTTCCTTAGTGTATCTTCTAGTAAAAGAACTTCCTTTGCACCCTCAAAGCCGATCATCGTCAAGGCATTTCCCGTAGAAATTGGTAGTTGGGAATGTGTGTCTGAAATACCAAATGGCTTATTAAAATTAATTTCTTCAGTTCTATGGATAGTGTTTTAGAAAGCGCAAGCCAGTCGACAGATAAGGGGTCTCCAAACTACCTGGTTACAAAACGATTGGTCATAAGCCGTTAGTGCTTCGATTGCGCATACTAATATTAAATTAAAATTAATTTTATTGATGCGGATAGGCCAAAAACGGAAGTCGGAGAAATTGTAGAAAAGTTATGAGTAAGCCCTAAAATCGTATATACAACATTTGTAATTTCTGATGGAATGTGGTTATGTCTTGGGGGTTTCGGAATTTCAGCCTCAATCATCGTGGTCAACGGGTTTACTTGATACGTGCATGCTTTGCCGGCTTTATAGCCATTTGAAACGTGAGTCGTGTTCATATGAATAATAATAACGATATTCAAATTATGAGTTTCCAAAGCCGTCGAAAGCAAAGGATCGGAAAGCGATCCCGGGTGAGAGAAGGGGCTTCGCTGCTGCCTGTGGCTCGACATCGGCCGTGAGTAACGTTCCCTGCCTTTCTATATCCATATATCCCACATATAAATAGCAGGTCGGAGCACATACATATAGGTGTAAGTCCGCGGACCAGTGTTTGTGCCGATATGTATATAGAAGAGACCGGCACGTGACTGTTTTGTATAATCGCGCATAAATATCTGTAATGTAATGCCTATAGACGGTTCACAGAAGCCCCGGCAGCGAACCAACGTTCTATAGTCGCTTCGGGGTAATCGTCCCGCCAAGATCTATGCCTCTTGCTTGCTCCTGCCATGGCTTCTATATCTTCGGGCGGAAGTAGCAATCGGTGCGCATGCGCCGTGTTTGGCGCTGAATATGGTGGCCGTGGCCAATGCATTTTTGGGGCTCGCTGCGGGCCGACAAATTCCGATTCCGAAACGACAACGACTCGGACGTGGACACGGCTATTGTTGGCAACAAAATTTTATTTCATTTCATATTTTTCTCAAAAGGGAGTTCATTAATATTCCGGGCAGACGGCATTGCGCTAAAAAGCGGCTTAAGCGGTCTTGCTCCGTCTCACCCCGCCCCTCGTCCGACTACCTGTCGCCGTGTACAGGTAAGCCTGTACAGGTATCACCCCCACTCTGCGATGGTGTGCGTGCGCTGGCAACGGGCCGCAATCCCCGCTTTTTCTCCATGTGTGAGTGTCAAATGCCAACTAATTGAAACTTCTTCAATTGCCGAGGTGTGGTGCTGAGCTCGCCGCTCGGCTTCGGAATCAGTTGCCAATTAGTCTCCACCGCTGACGGATTACGCTTGCCTTCCTCCAATCCAGCAGGCCAGAAAACCAGCAGTTCTCCAGTCCAACAGCCCAGCAAACCAAAAAGCACAGCAAACTTGTTAAGTGCTTTTCAAAACAACAAGCGTTTCATTGATAAAAGCCATTGACAACAAGCGGGTAATAGAAGACCACTTTGTGCCCAGTGAGAGTATTTTTGTGAATCGTGTGCGAACTCGGTTTTTGGAGCTATTCTGAAGCGATCGTATCGAATCTGTTGGTAAATTGGCAAGATGTCGGCATAGCTGACGTTGAAAAGCGATTTTAAAGAGCGCTATGCTGCATCTAGTCAGTTGTTCAATGGAACAGTCAACATGATCAAGAAACCAGCAGCTTTAAAAATACTTTGGAATACATAAAACTGGAATATAAATCTCTATTGCTTATTAGTTTCTCAGTTTATTGCAGATACCTATTAAAGATGCGTAGAGCTGATCTAAAGGATATTATGAGAAAAAATGTATACATTTTATAGTATTGCCAAAACAGCGAGGGAAACCAATGGTTTACAACAAATACCATAAAAAATCTTTAAGTTGCTGAAATAAAAATGTAGTTACTTGTAAGAAACTCAGTTGTCAAGGAACTTTTTTTTGGATACCGGACTTGTTCAAAATATTATATCTGGTAAACAAGCATGTCATATGTTCGCCTCCAATAAGCTAATTGCCAATAAATACATTATTTGTTAATATAAATTGGTTGTTTGGATCTTCTGTTGACTTTTCAGCTTTTATTTGCCCAAGAAAACAAACAAAATTCAAAAAGCGCTAAAATCGATTGCAGATCGATAGGCAGTGCCGTAAATCAACGGAAACCAACCGATATTATTAATCAACGAAAGCCCATCTCTAAACAGCTGTTTTGGTTAACAAAACACAATTCTATGCCAATTGTTTACAAAAACACTCTAAAAGAGGCTAAGCAAACAATTGGCAGGCAGTTGAAGGCTGGCCAATCTCTGATTAAACTATTCCATAAGTGATGGACAGCCAGGTAAGAGAGCAGCTCTTTAAGCACGAGTGCTTACAACTTGCTGCGTTCCTAACCGAAAGATAGTAGCTACAACTACGTCCCCTGTGACTGTGGTAAAATTATCGCTTCACAGCAATTAGTCGTAGTTATCAAGGCGCCCATTGTGATAAATCTAAATACGCGAGCAATAGCGTGTCTCCAGTATTCGGGTATTGGCGCAGAATGACGTAATTTCGCTGCGGGGGCGTTGTCTTGTTTTTCCTTACGGCGAGATAATACCAGGTGTTATCCCCTTTACCACAGGCACCGATCGATGATCTGCTGCTGGACATTGTAGACAATGCTTGGCGCATGGAAGTTCTGCCGTTCGACCAGATTCTAGTGCCACGCGAAAAGCTACCCGATCCGGAGGCAGACGGCGGTGATTCACACCTAACGGTCAGCGAACAGGTAAGCATTATTGCTCGAATTTAATCAGCAGATCTCCTATGCTGTGCTTACCTTTTAACAGGAGCAAAAGTGGACTGATCTTGCGTTGGGCTCGCTGGCACCGGACGCAGCCCTCATCGACCAGCTCAACATCACCTCTATCTAACCAAGGACCTCGAGTCCACGGGCGAGCGCCACCGCCTCGCCCACCAGCCTGTTGGCGCCACAAGCCCAACTCCTAACACCCCGGCAACATGACTAGCAACAATCAAAGCAATAGCTTGAATCACCAGCACCTGCACTCGCCTTCTAAACTAACCGAATTCGCACGCAACTTCGAGGACAAGCCGGAATCGCTCTTCGGCCGTGTGGTGAACAAAATCCAGAATGTCTATAACCAGAGCTACAACACCGTCAACGACATTTCCAGCGGGAGCAGCAGCAGTGCCTCCTCGCAGACCGTGCAAGTGGTGGGAAAATCTCAGTTTTTCAGCGAAACTCAACCCTCCACCCCTGAAGCCGCCAATGTGGAAAGCTCCAGCGTGGGATCGGGGCGCCCACAGCCGCCTACCACGCTCAACATAAGGGCAAATAGCGAATCCCGCAGCATAGGCACCTCCAGTAACACCGCAACCGAGGATTCCGAGCCCACCGAGCGCGTCGAGGCGCTGCCTCTGCCAACCAACGAAGCGAATCAGGGGCGGACCGTTTCCAATGTGCTCAAGCACATCAGCAATATTGTGGCCACAAAAAACAATAACGTGAGTGAAAGTTGTTTACTCGCTAACGGTTTAAAGCCAAAGTATTAACGAAAAAACATGAGGGAGGAAATGATTCACAGGAATTTGTTCACAGGGTTTTTATCAAACATTTGAGTTGACTAATTTGTGGTTCAGCACAAATATATTTTTTTTATACCCTTGCAGAGGGTTTTATAATTTTAGTCAGAAGCTGACAACGCACTTAAGGAGATACCTCATCCCAATAAAGTATATACTCGTATATTCTTGATCAGCTCGTCTGTCTGTTTATATGTAAATTAGTCATTTAGTTTTAAAGCTATCTTGCTTAAACTTTGCCAAAAGTTGTGTGGTTATTGCACGCAGCATATAAGTCGGAACGGATCGGGCGATGAATCGGACTAATTATTGACTTAAAAATAGTTTTGCTAAAAAGCGACCGAAATTCACAACTTCTGAGGGCATAACTTTTCATATTTTCATCCGATTTTAAAATGGCATACCTCTAAATGATTGTGTTTCAATTCTGTAATTAATTGTATCATTAGTTAATTAGACATCAATTGAAATACATCTTCCAGGATCTACGCAACTACAAGGACACGGAACTGCAGCGCTTCTGGATGCCCGACTCAAAGGCCAAGGAGTGCTACGACTGTAGCCAGAAGTTCTCCACCTTCCGCCGAAAGCACCACTGCCGGCTGTGCGGTCAGATCTTTTGCTCGAAGTGCTGCAACCAAGTGGTGCCTGGCATGATCATCCGCTGCGACGGCGATCTCAAGGTGTGCAACTACTGCTCCAAGATAGTGCTGACCTTCCTGAAGTCATCTAGCTCGGAGATGGGCCAGGATCTGCAGGCACTGCAACAGCACTTGAGCAACAAACTGGAGGTCCAGGATAGTGGCACTCCGCACGCGAAGCATCCGCAGCAGCAGAGGGCACCACTGTCTCGCAAAATGTCCGTGGGCTACCAGGAGGAGCGCTTCAGTTCGCATCCCACGCACACCACTCTTTCCATTGATGATCGAAAGAACATTCTGCAGCAGTCGAACTCTTTGATTACTCTGCACGAGGAGATGCAGCGCGATCTGCCCGCCCAGAATTGTGGCCAGCGTCTGATTGAGTTCCTCAACAGCAACAATAAGTCAGCTAACGAAGTGCAGGCGGTGGCAATTCTAAATGCCATGCTGGCCGCTGGATTTCTCGAGCCCATTGTCCCGGATCCTGAGCAGATGGAGTTCGACCCCACGCTGCACTATAAGTTCGCCAAGAGCAGCAGCTCGGACACATCGCGTACGATGAGTCCCCAGTTTGAGGCGGCACCCCATGCGGAGCCTCAGCCTCCGAAGTCGATGGACCTGTCGGCCGAAGAAAAGGAAAAGGAGCTGGAGAACGAACTCGAGAACGATCGCTGCTTCACCACAGCCACTTCGAATCTCCTTGCATCCTACTGCGAGCACGAAGAGCAGCTGCTGGCGCAAATGTTGCGCGCCCACAACTTGGACCAGGAGTGGGACAAGGTGCTCCAGATGCTCTGCTCGACGGCCGCCAATCACTTCAAGCCGGAGCACTGCAGCAACGATCTGATGGACATCCGCAACTATGTGAACTTTAAGAAGGTGCCGGGTGGCAGGCGCAAGGACTCCAAGATTGTGCATGGCGTGGCCTTCTCCAAGAACGTTGCGCACAAGGACATGGCCACGCGGGTGCCCTTTCCCCGCATTCTGCTGCTGCAATGCCCCATTGGATACGAGCGTATTGAAGGCAAATTCGTGACCATTGAGACCGTGCTGCTGCAGGAGAAGGAGTACTTGCGCAATGTCTGTGCCCGCATCATGAGCTTCACCCCCAATGTTGTGCTGGTCCACAAAAATGTGGCGGGAATCGCCCAGGATCTACTCAGATCCTATGGAGTAACGCTCGTATTGGATGTGAAGCTATCGGTAATGGAGCGTCTGTCTCGCACTTTGCAGTGCGACATTGTCAGTTCCATCGAGTCGAATATCACCATGCCCAAGCTGGGCTACTGCAATGATTTCTACATAAAAAGCTACAACGGCAAGACGCTGATGTTCTTTGAGAAGCTAACCAATCCACGGGGATACACTTGTCTCCTGAGAGGCGGAAGCAATGCGGAACTCGCCAGGGTCAAGCGGGTGGCCTCGGCGTTGCTCTTTGCCCGTTACAACTGGCGCTTGGAGATGTCTTTCCTGCTGAACGAATTCGCCCAGCCACTGAGTCCGAAACCCTCGATTTTCGACTCCAAGGAAACGAGTCCGAAAACGGAGACGGAGGCGGAGCTGCGTGCTAAACGACCTGCTATTGTGGAGCGCAAGTCGGAGGACAAGATCACCACCATTGTCAGCGAGAATGTCTCCGATTTTACGGACCCACTGCGGGCAACCCAAACCGAGGCGCTGTCCACCTCGCCGTGTGCACCTCCTGTGGTGGAGGCTCTGGCAGTGGAGCCGCGATACGATAATAGATTCCGCACGGCACTCAGTTCCACGCTGCTCTCTGTCAGTCCCTTCCTGACTTTCCCGCTTCCGTATTTGGAAACGGAGCAGGGTCGGAAGTGCAAGCTGCGGAAGCTCTTTCCCGCCGAACTGTACTTCTCCAAGCAATGGTCGCGATCTGGATTGGAGAGGCCAGAAAGCACGGGCGACAGCGAGGCCTCCAAATCGGAGCCGGGCAACAAGGAGAACCAGCAAATGCAGCTGCTTCCGCCGCATGACTTTGTGCAGATGAAGATGACGGCACCTGCGAGCAGTCGGGATATACAAACGAAACTGGCCGAGTTCCGCTCCTTTGGCGGTCGCTTACCCAAGGGCACGGCTCCCAGTAAGCGCAAAATGCCCTCCCTCTATAAATACGTATCCTTATCCCTCGTTTATCCCACAGTGCTCCGGCCGAAGAAGAAGAACGCGGAGGTGATTCAGCGGCCGCAGAAGGTCAGCGAGGAGCAGCTGTACAAGGATGCGCTGGATCCGCAGAACCACCAGCGTCTGCCGGTGCTCTTCTGCAGCTTCCACTACAATCCCAAGGGCGTCTCGTCCTTCTGCAAGCTGCCCATGCTGCTGGACATGAAGTTCTACGGGCAGTACGACATCATGTTGGAACAGTTTCTCCAGCGCTACTGCTGTCTCTTCAACTCGATGTGCCCGTCCTGCAACCTGCCGATGCTGGGCCACGTGCGTCGCTATGTCCACTCGCTGGGATGCGTGCATGTCTACCTCACCGAGGACCTAACCCGTTCCGACCCTAAGCGCATTTACTTCACCTCCTGGTGCAGCATTTGCAATGCTACAACCCCCACAATTCCACTCGCCGACTCAGCCAAGTGCCTTTCGCTGGCCAAGTACCTAGAGATGCGGTTCCACGGCCACGCCTACAAGCGACGGCCCTCTCCGGTGGACGCAGAGCAGGGCGGCAGTCCGTGCGAGCACTCCCTGCATCGCGACTATGTTCACCACTTCAGCTTCCGCGGAGTGGGCGCCAAGTTCCAGTACACGCCCGTTGAGGTTTGGGAAACGGATCTGCCCTCGCTGGTCCTGCAGCTGGATATTCCGAAGCCCTTTCCCAGCGCCCAGGCCCAGGAGGAGATCAAGAACTTCTCGGTGCGGGGCCACGAGGTGTACAACAGGATTCACGAGCGCATTGCCGATCTCGCCACCGAGGAGGAGAACTCCCCGCTGGTGCAGCAGCTGAAGACCATGCTCACCCACGACCAGTTCATCTTCAAGCAGAAGATCGAAATCGTGCACACGCTGCTCACGGACAGCAGGGCCACCGCCTTCGACACCAGCGATGCCCTGGCCATGGCGAGGAGAGCTCTGGCCGAGAGCATCGAGCTGTGGGGCCCGCGGCTGCAGGAGATCGAGAAGCTGACCGCCAAGCAGGCGCACCATATCGACTCGGGAACCATCTGCACGGAGGAACTAAGGCCAGAGCTTGCTGTGGACTCGTCTAAGGCCAACAGCTCCAATTCTCAAAAGGAGAACGAAGCCTTGGAGTGTCCAAGCGAGGATACCGAAACCAGTGCATCCAACAGCCAGTCGGTTTCGGAGAAGAAGTTCTCCATCGACCAGCTGCTGGCATCCACCGTCAACGTCTACTCGGATAAGAAATCCATCAAAAAGATTCTCACCCAGCTGCTGCCCTCGGGGAATCAGGTGAACCCGCTGCAGTCGCCTTTTCCCGCACAGGATCATCTGACGCTTCCCTTGGGCGGTATTCCCATCCACGTCCGGGAAAACGATCTGAGCTCGGTGATTGCCTACAGCTTGACCTCGGCGGAGTATCAGAAGGCAATCGAGGAGGCGGAGGCCAACACCAATGGGGCTTATTGCAGCACTGCTGCTCACTCAAGTCCGCAGCTGAAGCGGAAGATCCCGCTGGCGGAGAACATGAGCGATGCCGAAGACAGTCCCAGCCTATCGCGAACCTCGAGTAACACAAGCGCTGCTCCAAGTGCTTCGATTCCTCCTTCAGCTGCCGCGACTTCCGAAACGGAGGAGAAGAGCAAGGAACGCACCAAGCAGGCACCGAGTCCACACATCACTCTGGCTTTCCAGGACAGCAGCTGCCAGTTTCAGTGCAAGATCTTCTTTGCCCGAGAGTTCGATGCAATGAGAGCGAAGAGCCTGAAGCCTCCCAAGCTGGACAAATCCCTGTACCGCCGGCTGGAGAAGAGCAAGATGCGCGAGGAGTTGAGAATCTCACAGAGTCGCACCGGTTCCGAAATGGAGCTGGTGCGCAAGCCCAGCGACGTTGGAGGCCCACGGAACACGGAGGAAGCAACTGATCTGGAAGAAGACGCAAGGATTGCCCTGGCCAGAAGCCTCTGCAAAAGTGTCCAGTGGGAGGCGAGGGGCGGTAAATCAGGATCTCGCTTTTGCAAAACGTTGGGTAGGCTTATCTATATATTAAATTCAAGTCACCAGTACTCAACTGATTTTATCACCAACAGATGATCGCTTTGTGCTCAAGGAAATGAACTCCAAGGAAATGAACATCTTCGAGCCATTTGCTCCGAAGTATTTCGAGTACATCGACAGGTGCCAGCAGCAGCAACTGCCCACACTGCTGGCCAAGATCTTTGGGGTCTTCAAAGTGACCGTTAAGAAAAAGGAGTATGTTCATTCTAATATATTTTCTTTTTACTTTTATTAAGTACAAAAATATTCCTAATCTTCAGCTCCTGCGTGGAACGTTCGGTGATGGTCATGGAGAATTTGTTTTACGGTTGCGAAATCGATAATAAATTTGACTTGAAGGGCTCGGAGAGAAACCGTTTGGTGGATCCCAGTAACCAACAGGGCGAGATCGTACTGCTGGATGAGAATCTGGTGCAGAGTAAGTATTTATTAGAAACCAACATTAGAGTTTTAAACTTAATCTTAATGTTGTTTACAGTGTCCTGGTCGAAGCCTTTGTATGTGCTGTCGCACAGCAAAACAGTGCTGAGGGATGCCATCCAGCGGGACTCTTCTTTCCTGGAGAGAAACCTCGTCATGGACTACTCACTTTTAGTGGGTTTGGACACGAAAAACAGCGTTCTGGTTTTGGGTATTATAGGTGAGTCTTGAACTAAATTAATCGATTTAATTGTACTATCAAATCGATTTGACTTACAGATTACATACGCACCTTCACCCTGGACAAGAAAGTGGAGTCCATCATCAAGGGATCGGGCATTCTGGGCGGCAAGGGCAAGGATCCCACGGTGGTCAACCCGGAGCGCTACAAGCAGCGCTTCATCGACGCCATGGATCGCTATTTCCTCACAGTTCCGGATCGTTGGGAGGGCCTGTCCAAGGTCTAATCCCAGCGACACCCATCCACACAAAGTGCACACAAACTAGTTTACACAACATAGCTATAGACGCAATAAAGCAGACGCCAATCCCACTCAATCCGATTCCAGCAACACTCTGTCAGCCAGCATTTCCGACGCCGCAGGCGAATTGATTTGCCCTTGACCCGCATCCGCACCCCGGAAGCCACCGCTGCTCATGACAATTGAAAGCCATGTACGCCGGAGTTGCGTGCCAGGCGAAAAGGAAATTATTATCATGATGGAGACCGCGTCGCGAAATGAAATCGTTAAGAGGCGAGTAAATCAGGCAAATGTGCTCGTTGGAGCCTCATAAGCATGGTTTCATTAGCGAGGCGTCAAAACGCCGCGAACTGGGTTAAAGAACTCAATTCTGACAGCTGCAGCGGGTGGCCAAAATGGGAATCAAAACACCATTTCATATTCAAATCAACTGCAGCTGAGAACTTTTGATTTCAACGGAGCCGGAGGAGGATGGGGATGGGGAGGGGCAGGCCATAAACTACGCGATTGCATGTGGCAGCACTTCTCTAAGTGCTGAGCCAAAAAAACGGAATGCCCACATTTAGCCCGCTTTTGTTGCTATTCCCCCAGTGACACCTCAAGTCAGTCGCCGTGGGAAAATGTTGGAAAGGCAGAAGCGCAGTGGAGTTGCGACGGAGGGCGGTGACGGAAAGGTGGAAAAGTCGGAAAGTTGGCGTGCGAAAAGTGGCTAACTTCTTGGTGGCGCACCGTTCAGTTGGGATTTACGATTTGAGCGGTCAAGTTGTGGAGCGGCGAGCTGCGCTTGAATGGCGCCATTTGCGGTTCGCTGGGTTCGGAGGGACTGCTGGCTTAGTGGACGGCCACTGGCCAAGGGTGTGTGCCCGACATGAGTGCCTCAAGTTCTACCCGCAAAGTGCAGACTCATTTAATGTTTAATTAAAGTGCAGCCCCAGAAAAGCAAACCAACAATGGCGATTGCCTACGACTGGAAAAGCAACGATGTGTAAGGAGGGATTCTAGTTCCCAACTTTCCTAGTTTCGCCTTTAAGCAATTCATATTTAATGACCTCTCCAGCAAGTGGTTAAAGGTCTAAAGAAAGTTAAATAAAACTTATGTTCCTTGAAGGTTTTAACGTATTTCTGACCCAATTTACTTGTCGCAGAAAAGGTTTTATGTATCTCCTTAGTGAGTGCCAAGTTTTTAATCCATATTTAATCAGGAAGTATCCTAAAGAGTATAATGAAAAAGGATTTAAAGGCTCCCACCTTTAGCCTTTTCCCTATACAGTAACCAGTTTCAGCTTTCAACTGATTTAAAGTGATTGATGTTAGACCTAATCGAAATCCCGGTTGCGGCTGACCTTGTCTTGTTTTTATGCCTGTTAACATAATGGTGCATTCTTGTTTATTGCATTACGTATACGCCCCGTGGCGTGACTAGGCTGTGTAACAGCAATTAAATCGTCATAAATCTGCAACTGTAATTATGTGTGTCCAGGTATCGCAATGGCCGGCCAACGGCTGATTAGCATATTTAAATGGGTTGCGTTACGCTGGCCCGGTTTAAAAATAGCCAAAGGTCATTTGGCATTGTCAAGATTAGCCGTTCGCCAGCTGGACTTTTTATTGCGAAGTCCTAGGGCGACTTCTCTTTCTGTGGGGCGAAAGTTGGCCAGAAATTGGGTCAGACTTCGTCGGGGGCCTAGTTACGTGCAGCCCTTTAATGTTTCTGTCTGTTTCCGTTTCTGATTCAACCAGCACCAATCACGCACACTCCCCCCGCATCACGAAAAAGAAATTACAGATTTCGGATAATTCAACATTTTGGCAGCCATCAATTATAGCCATTCAACTGGCACATTTCCCCGCACGCACGAAAACTTTCAGCCATGGCGAGAAGTTTAAATTCCGATGGCAGCGCAACAGGTGTTTGTGGTCACATTTAGCCAGGTACCGGCCGTAAAAACCGAATGCAATTTGCATGCGCGCTGGCTCACCTTTGACTGGCAATCCTTGTGCATTTTAAATGGACTCCGCGCTGGGGCGACGAGTCCTTGGCAATGCCTCAACAAAAAACTCATTTCCGGATATGGATAACCAAGGACCTCCTTCAGTGGGGCGCCAGCCGTTGCCAGGACTAACAAAAGTCGCCGATTTCGTGAGCTATTGATTGGCATCGATTGGAATGGGGAAATTCCATTTTTGAGATTTCCAGGGACAGATCTGCCAAGAAAGGGGGAATTTAATTCCAATTTTTTTGCACAAAATTCTCCCTTTAAATTTAAATTATATTTCATTTTTTTGAGCTCATTAAAAAAAAAAAGGAATTTAATTCCGATTTTTTGTACAAAATTCTCCCTTTAAATTTAAATTATAATTCATTTATTTGAGCTCACAAAAAAGGTTTTTTTTCCGGACACCTTAGCCCTTGGATCGACCCTGTCTTCGGCCACCGGCTGCTCCCGTCGAATCCAATAGACAATTTTCTAATTTGCAGCAATTTCATCCGCTTCCCCATTCATTAGTTTGTTTACAAAGGCTTGTGAGTGTGCCTAGCAACTTGGTAACCGTGGCACGCCATTTGTCTGGAAATGGAAACGGAGGTGGATGTGGATGTGGATATGGAGGAATGCCTTTGCTGTCTGAAGTCACCTCCACCTCCCACTATTTATCCCGCCGATCCGAGACTTTTGCGTGGCAATGGCAAGCGGTTGGCGGGAGTTGGATGAATTTGTGCCCCCGTTATTAGGGGACCTACCTGTTATTTGGTTGTGGTGGCGACCACCGGCGGTGCCCGCAACTTTTTCGCTCAGTTGGCAGCCAAAGACAAGACGAGTCGGATGTTTCGAGAACTCACATCGGGAATCCTAACCAGACTTTGTGCTATCCCACAGCTTTGATGCCGACTTTGGCTGGAATCGGTCCTTCTCCGAGCCCGATCTCACAGCCAACCAGAAGCAGGGCGAGCTCAGCCGGTTCGCCATCAAGCATCCGCACGAGTACATAGCCGTCGATGACCTCAAGTACTTCCGCCGCCGCCAGCCCGTCCACCTGCACACCAGGAGCAACGTGTGCCTCTATAGCGGCGATGAGCCAGTGCCCAGCTTCGGCTCCCTGAAGTCCGAGTACCGCAAGCACTTCCGGGGCCACGGCACCCAATCCCGACCCAGATCCTTGCTGCGACGCGCCACCTCGCTGCGCTTGGAGGGATTCATGCAGCTGCTGTCGGAGCACCAGGAGAAATACCACTGGTACACGCCCGAGGACCTGCGATTGTGAGTTTCTTTCCCTAATTACCTAATTGTAGCCCATAGTTAAAGACAAGAATCGATTATCAATTATTCATATTGGGTGGTCCTAAGCACTAGACAAACCTCTTGATAAGCCAAGTACGTTACTAAAGAAATAAGTTCTGCACAACATTAGTTAATGATTTATTCTGGAGTGGTTTAGGAATATTTTCTTCCTTGAGAAGGCATCAGAAAAGTTAAAAGTTCATAGTAGTTTTCCATTAGGAATCCGAAAAAAGAAATCAATTTCCCTGTCTGTGGATATAAATTGGACAAGTATTAAATACATGGCAAAATACCCTCAATCAATGACTTGGTAATTGAATAAAAACCAATCAAAATCAATTTACTTTCCCCACCACAGCTCCCGCACCTTTCCGGTCCGCAATCCGGAGAACCTGCAGCTGGGAGAGGGAGGCGGCGGCGGCGCCACCGATGGCATGAAGAACTCCTCGTACCTCATGCTGGACCCCAGCACCAAGATACTGCCACGGGAGGTGTTCCTCGACGAGGCCGAGTTGGCGGCCAGGAATCAGCATCAGCCCGGCAGCAAGCTGGCCACGGACAAGTTCCGGCGGGATGTGGCCGCCCAGGAGCAGCAGCGGTGCCACCTGCAGATGCGGGCCCAGGCGGTGGACAGGGAGCAGCAGGGCCAGGTACCGGAGCCCTCCGAGTACCGGCGCCAGTTCGTCCAGCAGTTCCCCGAGAAGGCGCACTCCATTCCGCAGATGAGCAGCATCAAGATCCAGGGCGAGTTCGTGGCCGTGCCAGAGTACCGGGACAGCTTCCGGATGTACGCCAACTACTCGAAGAGTGCGCCCATCAAGAAGGACGACAACCTGCGCGTCTCCGGCTCCGAGGCAGCCGGGGCACCCGGATCCGAGGTGCCGGAGTACCGCGACAAATTCATCGACCCACCCAAGCACGTGGTCAAAGAGAAGTCCCTCAAGACGGACGACCACCTGCGTCCGCGCGGGGAGTTCACCAAAGAGATTCCCGAATACCACGAGAGCTTCCGAGATCCCCACATCACCGAGATGCCCGAGCGGGGCAAGCCCAGGGAGCCCTTCCTCCGCCTGCGCGGCAAGATCGAGTTCAACCCGGAGTACAGGAACAACTACCAGGACTTCCCGCGCTCCCGTCCCGTCGTCCAGAAGCCCACCTCCTGCTTCCGGCTGCCCACCTCGGGCGTCGGCCACGCCCCCTCCGTCCACCACCAGCCGGAGCGGGATGAGGATCTGGAGACGCCCGTCCTGGTGACAGTTCCTCCATCGGAGGTCACGGCCACGCCGGAGTACCGAAGGGCCCAGTACAACTACCAGTTGCGGGAGCGTCCCAGGGACTCGGAGGGAGCCCCACCCGGTGCACCTGCCAATCTCCGCAAGAGTTCCGATTCCTCCTTGGAGGCGAGGCAGCCGCCAGTGCAGGCTCCCCACAAGCGGAGGACCTCCAGGCAACGGCAAGCCAAGGAGCCGGAGCAGCCGGTGGCCACCAGGTTCGAGGAGGTGGGCGGCAACGCGGCCAAGAAGCCGGCCAGATACGGAAGGAGAGCCTCTGTGCTCCAGAACGCAGCCAGCTGCCGGGAGAACTCGTCGATCATCGAGGGGAATCCCAAGTACGCTGTGGGATGTCGACGGGCCAAGCAGCCGGCAGGAGGTCAGGCGCAACCCGGATCCTTCGTGGTGCTCGACGAGCCCTGCAAGCCTTCCAACTGGATGAAGAAGACCTGGTACGACTCCTAGGTCGGCGCATCTACACCTAATCACTAGTATTCTGTTTTAAATCTGTCTATTGTAAAAGAATTAAAAACAAGCAACGATATAAGAGATTTTCAATGCAACAAAAGTCTATTTATTTCAATTAAACTACTTGATTATTAATCTATTTACTTTAAACTATATAAGAGTTAACATTTTCGCATACCTTGGGGTCTACAGTCTTCTTTTTTAATGGCGCAAAAACGTAAACAAACCACTGACTCTCTCACCTCAAAAATGTTTGGCTCACTTTAATCTTATCTCGCCATTAAAGATAGTGATTCAAAGAGAGAATCTCATTACTCATAGTGGTTCAGTATCACCGCGCATTTCGCAAGCTACAGATGTAAAGAAGGAGCTTTTTTATCCAGAATTATAAGGGAAACTCCCACAGGAAGTGGAGTCACGGCAGAGATGGAGGTCCATGCCGCCAATCCTCCACCGCATATACTGGGTTATACGATCCGGAGTCGAACGCGCATCTGGGTTTCCTATATAGTGCCCACTTGTCTGGGCCTCCTAGTTTACATCGTCCAAACTGCCTCGGATTTAGCTTTGAGCTACCAGCATTTCAGCCAGAAGGAACCAGGATTCGGAGCGGGCACCCTGGTCCTGGTGATCCTTCCTCCCTTGATCACCTTCCTCCTGGTTTTGGCCTCCAAGGAGCAGAGGGATTGCGCCTGTTCGCAGCGGAACAAGTGCATTGCCCTTGGCATTGGACTGCTGAAGCTATTGCTGTTCCCCTTTTTCGTGATTTACAGGTGAGTCGATGGGTAAAAATGTGGGTCACTGCCGTGTTTATTAACTTTTACCGATAAGGTTTTGTACGCGCTTATTTTGGGCCATCGAGGGTCTCTTCCACGACGAAGACGATGTGGAGCGCATGAAGTGCTTGGCCAAGGCCACAGAAACATCCAATATCGAATTGTATCTCCTGATACAAGCCTACGCTCAGGCAGCTCCACAGATTATTCTGCAGTTGTACTACATGCTGGCACAGGATATATTTCGGAACTATGAAACCAGTAAGTGAATTCCCGCATCTATGATAAGTTTTGTTGTAAATTTATTTCCCATTTTATAGCTGCTGTTCAGGCCATGTCCCTAGTTTTTTCCGCGATTGATCTGGCCGCCATAACCACCAGTTACCACAGGATCGAGAGCCAGAGGAGGGTGGGTCGCCACTATCCTTGGGCCACGCCCCAACAGGTGGACACCCATCGCTGCCAGTTGGAGCAGAATGAGCGCCTCTGCTGCGAAGCGGAGCAAAAGAAAAGGGAGTCCGAGCGCACCATAGCCAGCTTCCCGGAGTCGGACAAAATCATGGAGAACTTCCGGGCACGCAGGTCACTTCCCAATTCAGGTGAAGCCACCCACGAGTTGCACATTCGGGGAGAGGACGAGGTGGACAACGATGGCTTGGAGCATCTGGAGACGAGGGCATTGCTGCACTCTGGACCCAAAGACAATGCCACGGATGAGGAGAAGATGCAAGGTACTCGGCCTAAATTGAAAGTGAGATATGAAGACCTGGGTGATGTGAACACCATTGAGGTTTTGGACAGCATACCGGAAACTCCGGCGCCACCACCTCCTCCAAAAACAGCGCCACCGGAATTGCCTGTTTTGAAAACCACCGAAGATGACCCACCAACTCCTGATTTACGAAGAACCATGTCGGACAATGATCACCGCAGGAGTCGTCGGGTCACCAGACCTCTTTCACAGTTGGAAACCTTTAAGGACATGCTGCTGGTTAACGCTCAGCTTTACATCAAGGAGAATGTCCCGCATCCTCCAAAGTTGCTGATGGGCCGGGTCAAGGAAGAGGATCCTGAGGAGCGAACTATTCTGATTCCACAATCCCCCAAAGCATCTCCGCTGACTCCGAAGGATGTGGTTGATTTTTACTTCCCAAGACCCACAAAAATAGTGAATGGCATTCAGCAGGATGACTTTGCCGGTAGAACAGTGTCCTTCTTCGGATGGATTGCCTTTATCACCATGAGGATGCTGTCTTTGTCCACGTTCTGTGTTTTCTACCCAAAGGCTTTCTTCATCCTAGTTGGAGTTCATTATGCCCTGATGTTGGCTTGTCTGGCCTTGGAAACCCGTTGTCGAGGGAGCTGGAGTCGCAATCTATTCCTTCTACTACTCGCCTACATCTACATCTTTGTTCTAATGGAGTTTCGAGTGTGTTTTAAGAGCATTCGATGGTGGTACGGTGGTTATCTGGTGCTCACTCTGGCGGAGAACATCACCATATCATCCATTTGGTATGCAAACGAGGAGTTTGAGTCCTGGTGGTTTGGGTTCATTTGGGAGTGGATCGTTTACAGTGGAGTCCTATTTTTGGCCACCTTAATTGTTTACTATTGGATACTCCGGCCCAAGGAAGTGTCACTCATAGTGGAGGACGATTCTCCAGCTGATCAAGAGAACAGTCCAGAACAACAGGACGTTGCTTAGCAATAACCCGGTAGTTTGTTATATCGAAGTAGCCGTCAGTCTCTTACTGACAAACGAATAAATTATTTACCCTAGTATTAACACTAAAAATTAAGAATAAATAACTAATTCTAAAATGGTTGATCGTGGCAATAATTTAGTTCTTCCGGTGGGTCCCTGTTCTACGGAACTTACGGAATCGCAAGTCAGTTTTGCTCCACCCAAAATAAAGAAAGTTCTTCGTAAGTTTTGGATGATGAGATTTGAGTACCTTTTTAAAAAATTCTTTTGTTACTCCAGCAACTCGAGAGAATCGAATGGAGCAGTTCCTATGGCAGGAGCTTTTCGCCGAATACAACCGACAGGCTTCAGCTAAGGTGGACTTGGGTGAGGACCGCACGGAGTATTACGACCAATTCTGCAAGGATGTGCCGCCAAAGAACGAGGAAACCGAGGAAGTTCTAGCCAACAAGTATCCATTGTACTGCACCACTGCCGTAACCCTTTGGAATCACGAAGGAGATGTAACCAAGACCTTCAAGAGGAAATATTCCATAACCAGACCTATAAATGAGTGCACCGAAAAGTTTGCTCCCTAGGGGTTTCGGAATTGAAGTCTTTAATTCATATTATGCTGTGTAAAAACGTTTTCTTAAAATTAAGACCCAAATTTCGAAACTCATTGTTTGAAAATATAACATAAAAAGCAAATTTTCTAAGTTTGAAATCAATTTTTCCGAATCTCACAGACAACAGACACAGCCAATTGCTTTTAATTTCGGTTTGTTTTTTGAAAATTTGAACTGCTAGATTAACAGTTCACAGTATCCAGTACTAAGCATACGGTTACACTAGAATAACGCATCGATAACTTTTCATAAGAACCTCCGATGTTTGCTTAGAGAAGAAAAATATCGATAGCCTTCTCGGCCGCTGACGTGTATAAAATATCGAGGCACAGGCGGTGCTTTTGAGCAATTTTCTTTTATTTTCCTATAGAATATAAGCGGCGTGTGAAAGCGCAACAACAAATAGGAAAATGTTAAAGTTAGGTGCGTAAGTTACTTGGTGTTCAACCCAAAAACCTGGCGGCTTAAGCAACCTGCAGGGGAAACGCCGGCTGCAAAGACGTAGCTCTCTCGCTGTCTCTGTCTGATTTTCGTGGTTAAACGATTGCCGGCGACTTGGAACTAAATGGTGTTTTCTATCCACGCAGGTCTGATTCTTCTCTGCGTAATGGTCGCTTGTGGGCCAACGTGGAGTGCTCTCACCGTGGACAGCCATTTGGGCCCCAAAGATCTCAGCCGCCTGCAAAAGGTCTTCGTGGACGGATTCGGCTCCAGCGACCTGCAGTCCATCTTTTTCTCCAGCCTTAACATTCAACTGACCGACGCCACCCAAAAGGAGCCAATCTGCAAAAAGATTGCCACGCTACATGCAGAATCCAAGCTGAACGTATGTTTTTTCTCACACGCCCATTTGTGTATCCCTATTTATGCTTCATTATCTCCTTGCAGAGCTTCGAAAAGGACTACTACTATATTGGTGCTAGCAGAAACCTGGGCTGCTCTGCGAAGATCGACGAGAGTCTGCTCTCCAAGGTTTACGGTTCTCTGAACTCGGAACTGGGCAGCACCCAAGAGATCTTCTACCGCGTGGTTACCCACAAAGTGCTCGGCGTTGAGGTCAATGAGGCCGCACAAGGAAAACTAGTGAAGCGCCTGCAGGAACTGCTCAAGAAGGACGACACGCTCAGCGGTCTGGGCTACGCCTTCAATGTTGCCCCATTCCTGGGCGACAGTGCCTCCTTCATCGCAAACCGCGTAGAGGATGCCATTGTACAGGCTGATGAAGTGGACGGCAAGCTTCTGCAATTCGAAGGCGGTCTCAGCATCACTTCCTTGATCATCAACGGTGCCTTTGGCGTGAGCAAGACCTTTAAGAAGCCATTGCCAGTTACTGCCGATCAGGCTGTCAAGTTTGCCAACTACTTCCTCAGCCGGCGATCCGTCCAAACCGCCAAGGGAGCTCATGTGCTGATCGAGGCACTGAAGACCATCAGTGGTGCCGATAAAATAGCCCCCATTTGCGTGCAACTCATTGGCAATGGACAGCTGGAGGCCCAGTCGCCCACGCTGAACGTGGCTATTGTCGATCTGCTCGGCAAGCCCCTATCGCCTGCCCCCAAAACTATTAATGCCAAGGTTATCCGCAAGAAGGACAGCTCTGTGCTGGCTGAGAAGATCGCTGTAGCCTCGAAGTCCTCCGACAAAACCACCTATGTGGCTGATCTTACCAGCTTGAAGCCAGCCCGCGGAATCTACCAGGCGGAGTTGAATGCCGATGGTGTCTACACTCAAACCCTGCAGTTCAAGGTTCTTGGACGCGTGAAGGTTCAATCTCTGGAGGTGGGCATTGCCGAATCTGATGCAAGTGCTGCGACTCGCAAGCAGAGCGTGACCTATCCCGGCAAACTGCAGGAGGTTCTATCCGCGGACAGCACACAGAAGCTGCTGCTGAAGGCCGTTTTGGTTGAGGAGTCAAATAACAAGCCTCTGGCCGTCCATCAGGCCTTCGTGCGTCTGTTCAACAAGAAAACTGACAAGGAGATAATCTTTGTGGCCGAGCAGGATAGCAGCAAGGCCTACAAGTTTGACATGGATGTGGGCAACAATGGCAAGAACTTCAACTACCAGAGCGGCACCTACAGCATTTACCTGACCGTGGGCGATGCCTCCTTGTCCAATTCATTCGAGTGGTTGGTGGCTGAAGTCCAACTGAAATTCAACGAGGACAAGGGTAAGATTAGCAACTATTAATCTTAAAAGATACTGAGTTACCATAATCTACTTACAGAAGTCAAACCCAAGACCACTTCGGGACCTCTGCCTGAAATCATTCATCAGTTCCGTGTGCCTGACAAGCGCCCGCCTCGCATTGTTTCCGACATTTTCACCGGACTTTGCATCACCCCGCTGGTGTTACTTTTCGTGTTCTGGGGCAAGCTGGGCATCAATGTGTCCAACCTGACGCTGGCCCCCAGCACGATCGGCTTCCACCTGGGCTTCGGTGGCATCCTGGTGCTGTTCTTCGTCTTTTGGCTGCAGCTCAACATGTTCCAGACGCTGCGTCTGCTGATCCCCATCGCAGTATTCACATTCCTGGCTGGCAACCGATTGCTGAGGCGTCTTTACGCACAACGTAACTCGAAGGCAAGTGCGTCGTAAATCCCTTCATTTTACGAGGTCAATAAGTGAGCTACTCTCTATCTTGCAACTCCATCAGAAAACAAACTTTAATAAAGCGATTTAGTTAAGCCCAATGAATTTTTTTGTGAGTAGTATTTTATTTGTGTATAATTTTAAAGCCTAGTTTTTACTGCGCAAGCCATTACTTCATCAGTAGTACAATAATATTGTCTTTCAGATCAATTGCTAATCAAATAGTTGTAAAATACGAAAACAATACAAAAAGGTATATTTACAATAGTAACAATGAGGAGAGACTTCAAGAGTAACAAGTTGTAATCTAAAGATGAGCCTTCATGAATGGCTTCAAGTACTTGTGGAATGCTCCGTTCACGGGCTCTTTGTTCAGCGGATTTTTCTTTGTGGACTCAAAGATGTGCTCGTAAACATTACCATCATAGGCACCCAGGGCGGAATCGAGTACGCGATCGTGCAGATCGAAACTATCAACCAGGGTGACGGCATTCGGACGCAGACGCTTTAGGCAGTTCTCCAGACGAATCTCTAATTGCGTGACATCTCGGTCGGTCAGATCAATGAACTGTTAGGGGAAGGATAAATAATACGTTCGCTATTTACATTTTTCTGGAACCCACCCGTAAGAAATCGCCAATTCGGTTGAGGCAGGCATCTACTAGATAAAGCTCGAGTACAACCTTCAGGACATCAGCTAAAGCTTGAGATACATTTCGAGACAAGGCCAAGAGTTCCGTGTAGGCAGTCTGAGCCAGGAAGGCACGTCCATGGAGCTATAAGTATTTACGGCATTTGTAGATATTGTAGTCTGCAATAAATTATGTTGACTTACATCCGCCGCAGTTGTCAAGAAAGTGCCGCACAAGTTGGCTGCCACCTCAGTACCATGACCTTGCTTGCGTCGCAATTCAAGCTGCTCATAGGCAACTCGGGTTTTGCTAAAATTAACCGAGGAATGAATTTCTATATATGGTTTTAGTTATCTAGTCTTTACTTACTTGGCGGCCACAAACTGGAAGGCCTTGACAATGGACTCCAAAGACCCATCAAAGTTATTGAACTTCTTTTGGTTGAGTGCATCATTAATGTAGGAAACCGTAGGCACCAGCTTCTCTCCGTTCAAAGCCTGACCGTAAACCTTCACCAAGTAACGAGCAGTTTGCAACAGCATCACTGTGTTCTCGCCCTCATAAGTGCAAACAGCCGTGGTCATGCCGTAAATTGTGGGGAAGTTGGAGCAGTCCATGTAGCCATGTCCTCCGCAGGAGAGACGGCACGTTTCCACTCCGGCGGCGGCATCAGCGCTGCAGATGGCCTTCAGGCAGCAGGAGAGGGCGTGCATCTCGGGCAGCCGATCCAAATTGCCCTGCTCGATTTCGCCAGAAATCACATTATACATGTTCCAGATGCCATCACCAGTAGTTTTGAAGACAATGGCCTTAGCTATTTGGGGGAACACCTTAAGCTGCTGCGTGGTGTGATCCATAATTTGAGGCTCCGGTTGGTTGGGATCAATGGGACTTTGCCGGCGGACTGCGGAGTAGCGGGTGGCAATGGTGGATGCCTTTGCCAGGCTCTGGGCGGTATCACGAATCAAGGCACAGCGAACAAACATCTACAACAGAATAAACAAAATTAATTTTTGCTTAGGAATAGTAAGGGTTCTTGACTTTACCATGGTTCCGTAGGTAAGCACGCTGTTCTTGGGCGCCACATAGGTACCATCAGGCAGAACCTGCTGGTTCTTCATGAGCATATTGTTCAAAGGCACTCGAACGTTTTTCAGTCCCAGATAACCATTGTTAACGCCCTTCATGCCCAATTTGGTGCCAATATCTCCAATGTCGATGCCGGGCATGGGTCGGTGCGTATCGGAATCTCTCAGCTGCACGATAAATGGAGCCAGGCCACGGAACTCGCCCTTGGTGTAGAGCTGGGCCACCACGACCGCATGGTTGGCAGTGTGTCCCACTGCAAATCATAAAAATAGTTACAATTTATGACCATAAATTGGTACAGAAAAAAAACTCACATCCTCCTGGCCACCATTTGTAGGCACTGAGTGATGGTGTGTTAATCACAAACTCCTGGGTGCTGGCGTCGTAGTCAGCACGGGTCTCCAAACCTCGCAGGAAAGTTCCGTGTCCCAGCTCTGTCTGGGCATAGGTGCCGATGATCTCACAGTCCCAGGCCTTGCTGAGCCATTCAACCTGCTGGTCCATTGTACCTTGACCCATGATAGTGGGCACAAACATGACGTAATGCAGGGTCAGGGGATTGCCCTCTTTTAAAATAGCAGCTCCTAGAGATCCACCAAGCAGAGCACTAAAAAATTTATAGTCTTTAATGAAATATTCATAGAGGTTTACTTTAAGGTTCGCTTACTTGTAGGTATCCACTCCATCTTCGCCATCAGCACGTAGCTTGCGGATCTTCTCCCCAATGATGCAAGCTTTGCGCAGACTGTGCTCATAAAGCTCCTTGTGAGATAAGTAGGAAATTGGCAAGTCATCCTGGAGAGCAGGATCCTCCAAAAACATTTTCTCTATATAAATTATGAATAGAAGGTTTCGGTTTAAAAAACTCGTCAATTAATTATGTAAAAGTTAAGAAGGGGATTTAGCATGTTAGGATAGGCTATAAAGATAACGGTTTTCAATTCCGCTGTGTAATCATGAGTGGTCATTATTCTTCGTTAATTCGCGGGTGTTACCGAGTATTGTCCATTTATGATGCCTTGTACGACCGCACAAATCTGTCAGATAAACCAATCAGCTAAACCAATTTCAAGTGGGTCTAGAAATAGATGGCGTGGACTAGCTGCAAACATTCAAAGTACACGGCAACTCGGATTGATCGAGATTCGTTCGAAGTTCAAAGATTAATAACTTATGAGGTGGCTAATAGCTGCCGATTAACTTGTAGCGATTTGTTTATGCGGAATACATAATTAATGACCCTTGCGACTGTGCCTACATCAAAACTTATGAATGAACGGGCAAAGAACAAGCGGATCAAAACAAAGGGGTTGATAGGGTGGCGATTTATCGGAGCTATACGTATGTATAAAGAAAATATTGTGTGATTATAAGCTTCGAAATGGGCAATCAAAAAGAGATAACCCATGTCTTAAAAACAATCGTTGGGCTTAAGTCTAGCTTGAGGCCTGTTTAATTGTTAAGTCATGCTTCTGGCACAATTTCTTGGATTGAGAAACGCTATTGCGCCAAGCTCAGATAAAGCTTTAAGCCACCGGTTAAAGTGAATAGTTAGTTGTTCGGGGTCACCAAAGAAGAGCTTGCAGTCCGAGCTCTTTCGTACTTGTTTAAGCTTACCCAGTGCCTTTTTCTCCTTGAACAGTTCCTCGCCACCAGCCCATAGGACGGAAAACTCCCGGGGATCGAAGGTGGCGGTGTTGCGCTCCTTCTGCAGATCGGGATTCACTTGTTTAGCTGGCATTTTGCAGTGCTGTGGTATTCAAGTCACGTAAACAGGTTCTCTGGGTATTGCACGGATTAACGTTCCACCGCGAGGCGTCCGTCTTTGTTGAGTATCGCGCACTGAATGATTGCTGCTCAAAATGCGAATTGCGCTCAGTGGGCAGTCAAGTGCTGCGCTAGTGAACAAAACCCAAGAGGGAATGTGTATGTGCTACTGATCTGATCCGCCTAAATCGAATCTAATCGCGGATTTCACAGCGTGAACTTTAACCGCGAAAATACATATGTAATAAGTTGCTTTAGTGTTAAAATAATCGCTAGTACAATTATTATTCTACTGCGATTGTTGTTGGACTACATTCAATGTTAAATACACAAAATAAACACACTACAAGAGTAGAGTACTTTAGCTTTTGTGTACGGTTTCCACAAAAACTAATTTAAACATTTTGTAACTAAAGTTTCTAAAGTTTTTTCAGTTTATATACTTCCTGTATAACATCATTCGAAATTGGCTATAAGGAGTGCATTTATTTTGCTTTAATATTTTATGTTTAAAACTGCAATTTAACACTGTTGTTTTTAAGTAGGGAGTTCAAATCTCGCTTCAAGAAAGTCATTTGTTTTTGTTATTAGCAGCTCTTTGTTTGTATTGTGACGGAAACAGCTGTTTATTAGGGCTGCCAAACTACCAGTGCTACAGCAAAAGAAAATACCAGGGCTGCATTTTGCTTGACATATAAAGCGCCAATTCAAATAAAGTTCAAAAGTCATATTCGTTAAACAACAAAGATATATTTTCTACACACAAAATCATGAGGTATCTCCAATCTTTGGCATAATAGTATAAGTTTAGGATTGACATAGGAATACATGTACAAATAAATCACGTTTTAATACACTTACTAGGTGGTAAATTACATTTCGCTTGAGAGAGAACAACATTTAAGATAAGTTTAGATTAGTTATCATTTAAATGCCATGGGCGTGGCTGGTGGCTATGGCCATACCGCGCTGATGCTGCCCCATTCCAGTTTCGTAGGAACAGCTGGACGCTGGCTCCATTTGATGCAATTCCGCCGGGTACCAGTGACTATGGGATTCCGGCGACTGGTGGTAGCTGAGATCCGCCGAAACATGGACTTCGTTTCGCGTGGACTTCGGATAAGATTGCGCATGCAGCGTTTGCCAATCCATGCGAGAGGAGGTGGTCGAAGATGACGGCGCAAAAGCCAAACTGCGACTGCTCTGGTGGAACTCGAAAGGCCAGCTCTGCAAGATTAAAAATGCATTGGTGGATATAACATAAGACATAAATCATAAGAGCTGTGGAAACCACAGGGGCTATATTTGGAACAATATGACGACAACCCATCCCAGACAGCGCCATTGTTTGTTTACGCAACTTTGATTGTTTTTAGTGCCCCCGCCTCATCTACAATAGATCTACAATAACAGCCTCATTAACGGATCTATAAAAACATAAACAGCCGAACACTTGCGGACAAGAGACACTCATTTGTTTGCCATCTACAGGGAGTGGGAATGGGATATAGGGATGCTATCCCAGCAATAGCGAGCAAATACCGAGCCAATGGGTTGTTCCCAACAGATCATCTCGGGCGCGTGCGAGAGTTTCGGGTGGGATGGGATAAATTCGGATAGGGTCGGGACTCCCCGATCCGATTCGATTTGCCGCCATATGGGCACAAGACGGAACCGTATTTGCTGAATTTTTCACGCATTCGGCGGGTAAACAATTGCTCCTATTTAGATAAGTTGTGCGCCATGAATCTTGAGTGATAGATTGTGTAAACTCCGCTCGAGAATGGATAAACACGGTTAGACAAATTTTAATTACAATTATCAGAGTGGGAAAACTACTGAGGGCGACACTTTCCCTTGGATGTCATTCACTTTGTCGCATCAAAGTCGAGCATCTTTAAAAATAAAGCCAAAAGACTAACTAGTGCCCCCCATCCCGATCCTCAGGTCTGCGGTAGCGTCACTATTCCGTCCCGCTCCACGGACCTGTCACTCATATTTAATATTTTCGAAATTCACAAAAGTATCCGATTACAGGAAAGCGAGGCAGTCTGAAATCACAAAATGTGATTTCATGGTTCTAGTGGGGGGCCCGACTGAATAGCTGACTTCGGTCTTGGGATGGAGTGGGGATATACCTCCACCTTGGAAAGGTGGAATTACTTGTCGCCGCATTGCGATCTCCAAGCAGATGTTGCAACCTAAGTACGTGCATATTCGCTTTCAGTTTTGAATCTAAAATTTGGTCATTTGGACTGGATTTCTCTGTATTAGGGAATCTCCCTAAATGGATTTAATACAATATTAATTGTCGTCGGCTCCATATTCATATACTTTGGAAAATGCGAGTATGAGATAGATTAGCTGACATGAGTTGATATTTTTGCGTATTTTTATACCTATATATTATCTTCACTTTTAAAATTTTTAATAAAACCTGAATTTCTAATTGTAATTACTAATATTGTTTAACATTGTTTTCACTTCAAAATATTTCCTGAGAAATCAAGAGTTTTCGACCTATTAAGTATCCCCATTTAATTAGACTGAGGGCCCCAATGATTACGATGAAATGTGGCCTATCACTGTGGGTTCCCCCACAGAACCTGTCATTAGCTGACGCAACCCACCTGATGCCGCCGGCTCATTAAGGCGGTTCCATTCATTCATAACCCGCGGATGCAATGCATCGTTAAGTGGTGCCAGTGACATCACTTACTGGGGGACAGGGATCGCGATTGCATGACACTTACCATGCCGTGTCCGTTGCTGTGGAAATGGTAATTGCCTCCTCCGGACGCCTCTGCCATGTGACTCGTGTCCAGGCCTTCGGAGCTGGTGGTGCTCGAGTGGCTGTGGTTGAGGTGCTGGCCCTGGCTGTGGTTGTGCTGGTGGTGCTGGGAGTGGCCGCCATTGCTGCCCGTTTCCACGGCCGTAATTAGCTGCTTGATGTACAGCGTGGCCAAACGCAACGTGTCCAACTTGGAGAGCTTCGTGTCCGGCGGAATGTTTGGCAGCTTGGTCTTCAGACGTCCGTAGGCGCTGGAAAGCACCCGCATCCGCATTCGCTCCCGGGCGTTGGCCGCATTCCGCTGCACCGGCGGCTGGGAGCCTGGAAGTTCAGTAAGGTAAATGTCAGATATTAAAATTATTAAGAAACATTATTATCAAACTAATATTATTATTAACAGAAACATGTTGAAGTAGTCAGCTTTTTATGAAAGTTAAAATAAAGTTAGGAAAGAGAATTTAAACCCACTTTGAGAACTGGCATCCTCATCGAAATCGTCGTCAAAAAGATCCATGGGGCTGGAAGCGCGCTTCTTTCGTGGCATTATTACACAAAATATATTATCACAAATATCACTTCAGAAATTTTCGTATTGGATATTCAATTCGAATAACTCAGTCTTCTCACTAAAATCGAACCAAAGCGAACCGAAATCTATCTGCGAGTCAAATACGTCCGATCGGCGTGGCACATAAAGCACTTCTGTCAAGGGTTACGGGGAGAGGCCTCCTTTTTGAGCACTCTGCTCCTCGGCTCTCGGCTCTCCAGAATCCGGCTATTTCTGGCACCTCCGGTGGGCGTGCCCGCTCCGCAAACAGTCGCAATTGGCGGAGGACCACCGACACATGGTGCGATCGGCGGTCTCTTTCTAGGATGCTTGGCTTCTGGCTGCCACCACATTGGCCCAGTCTTCTTCCGTCCGCCTGCGGGAGAATTCAAAATGAATCGCTCTGTTTATCGGTCTATTTCGGAGCTGTGTCCCAAGGATGTGCGACAAGCGAGTGCGAAGCGTGCCAAGCCTCCGGTTCCATATGGCACCACCTGGTTTCGCAGTGCCTCGAAGTGCATTTAGGGATAAACATTAATGGCAGACCGGAGTGATCATAATCCCGGGGTTCAAGCGCGTATCCTGTTTGGGGAACACAGTGGAAGTCGTTTGGGTTGGATCCTTAAGTTTAAATCCCTAATAGGGAATTAATATCTTCTCATGAATCTTAATGAATACCCTGATGTGAATTCTATTAAAAGGAGTATGTATCATCAGAGTTTTTATATATTTATTGTATTTGAACAAGTTTTCAATTAATAATCTGGAACAATCATCTATATTTAAACTAAAATTGACCAGATTAAATTGTTTTTCTGACCTAGGAAGCTCCAAACTAATTTTACTACTTGGCACACCTCCCATTCGAGATAAGGAATGGCCTATAAGGAGCACCTTGACCCTCGAGACTTAGCCTTGATTAGGGCCTCATTTCATGGATAGGACGTCACATGCGCAGGTTTATCAGGATGCTGACCCGCGGGTCATTAGACCCATTCAGCAGCAGATTAGCGAAGCAAAACCGTGTTTTTATATTCTATATTCAGTTGAGATTCTAAATTAGTCGCGCGCGGCAGCATCTCGAAATGTGGCGCCATCGCATCCTGCAGCAGGCATCCCGTCGCGGGATCAGCAAGCAAGTGAAAGGAGCCAAACAGGAGCCAAGTGGATCCCTTCCAGCCTCGGCGGATGTGGTGGTGATTGGCGGCGGTTCGGCGGGCTGTCACACCCTCTATCACCTGGCACGACGTGGGGTGAAGGCCGTGCTCCTGGAACGTGCCCAACTCACGGCCGGAACCACCTGGCACACCGCCGGATTGTTGTGGCGCCTGCGTCCCAACGATGTGGATATCCAGCTGCTGGCTAATTCGCGTCGGATGCTCCAGCAATTGGAAAAGGAAACCGAACTAGATCCGGGTTGGATTCAAAATGGTGGCATCTTCATTGCCCACAATGAAACGAGATTGGATGAGTATCGCAGACTGGCAACGGTGGGTTCAGCTCTGGGTATTGAAAACCAGATTCTGAGTCCCGAAGAAACCCAGAAACTGTTTCCCCTGCTGGATCCCTCGGCTTTTGTGGGAGCCCTTTACTCGCCGGGAGATGGTGTCATGGATCCAGCGATGCTGTGCGCCGCTCTCAAGAAGGCAGCCACAAATCTGGGAGCTCAGGTGATCGAGAACTGTGGAGTGGATGATCTGCTGCTGGAACACACTTCCAGGGGTAAGAAGGTGGTGGGTGTGACCACTCCCTTTGGAGACATTAAATCAGAGAAGGTTGTGAATGCCACTGGAGTCTGGGGTCGAGATCTGGTGGCCAAGCACGGTTCCCATCTTCCCCTTGTGCCTATGAAACATGCCTACATCGTTTCGGAATCGATTCCGGGGGTGAGGGGCTTGCCGAATATCAGGGACCACGATTACTCCACCTACTTCCGCATCCAAGGAGATGCCATTTGCATGGGTGGCTACGAACCGAATCCCATTCTACTGGAACCCGTGCCCAAGGACTTCCATTTCGGACTCTACGAGCTGGATTGGTCTGTATTCGAAGCCCATGTCGAGGGAGCCCAGAAACTGTGTCCCAGCTACGCGAAATACGGAGTGAAGAGCACGGTTTGCGGCCCCGAGTCCTTTACACCCGATCATAAGCCCTTGATGGGTCCGGATCCAATTCTGGATGGATTGTACCACAATTGTGGCTTCAACTCAGCGGGCATGATGTTCGGCGGTGGTTGCGGGGAGCAGACAGCCCTGTGGGTCATCCAAGGGCAACCGGAGCTGCCGATGTTCGGTTTCGATCTGCGGAGATTCACCCAGGAGCAGGGTAAGGCCACCCAGTGGATCAGGGAAAAGTCGCACGAGAGCTATGTGAAAAACTACAGCATGGTCTTCAAGTATGATCAACCTTTGGCTGGGCGGGACTTCCAAAAGGATCCGCTCCACGAGGAGATGATGAAGGCGGGAGCTGTGATGGAGGAGAAACAGGGTTGGGAGCGACCTGGCATCTTCCTTCCCTCCGGTTCCAAGAAGGCAGTGGTGCAACCCTACGACTGGTACGGAAGCTATGGCCACCAGAAGAACCAAGACAGCGAATACGAAAGGGTGCTGGAGGGCGATCTTCATTACAGCAGGTTCTCGGAGCACCATGATCTAGTAAGAGAAGGAGGCGTACTCATCTAATAAAAAATGTTATTATTTTTTTCCACTTTTTAGATAGGTTCAGAGGCATTGGCCTGTCGCAATAACGCTGTGGTTTTCAATATGAGCTATTTCGCCAAGCTGCTCCTGGAAGGTCCTCAGGCACAGGAGGCCGCCGACTGGCTCTTTTCAGCCAACACTAACAGGGATCCCAGCAAGTAAGTCCCTAATTTTGTTTTATTGATATTATTAGGATCTTTCTGGAAGCTGAAAAAGTCAAGAAAAATAACTAAGAGGACACCCAACAATATTTCACCTTCAGAACTGTGTACACCTGTGCCCTGAACGATGCCGGTGGGGTGGAGGCTGATGTGACCATCTCCCGCTTGGCACCTGGTTCTGGAAAAATCCACGATCCGAAATTCGATGGTCAGGGCTTCTATATCGTGGCTGGCGGTGCCTCTGCCTTCTACACCTATAGCTCTCTGCTGGCAGAGATCCGTAGGAAGGGATTCAACGCTTCCCTCAAGGACCTGACCGCCGAGCTGGGAGTAATTTCCATACAAGGACCGAACAGCCGAAAGATCCTGCAGCCCCTCATCGATTGCGATCTGGCCGATGAGCAAGTGCCTCCGAATAGCACCAAATTGGCTAAGTTTGGGGATATGGGTCTCCGACTGCTGCGCGTGAGCTTCGTTGGAGAACTGGGCTACGAGCTCCATGTGCCCAAAAAGGATTGTGTGGCTGTCTACCGGAACCTGATGAAAGCGGGGGCTGGCCAGGATTTGCGCAACGCTGGCTACCGATCGCTGTACTCCCTTAGCAGTGAAAAGGGCTACCACTTGTGGAGCTTCGACCTGCGACCAGACGACACTCCCTTGGAAGCTGGCTTGGCGTTCACTTGTCGCAAAACCGGAGCTGATTACCGTGGCAAGGCGGCGATTGAGAAACAGCGAGCCGAGGGCTTGAAGAAGCGCCTGGTGTACCTAACACTTGAGGATCAGGTGCCCATCTGGGGCTTGGAGGGAGTCTACCGCAATGGCGAACCCGTGGGCATTCTGCGGCGAGCGGAATACGCTTACACGCTGGGAAAATCCCTCGGACAGGCCTACGTTTCCAGGCCAGATGGACAGATCATCGATGCTGATTACATCAGGAATGGGGAGTACGAGGTGGACATCTTGGGTAAGAAATACCGCGCCGACTGCCACTTGCGCAGCCCATTCGATCCCACCGGCCAACGGGTTCTCGGTAACTATGCACCCGAGTCGAAGCCCAATAAATAAAGAAGAGCCTTTCGCTTCCAAGAACTCGTTTTCCTCTCGAGGGGAATTTCTCTCAATCTCCCTCTCCCTCTTTCTCTCAATGTGAAGTGCCTGGCATTAAGGGCCATAAATTACTTTCCCCGTGAACGGAGGTTCGAAGAAAGGTCGAGGAGAAGGCAGACAGGCAGTCTGCAAGTTGGTCACCCGAAATGGTTGCGGTTAACGGCTCAATTAATTTCAGTGTCCAACTATTATGACATCACTTTCGGTTTCTTCGAAGGATACGGGTTTCCAGACGTAATTCTAGAGCTCTCCGTCTTCCCAACCAGACAAACTGTCGCCTCTCAAGTGGCTTCGCTTTTCTTAAATGCAACTTCATTAATTTGTGATCTTGAGGTAATACTTTCAGCTTAATCGTTAGTGAAAATAAACTAGTTTTCCTAGGCCTCGATGGTCACCGTGGAGGCTGTGTTCGACGGACTGTCAAAGTGGTATGCCACCAGCTCCTCTAGCGTCAGATCGAACTTGAAGATGGGACGCAGGTCGCTGTTCAGTCGGCAAACGACTCCGGCAGAGGCGATGTTCCAGTTCCAGCAGATCATGGCGCAGTTGAGAGCCTCCAAATCGCCCTTCATAGAGACAATGTTCTGTGAAGAAAGGCAAATATTATTGTCTGCCAAATTGTTTGCTTTTAAAAGGTTTATTACCATAGCCACTGTGTAGTCAATGGAGTTAATCTCCTCGCCTTTTATGACCACCAGTTGGGTCTCTCCGTTTTGATTGTTGAGGAAACGCACCACCTTCTCCTTGAGATATTCAGCGGACGCGTAGTCCAGTTTCTGTTTTACATCCACCACACTGACTTCGTGGCCGTTAATCTAGGGGATAATTGCTTTTTAACTAATATACAGGTAAAATATGACATGAGTAGTGTTATTTTACCTTCTCCACTGTGATGTCCACATGGGGACGTGCACTGCTATACAGAATATAAACCATGTTAGCCGCAATGCCACAGAGTATTCCGTACTCCAAACTCCAGAACATGCAGGTAAGCACGGTCACCAAGAACGGAAATAGATCCTTCTCTAAAAAAATAGTAGGTGTTTAAAAAGCTATCGTAATCAATTTAAAGCTCTCCACCACTCACTTTTAGACTTCCACATGTCCTTAATCTTGTGCAGCTCCACCAGCGATATCATGGCTGCTATAATGATGGCAGCCAAGGTACATTTTGGTATAAAGTAGAACGTCTGGGTGAGAAAGGCCAGGGCCATAAGCACCAGGGCACCGGTGACAGCTCCACCCAGAGGAGTTTTTACCCCACTGGCATTATTCACAGCCGTGCGGGTAAAGGATCCGGTTACGGGCATCGATAGCACAAAGCTGCCCATTATGTTGCACATGCCCAGGGCCACCATTTCCTGCGAGGCATCTACAATTTTTCCCTTAGCTGTAGGTCAGAAATCAATTTAGAGTATTGCCTTAGGCTTAATGAAAAGTATACCCACAAAAAGCCTTCGATATGGCCACTATTTCCAGGATTGAGATCAGCGGAATGGAACCCAAGGAGGCGCCCACAGTGCTGATCATCTCGCCAAAGGACACGTACTCGCCATCCACAGTGGTGCTAAATGGTGGCAAGCGGAAGGGAGGTACTCCGGCCGTGATATTGCCGGTGACCCGGAAGGGCTGGTTGCCATCGCGACTCAGGATGTAGGCCAAGAAGGTGCCAAAAATCACAACCAACGCGTTTCGGGAGAGGCCGAGGTACTTCCAGAATATTCGGTTGCCCCACTTGATGTCCTTGACACGCTGTAGCAAAAAAAGAATCATTTATATTAATATAGATTAAATATTAAAGATTAATTCAATGTACACATGTACTTTTTTAAAAAGAAATTCCGCGAAAAACCTTGATTGATGTTTTCTGAATTGTCATGTTATTAAGCACAAATTAATTGTCAATTGATATCTGTATATATAGCTTTCTTACCGTCATGAGTAGAAGGAATACAAGAGATGAAACTCCCAGCAGGGCGTCCCACACCCTAATTGTCGTCAAGTGGGTGAAGAAATTCTTCCAGGCGGGCAGCAAGTCATTTGAAGGACCTGTTGACAAAACGTTTGCATTTCAGGTAGATTTATTTTTATTATTTAAGACATAGTAACTTACTGGCGAGACCCACGATGTTGTTGATCTGAGCACTGCCAATTGTGACGGCCGCCGCCATGGTGAAGCCCGTGATCACGGGAATGGAAATAAACCTCACAAGAACCCCCATGTTGAGCAACCCAAGGATAAGTACGATGCAGCCAGCCAGGAAGCACACTAGCACAGCATAATCTGGACTAATGGTGGCGTACTGGTTGACCATCAAAGCCATAATAGCAGTCGTGGCTGGGGAAGATTATAGAATTAGCAGTCACTTCAAAGCCTAGCAAAGGTCATAGCCTACCAATTGTGACATCCTTGCAGGAACCAAAAACGATGTATGTGAAGCAGCCCATGAAGGCCGAGTACAATCCGTACTGCGGCTCCAGCCCAGCCACCACACCATAGGCAATCGCCTGCGGAATGGTCGTTAGCCCCACCGTGAATCCGGCGATAAAGTCCTGCATAATGTACTCCAAACGGTAGCGTGGCAGCCACTTTAGGATCGGGAACTTGTTGGTCACGGTCGCCGGACGACACAGCTTTCGGCCGCCATCCCTGATAAGCGAGCCCAAGTTTGGCAGTTGCTCCCGGTACAGATTATCTGATGATCAAAAAAACATTTAGTTTTCGGACGCAACCGATAACCCGCCATGTCCGGCTAATCTTCCCTGGCAGCAGAATGTTAGGACATCTGTCGATCTGCCGTTTTTATTGACATTGGCTGGTCAGCTTATCGGTGGAGAGTCCGGTCTACCCCACGCAGATAAGCCCGACTCAGATACTCTTTTATGAATTGGCACGTATATTATACGACCAATCAATTGATGCGATACATTACCACTGCATCGCCTTGTGCCTTCCGGAAAAACCCCGGCACACTTACTCACCCTCGTCGGCTCGCATTGCGAATGCTTCTCCAGCTCTAAACTGGGTTTTCGTCTCCGAGAACGATTGGGAGATCGGCAATTAGCTGGAGCGTAAACAAATAACGTGGAGCTGATGTGTCCGCTCACTGTGCCGTTCCAGACGCGACTGCCGCTCCGATCTCAGTCGACCAACGGCAATAGCGAGTGCAAGCGATCGTGCTTTACGTTCGTGCACACTTTCTGGCCATATAAGATTTACAAGAGCAGGTATCGGTACCGCCTTATCTTGTTAGCCCTGTTAGTCCGTCGATCAACAATTACAAAGACGTACGTTTGCTTAATGGCCAGGCCGGCGTTTTTATAAACAAAAAAATGAATAAATTTACAGTTTGATCGGAGGAATTCAGTTTATTGTTTTGGGCTACTGTCCACTGCTCTGCCAGATTTTGATGGTGTATGTGTTCTGGAGGGCACCGGTGGCGATTATGTTCGCTGTGGGATGGCAATCGGTGCAGAGTACCTGATCGCCCTGTGCATCCGCCTTCTGGACCAGCTCTTTGGTCTGCAGATTCCAGATGCACAGAGTCTCGTCTTCGCTCCCGGAGACAATCCAAATGCCCGAGGTGATGGAGAAGTTTGAGGATACGCAGTAAGACTCGTTCAAATGGCCGCGATAGACTTTTAGGCACTTGGGCCTCTCGATGTTCCACAACTTGAGAGTGCTGTCGAGCGTGGAGGACAGGACGTAAAGACCGTTGGGCGAAAACTTAACATGACCCACCGGCGAGTTGTCGTCGTCGATTAGCGTCTTCAACACATGGCAGGTACTTGTGTCCCACAGACGCACCAACCCATCGAAACTGCTGGTTACAAAGAGGCTTCCGTCCCGGTTGAAGTCCACCGAACTTATGGGATCCTGGTGGGCGGGCACCGAATTGAGGGTCCTTCCGCTGCGCATATCCCACAGACGAACCGTATTATCGAAACTGGTGGAGGCCAGCAGGGAGGACTGCGGATTGAAGCAACAGGCGAAGACAAAGCTTTCGTGCCCCTCCAGAGTTTTGGTGCAGAGCCCGCTGCGGGGATCCCAGAGACGGACGGTCTTGTCGTCGCTGCAACTGGCCAATAATCCAGTCAAGGACCAGGCCACATCGTTAACGCCCTTCTCGTGCCCGCCTAGAGTTTTAATACAGCTGGCAGAGTTTACGTCCCAAAGCTTGAGCAAAGTATCGGCTGAGCCGCTAACCAAGTGCTCGCCGTCCGATCTGAACTTCACCGCCGAAATACTGGCAATATGACCGAGGAGCGAGTTCTTGATGGCGTAGCCCGGAGATGGAGCCTTATTCTTGGCTAAATTGCTGCCTGCCAACGGAAGCTGGCTGAGACTGGCCGGTAGCATGGGCACTTTGAATTCACCGCCGGTGGTATTCGAGATGGTGGTTTCGTTTTCGGAAACTGCAACGTCATCTATTTTTGTCAAGTCAATCACTGAGGATTCTGATTCTTTCGGCTCTATCATTGTCAAAAGCTAAAAAACAGTGATGCAAAATAGCTGTTCGTTTTTAAAAATTGAGTATTACCTTTCTTACAAATCCTTTTTAGGTTATATTTTCCCCGGTTACAAAAAGGCTTCCGCTTGGTAAAATGGCGCTGACATTTTGTAAAACAGTTTTTTTCAGCTTTTAGAGTTGCCATTTCTGATATTAATGTCAATCGATTATTTATGTTTAATTTAAGTTTATTGCAAATTAATCGAGAACTGATTACTTTTTGATGCATAAAATAGCTTTAAAGATCGTTCAAAGATAGGTTTCAAACTAGTATCTCATTCATATTTTTTTTTTTTTGAAAACATTTGCTAAAACCGAAGAGCGCAATTGCAATTCATTAAGTACTTTTATTACAACAATATTTGCCAACTGGAATCAAATGTTAATTGTTTCGCAAACTATAACTCTCTCCTCTAGTAAATATTGGTTTTATTTCCCAGATAGGGGGGCGTTAAAGATCAGACTGAGAAAAGAATGTAAACAAAAGCAATTAATTGGCGTTGTGAGTACATATTTGGTGACAGGGCGCTCCATTTGCACAGCCTGTTATGCTGCCCAGACTTGTTAATCAAACAATAAACAAATGGCCGGTGGCGTGCCGGTAATTTGTCACTTAATTATTTGCTGACTTGCCGATCTGGACAACTTATATATAAAAAAATTGAAGAATGCGCGATAATCAAGTCAATGAACTGTTTATTTGCATTATTATTTGCCACCTGTTTCTAGCAAAACTTATTATTAAAAACATCTACATATTTTGTGGATAAACTTTATCTTTTCTTTAAAATTTATTTTTTTAATTTTAATTTTTATTTTTAAATTAAATTTAACAAAAATTAAAAATAAATTTGTATATACTTTTTTACGATTATTTTGAGTGTTTTCACGGTCACACTATAAAGGGTAGCCCTGGAAACAGTCGTCATTCAAAATTAAAATCGAGTTGGCCTCCCCGCGGCGTCTAAAAAAATAGCGCGAAACGAGATAAATTAAAAAATATCCTGCAAACCCACATAATCGGCACAACATGGAAAACAAGGAGAATACGCAGGTGCCGAGGCGGGAAGTGCGCTCCTTTCTGATGGCCCGCGATCCCTCCATTGACCGACGCTTCCGGCCGAGACCAAACAAAAAGATGCGTCTGTTTGACAACATTCAGGAATCGGAGGAGGAAAGCTTTTCCGAATACTCGGACACGGAATCGGAGTACAAGTATCAAACAAGCGAGACGACAGAAGGCGCCTCCTGCGCCACCAGCGCAGCAGACAGCAGCAGCGTGGAGACGGGCCCTCAGGTGTTTCTGCGCCTGCGACCGGTGAAGGATGCATCCAAGGCGTACATTGTCTCAGAGGATAATAATGTGCTCATTACCAGCTGCAAGGCAGAATCAACGAGCAACAATATGAACCGCATGGAAAAGCATTTTGGCTTCAGCTCCATTTTCGACAGCACTGTCGGGCAGCGTGATATATACGACATTTGCGTGGGACCCAGGATCATGGAGGAGGAGTGCGTAACCATCATGACATACGGCACATCTGGCTCGGGAAAAACGTACACCTTGTTGGGTTAGCTGAATTTATTTGGCTATATCTTTCTTAACTATAACCAATTTATATCCTTCCCTAGGAGATGATGTGCGTGCTGGCATCATTCCACGTGCCCTGGAGAACATATTCACCATTTACAAGGACACCATATTCCACTCACCCAAGCTCAAGCTGATCAACGGCTGTATAGTCTTTCTGCAGGATGACGCCTCTCTTAAGGAGCTGCAGATTCGAAAAAAACTTTTAAACTTGTGCCCCGACATCAGTGCCCACCACCAGCGCTTGAAACAGGTCATCGATGGGGATCACACGTTCGAAACGATGTCCTCAAACGACGTTTCCGTTTTGGTTTGGGTCTCCTTCGTAGAGATCTACAACGAACTGGTTTACGATCTACTGGCCATTCCACCTAAACAGGATAAACAAGGCGAGATTCCGCGAAAGAACTTGAAGATCGTAGGCAACAAGGGCCAGGTGTTCATTAAAGGGCTGACCAGTGTTTTCGTGACAAGCAGCGAGGAAGCACTGCGGCTGCTTCGGCTAGGTCAACAGCGCTCCACATATGCCTCAACTTCAGTGAACGCCAACTCCAGTCGGTCCCACTGCGTCTTCACTGTGGACATTCTCAAGTACAACCGCTCGGGCATCACCACCCAGAGTTCGTATAAATTCTGTGACCTGGCTGGTTCGGAGCGCGTAAACAACACTGGGACCACCGGCCTGCGTTTGAAGGAGGCCAAGAACATCAACACCTCACTAATGGTGCTAGGCCGTTGCCTGGATGCGGCCAGTACGGTGCAAAAGAAGAAAAGTGGCGACATCATTCCTTACCGTGACTCCAAGCTTACGATGCTGCTGCAGGCGGCATTGCTGGGCAAGGAGAAGTTAGCGATGATAGTGACTGTTACCCCACTAGACAAATATTACGAGGAGAACCTGAACGTTTTGAATTTCGCTTCTATTGCAAAGAATATTATCTTTAAGGAGCCAGTGATTAAGCAGCATCGCGTCAGCTACTGCGGATTTATGGAATTTTCCAAAATGTCTACGTACGAGGGCGGCGACTACGCCAAGGAACTCGAGGAGGAGAACGTCCGCCTGCAATTGGAAATTGAACAGCTGAAATACGATCATGTATTGCAGATGCAACTGCTGGAGGAGAAACTGCGCAGGGAACTCACCGCCACGTATCAGGAGATCATTCAGAACAACAAAAAACAGTACGAAGACGAATGCGAAAAGAAGCTGCTAATTGCTCAAAGGGAATCGGATTTTATGGTTGGTAGATAGCTATTTATAATATTAGAATAAGTCAATACTAACCTTATCTCACAACTATTTACAGCTCTCCTCTCAGAAGAGGCGATACGAAGAACAAATAGAAGACTTAAAAGATGAAATAGATGAGCTTAAGAATCCCCGAAGTGACAATGACAGTTCCGATGATGCGGATGAATCTAAGTCACCCATTGAAATCATCGATGATGATGAATAGTTTCTTTAATTCACAATTTTGTAAAGTTTAAGTGTTTAAATTTCTGTTTCTTAATTAATGTGTTTTGGAGATTGCTTAGTTGTCCAATAAATGTGTAAATGAACAAAGACAAAAAACTAGGAAGAAAAGTATGGTGAAATGTTGGCCCAGAATACCTCTAGTAAGAAAAGCAGCAGTGAAATCGTTAGAAGGGTTCCGTAGGCGAGCCAAACCCATTGTAGATCTGCAAGCTTCAGATCATGTTTCTCCACACCCAACAGACCTGGATTCTCCATACTTGCCAAGCCAGCCTGTGTCATGTCGTATTGATGCATTCCGACCCAGAACTGATACAGACCATTGGCCCTCACCTCCAGGATTAGTTTGCTGACGGGCTCTGCGAACGGAGAACTCTTCGGCCACTGGAACGAAAACAGAGCCAGGGACCACAAGCAGGCATCTGTAGAGTATATAAAGAGCTCACGACTGAAGCGCTTTTGCTGCTCACTGAACAGTGTCCAATGCAATCGAGAGGCTAAATAGGCATTGCTGAAGTTCCTCCCATTTCTTAAGTGGTGGTACTCACTCCCATTGACCACCAATAAGTTCAGATGCAGATCAACCAATGTGTGCAAGTCTTCCTTGGTGGTAACCAATGGGATTCTTGTGCGCCGGACATCAGCAAAACTTCGTGCCTGAAATTCCCGCGGCGGATGTGCCATCATGGTCTCCAGAGCTGACTCAAAAATGCTGCTTATAAAAAGGCCCATGATTCCCAATACTAGATATAGCAACCTACTGGAGCAGCCGCTTTCTGACAAAGGAAACCTAAACGACTGACCCAGAATTCCACGTAAGGCTCTATCGTTCAGCAGGAAGTCCACCAAATGGACATTGCCAATGGTTAGTTGTCTTAAAAGGGTCAAAACCAGCCCATATGCAAATACGATCCCCACAGCAATAAGCATATTGGAAATGCTGCTCAGTAGAAAGTAGATGTCCCTCATGGAAATCTCTTGGGCCTTCGGGATCATTAAGCAGATGTGTGTCAGTTCCAATGGGTAACTGGTGCGGGACAACTGCTCTTCTCGCTCCACCATCGATATACTGGCTGGCACGTCTATGGACAAGCTTTTGCCCAGCTCCTTTAGGACAGACGCCCTGAGAAAGCGTCCTGGGGTTACCGTTGGGGCAAGCTGCAGAGTGGCATTCAGCTTCCAGGCCAGGACATGCATAAAACGGCCCACGGATCCTGCAAGGACTTGCTTACCCGTTCGTCTGTCCAAGTACAGAATTGAACGCGGAAGCCACAGGTCGGGCATCACAATCAGTGGATGACCTTGCATATTGGGAAAATTCTTCTCGAAGACAGGAGAAAATAGAAGAGTTCGATTTTCCGTCCAGAAGCTAGGATATGAGTGATATCTGTAGTAGTAAGGGCCATCATCTGCTGCTGTGAGTCCAACTACGTTTGGGATTCCAAGATGGTAACAGGTTTTGAGAAGATCGTTCATTCTGCTTCGGTTAGCATAAATATTTGCAATAAAAAATAGTTTTTTTTGATTAGAAAAGTTTTCCAAAGATATAGCTAGTTCTCGAAGTAGCTCCTGGTCTTTTTGAACATCTTGTCCAGGTAGACAAATAACGTGAAGCGGTCGAGAAATCTGCTTGCTTGTTGTAATTACATTATCTGTAGAGCGGACTACTACTGCAATTCGTAGGGACTGGAAGATTTCCTTCAGCCAGGTTTCCGGACAATATTCATTTTGGATTGATATCACAGAAAGCATAGATTTCTCTGCTGCCGTTAGGATGAAATCCACAGTTGATCCCTTAATAAGGACAGGAGTCCAAAATATAACAAACTTCAGAGTTGTCCACATGCTTTAACTTTACGTTGTTTATCACCCAATTGCTTATATTGTACTCCAAGTTAATCATGTAACACGCAATCGAAAGGAAAAGGCTCTTTATGGCCGTTCACGCCCCCAATGATAAGTCGAATTTCCCACTTTTTGTAATATGCATATCTCAAAATATGTAATCTTTGTTAGTTTGATACAGTTACTAAATAGTTAATGGTGTGTATTCGTGGGTGGAGTGCAAATCAAATTGATGTGACGCCCATTACATTTGAGTTGTTTTACAATTATTTGTCCGTTTCCTGCTGCAAATAAATATTACAAATAGGTAGTAAAATAAATAGGTATTTATGCATCTTAACTATACGTGTTTTGTGTGTATATATGTCTGCTTTCTCTAGGTACTTAAGTCACGGTGAAAGATTAACCAATTGTTAATTTTTAATTACTAAGGTTGCCAATTGCGTTGCATCTGAGAGAGCGAAAAAGAGAGGAGATTGCACTTAAGAGGAGGTTTGGGAGATTCGAAATTTGAAACGAAGTACTTCACGGAGATCGCCTGTATAACTTAGGTATAATCTTTAGCCTAAACACAATGTTAATTTGCACTAAACGGAATGTTAAATACACTTAGAGAATGTCACGAGATTGATCTACTAACAAGGTTAGCCCGGGGTTATAACAAAATAAATATAAAAAAATAATAATTTGAGGGAACTCAGATAACGCTGCTAAGATTTGAGCCAGTTACGGATCCATGGTTGTTCTTCTGCGGCGTGGTTACCGGCGTCGTCGATGTGGCTATCCCATTAGGTAATCCCGTATCGAGCAATTGCAGCAACCTTTGCCTTGTGCGTTTGTCGCTTACGCAAATGCACTGAATAAGGCTGGTCAGCTGCTTAACGGAGTACTCGTCGCCAAGGCGCTGCTGTTCAATCCACTGTTCGAACTGCTCTGGCGCAAAGTAGTACGTCTTGATGAACACATCCACGTAAGAGCGATGCTGGGGGTACTTTTGATTCGAGATGAGCTCGAGGAACGACATGGAGTTTGCAAAGTCCAGCTGCATCAGAGCACGTCCTCCAGCTGAGCATTTCTTTACATTCGAAAAGCTAAAAAATAGTGTTAAAGCCAATATAAAATAAGTTCCTTCAGGCAATTTTCAACTCACCCTTCCACCAGCAGATGCGTCGCTACATGGGCCATGGAATTCCACACGTGTTTGCTGGGCACCGGTACATCCTTTGCGATCTCCTCCAGACACATGGCAAAGCTTTGTATGTTCTGGGCAAAAAAGTAGTTTAGGTAACGCAACGTTTTTAATTACTTTGCCCTTACCCTATTTAGTACGTCGCTGTAGCTGCTGTGCTGGTGTATCACATGATTCACATCCCACTTGACCTTGGCCATCTGAGCCAGAATGGCTGACAAATCGATGACGCGGGATGTGACGCACGTATAAACAGGTTTGGCCAGATCCAGCATATAATCGCTGTACTCCAGGTAGTTGGAGAGCAATGGACGCTCTGCATGGGGAAGCAGGTGGTTGAGATAGTGCTGTAGGATATGGAACTGTTGGAGCATGCTGCGTCCCGCCTCCACGGCCACGATGCGCTGCGACAGGCCGTAAAGTGTGTCCGGATTAGCCAGTTCGTTGTTGGCCTGCAATATAATGTTTTGAGAAACTAGAGGCAACGAACCACAATAAATCGAGTTACCAGTGAGGAAAAATTCAGTGGCCATAACTTAATTTGAGATAGGATGTTCGTTTCCACCGAGCGCAACCGTTGCTCCAAACGAGGAGTATACATATTATCTGTTGCTACCGGCTGAAATGCAATCTTGGTAATGCGTTTTAGAATGTTTATGTCAGTACAAGTATTTACCGCATCCTTTCCAAAAATTTCGTGCACAGCATATGCATAAAAGTCGATCAACTCCAGCATACAGGAAACAATCTTGGGGGAGATGCAGTGCAAGAGCTTGCACATTTGGAGATAACGACCAATACAGCGCAGTACATTGAGAGCGGTGTTGTTAACCAGCAGTTGACTTTAAAGAATATTATTTAAACCCAACTCATGGTAACTAGGTCAATTTCTTACTTGGTGGTGTCGTCAAACTCCTTGCTTTGCAAACTCTTCTGCTCGTCATCACTCTCTTCGCTGAAATAACAGGAGGCTTCGTCCACTATACCGGACAGGATGTCCTCCTCCAGCATGGCCGCATCCAGTCCTCCGTCAAAGGGTGAACTCTTTTCAGAGAATCGAAGAAAATATCCATAGGAACCATAAATGGAGCTGCCACCATCTTGGGAGTGCACGGAAACCAGCTCGTCGCAGTTATTATTGCTTATTGGGGAGTTGTTTGATGAGGTTAACAAAGCTGTAGTCGGGGATTTGTGCCGTCTAAGAGTGTGCCGCACCGATCGGAATTCCTGAAAAGATTAGGGGTACACGGTTAATCTATCTAAGCATATATATGATGCTTGCAAAGTTACTTACAGGCAATTGAAGAATGTGCGCAAACGAGTCTACCTGCGTCCAACTCTCGTTATCCAGAAACAAACAAATTTCCTCCACGCAGCAGATGTGGTAGCGCCGGAAGAACTCCTCGCTCTGCTGCTGCATTGTCTCGATTAGTTTCTCCGACTGCTCGCCGCAGAACTCTTGACCAACTTTTTTCAATCGCTGCACCACGGACAGTACTTGAATGAACTGGTCGTATTTAAGCGTCGTCAATTTAGCTGCCTGTAGAAACAGGCAAACCTTGGTCAGGATGTCGTTCCACACCCGGGACTGTCCCTTCTTCAGCTTCTGCTGGATATAAACGTCCGGGGAATCCTCCTCTTCCTGGCCGTATAACTTGTAGTTGTTGTGCCACATAACAACCTGGTAGTAGGAGGCCAGGATGGTCCAGAAGGTCTTGCACAGACTGATCAGGCACGGAAGCAGCTTGTCGACGCTTAGCTGTTCGCAGAGCTGCTCGTAAAGCGGCTTGGCCTGATCATCCTGGCCGGGATCGCTGTAGCCACGCAGCACGGCGTTCACGGACGAGTGAATGGCCGATATGTAGTTGATGTGCAACTGATCCATAGCCATTAAAGACTTGTTGGCCAGCTTGTAAGCTTCCTGCAGCTTGGCGTATTTGCGCGCATCAAAACCAAGTACCATCTCATTAAGCACTGTGTCCAGCTGAAATTCCATGAGAAGCATGGTCTCCTGCAGCTTTTTAGAGAGCGATTGCACGCAGTTAAACTGCATATAGGCCTCAGCGGAGCTCTTGCATTGGAGCAGCAGGGCGATGGCAGCGCTGTAGTTGTGATCCGCCAGCAGTTTCTGTACCTCCACGTCTGTGGTTCTCTGTAACAGATTGAGTGTTAGTTTAATTCATAACACAGTCGAGTTATTATTTTCCAACCAGTTTTTTGATTGCCACCAGTGTGTCCAACACCTCCTTAAGCACCTCCCGCTTGCGATAGCTTGCCAGGATCTCTAGACTGGTGGTTGTCAGGTTCGTGCGGGCAAAATTCAAGTAGGATCTCGCCTTCTGACACGTCCACAGCGACTCCTCAAGCTTTTTTTGGGTGTCGTTGATAGCCGCGAACTCGCTGCTGCAGGCATTTCGCTGCTCCAGGATGTTTTGCAGCACTTGCTTGGTGAGAACTTTCTGCTGTGTGCGCAGTTGTGCAATTGTGACCTCGATAAGCTCGTTGTCTATGCCATAATTGAGAACTTTCTACGGGAGATAATGGGGTGTGATTAATACAAAAGGTATCTGGTTTTTCATCTGGTTTACCTTGAGCTCGTACAGCTGTGGATTGCTGTCGGGGCTGTAGTAGCACTGCTCGATACCTTCTAGGATCTCCTGGTCGGACTTTTGTGCGTTCGACTCTCCGGCAGAGTTAGACGCCGCGTCTGTGGCGTCCGCTTCGTGCCTGGGCGAGGTATCTGTTGTCACCGTTTGAATGAAATAATCCGAAAAGCCCATGGCAGGAATTTTCATTTGACGGTTCGTCTGTGTGTGCGTGGGTGTTTTTTGTTTGGTGGTCATAGAGCATAGAAACGGGGTTAGTTTTGGTTGTTACTTAACCGTTCGGTGACCTGCTACCTGTTTGTGCAATATGTCCAAGAATTTGCTCTTGAATTCGTCCATTTTGGCCTTGGAATTCTGCATGTTTTAGCCATGAAGAAAACGCACAAAAAACAAAAACGTCTCTCTTACTCCCGTTTAAGCCAAGTGTGACTGCATGCCATAAAAATACCAAATAAATGGGGAAGGCTTTGGTACCTTAGTAGAATAGGAGAAAGTTGCACGAAAATGTACCTGAGTAAGAGAACTCAGAGTATGCAATTTTGAATTTGTATGTTTCTAAACCATTGCAAGAGAGTAGTTAGAAGTTGCAATGCAGTGAGGACCCATAAAGTATATTTATCTATATATTTTTAATAAGCATTACTATCCAGTCCCATCTGGACATATACGTCTGTTGTTTCTATGAAAACTAGTCATTTACTTTTACGGTTAGTTAGTTATATAAAAAAAAAACCGCGAAAAAAATTATAACGACGTCGTATAATTTAGACATTGACTCCATACCAGGTTTTGACCGAATGAGTAGGAACATTAAAACTCAATATTCTTTTTATTTATATTTATTGTAGAGGAAACAAACGTATGGTGCAATAGGGACTTATTTACCAACCCCGTTTTTACCGACCTGAAACACTAAACCATCGACCGCTGTTTGGCATTGTATCACACTAAAGTTTTTTGTGTGCCGAATTTGTTTAAGTTTTTGCATTTGTTTGTTTTATGTGGAATGTCAACTTACTGTAAGCCTAAAAAGCTGGAGAGTGAAAGATGCGTATCTGCATGGTGTCAGACTTCTTTTACCCAAGCATCGGCGGGGTGGAGGAGCACGTCTACAACCTTTCGCAAATGCTGCTTAGTCTGGGTCACAAGGTGACTATTGCCGATTTAGGATTCCGCGAACATAACGAATTTTTAAATTTTCTCGTTTCGTCTTAAGATCGTTGTGCTGACCCACGCCTACGGCGACTGCAGTGGTATTCGATATGTGACCCGTGGCCTGAAAGTCTATTATCTGCCCATCAAGGTTTGCTACAACCAGTGCATCCTGCCCACGGCCGTCTGCAATTTGCCCATGTTGCGGGCGGTGCTTCTTCGGGAGCGTGTAGATGTGGTTCATGGCCACTCGGCCTTCAGTGCACTGGCTCACGAGGCGCTGATGGTGGGCTCCTTGCTGGGCTTAAAGACTGTCTTCACCGACCACAGCCTCTTTGGCTTCGCCGATCTTTCGGCCGCTCTGACCAATAATTTACTTGAAGTAAACTTAAGCATGGTGAATCATGCTATCTGTGTGTCCCACATAGGCAAGGAGAACACTGTTCTACGCGCTCGAGTGGCCAAACATCGTGTTTCCGTCATCCCAAACGCTGTGGACACCGCCTTGTTTACGCCTGATCCCGGTCAGCGTCCCAAAGATGACACAAGTAAAGTTACGACTTTTTAACTTTTTTTGCAAATGGCTAAATATTATTTTTCAGTTAACATCGTAGTGGCTTCGCGTCTTGTCTACCGTAAAGGAATAGATCTTCTAGCTGGCATCATTCCGCGTTTCAAAAAAATTCCAATGTAAACTTTATCATTGTGGGCGATGGACCAAAGCGGGATCTTCTGGAGGAGATTCGTGAAAAAACCAACATGCAGGACAGAGTGGAAATGGTGGGTGCGGTGGACCATGCCAAAGTTCGCGATGTATTGGTGCGTGGTCACATATTCGTTAATACCTCACTGACTGAGGCCTACTGCATGGCCATTGTTGAGGCGGCTTCCTGTGGCCTCCAGGTGGTGTCCACCAGCGTGGGAGGAATACCAGAAGTGCTGCCCAAGAGCCTTATACTGCTGGCGGAACCAGACATAGATGCTATTTATGCTGCAATTTTAGTGGCCATCGAAAGGCATCAAAAGAGTTGCTTTAAAATTAATCCCCCAGCTGCCAATGGTCATTTGCCATTGGAGCCTAATGGAAAGGGTAAAAGGCGACGTCGCAAGAAAATTGAAGTTAATACGTCTCCTCCGCAACTGCCAATTCCTGCTAACTCTCCTGCAGATGAAAGTAGCCACACTGAGCCGATAATGTGTCCCTACAAATGCAATGAGTTGGTGGAAACGCTCTACAACTGGGAGGACGTGGCCCTTCGCACAGTCAAAGTTTACGATCGCGTCCTACAGGAACGCTCCTTCACAACCAGCGAGCTGGTGTTTGCCGTTTGGCAGCACGGCTCCTGGTTCCTTGCCTTTTTCGTTGTGGCCCACTTCATAATGCGCCTGCTAGAGTTTTGGCGACCTCGTCGGCGCGTTGAGCTTGCGCAGGATATTCAACGCCCGCCCAGCTAGCGAATACCAAACGGATTTCATTCTTCCATCAACTAGCCATTTTTATATGTAATCGTTAGATGTCAGACCTCTAGTTGACAGTTTATTTAATGTCCATATTCGTAGCCGAATATATTATCACCTTAAACAACCGGCTAAATCTATTGTAATGAGCAATAATCCGTCGGCAACTGACCCCGCGTTATTGGCGCAAAGTTCATCGCTTAATATTTTCATCGATGAATCGATCTTGCCGCAGCGCAACGTAAAAACAAGTGAGCTTTCTTCTATACCAACTACATTATTTTAAAATGACTAAAGGGCCTAATTTGTTTGTAACCAGGTGAAAATGTACCTCCGTCGCTTGCGGAAAAAACATTGTTTGTGCTTTCGGTTATTCTTATAGTCCTTACGTTGCCTTTCTCCCTTATCTGCTGCCTTAAGGTCTTGTCGGAATATGAACGAGCAGTCATCCTGCGCCTAGGAAGGAGGCGCCCTAAACCTCCAGGTGGACCCGGCGTTATTTTTATCGTACCCTGCATAGACGAAGTAAAAGTTGTGGATCTGCGCACAACGTCATTCGACCTCGATCGACAGGAAATCCTTACCAAGGACATGGTAACAATTAGCATTGACGGTGTGGTTTACTTCAGTATCAAAAGCCCGTACGATGCTATGCTGCAGGTGTACAATCCGCAGGAGGCTATCGAGAAACTGGCCATGACCACGTTGCGGAACGTTGCCGGCACTCAAAAGTTAATGGACCTACTCTCATCTAAGGAATATCTTTCCAATCACATCGAAGGCATTTTATATAACTCTACAGAGCCTTGGGGAGTTCGCGTGGAACGGGTTGAGATGTAAAAATGTATTTGCTTTCCTAAAAACATCCCTCATCATACAACTTTTCGCCAGCAAAGAGATCTTCATGCCAGACCAACTAAAGCGCGCCTTAGCAGTGGAGCAGGAGGCGATGCGGGAGGCCAAGGCCAAGGTGGCCGCCGCCCAGGGAGAGCGGGACGCGGTAACGACTCTGAAGGAGGCTGCCGACATTATGGAGACTAATCCGATTGCCCTACAACTTCGCTATCTGCAAACACTGAACTCCATCTGCAACGATATGACCAGATCCTATGTCTTTCCATTCCCTGTAGATATTGTAAAGAAAATGATGAAGTGAATGGCTGTGGTTGTTCATTCCTTAATGTAAAAGTACACTGTGCGATGTTTACTTAGAATATGCATTTAAATGTATTAGTGCTCAATTTTTTAGTTATGCTCAAACAAGTTTGTAATCGATACAAAAATTTTAAGAGTCCATTCCACAATATGTGATCGAATTTTATAAAATGCACCTAATAATTATGACTACATACTTTTATTTTAATTCTTCAAATTATCGTACTATGAGAAAAAGGCTATAAAGATAAAATAAAAAAAATTACTTTTTGTATTCTTGGTTTTGTTAAATTTTTGCCTTATACGGATTACCAAAAAGTGGAAAATGGCCAAAGTTTGAGTTTTTCGAATTCATCAAAAAAATGATGTGGATAGTTAGCTGAGGTTGTAAGATGAAAATATCTGTTAGCCTCTTAGTTGAAGGACAATTTTTGGCCGAATTATGACAGAAAAACGCTTGGAATGGATTAAAGGCAAGATCCTTATTTTTCGTTCTTAAAAATAATTACTTTTGTCATAAAAGGCACAAAATGGTCAGAAACAAGAACGTCATACCTTGTTGAGCTCGTAATAACATTTCCAATCGATTGCCGATCCAAACTGGAAATTTTTATTTTTGTCCAATTTTCGCAAAATTTAACTATGTTACTCCTAGTCAAAAATGTGGAAAGTGGCCCACATACAATTCATCCATACTTTACTCTTAAATTTTAAAAAATGGCAGTTAATGATGAGATTCAAAAACATACTTATACTATTTTAATACTAGACAGAGGTTATACGGTCCTTTAAAAGTCGCATGTCTGGCCATACTGCGATGCAGCCCTGGCTTATTTGGGGAAAAAAAATTAAGAGGGAGCAGCAGTGAAGACGGGTGATAAATTAATTAGCCACTGCTTACACATAACCCAGGGTGCGGAAACCTGAAGCTAGCTCTCAAGAACACCCTCCACCACTGCTAGACTCCCGGTTGCCACTTAGATCAAGGTGAGCCAGCGACGACGGCCACCTGAAGGTTTGTCATTGACAATGGATTTCCTATCACAATTTCAGATTCTGCTGCTACCTTTAAGGCAACGACGATGGCGGAACTGGTAAGGGACTGGCTGGCGGACTATCAGCGGACGCGAACTCAACCAGCCGAAGCGGAGGCGTTTGTTGTGGAGCACGAAACGGACCCAGAGATCGCAGAGGCCATCTTTACCATCTTCAATGAGCGGCAACGCAACGAGTCTCTTGTCCACGACATTTGCCAGCAGCTCCTGGCCTTCTACCGCTCGCCTGAACTGACACTGCACAAGTTCCCACTGCAGTTCATCCCCGTGCTCGTCTACACGTACATGCATTCGGTGGCCGCCGGCGATAAGAAAGCCGCGCGTGGCGTGGAGACTCTACTCATCTGCATTTACAATGGCGAAGTGTCCACCGACGACGGCGGCCAACGGATAGTGGCTTTCCGCATGCCCATCCTGGCCCAGACGTCTGTCTATCACGAGGTAAAAAATCTTCCCATGACGGATTTGCGCCGCTGGGAAGAGAACTGCAACCGGGAAGTTAAATGGGGGCCGCATCAGCGAATTGAGTCGATCCATGCACAGAACCGTATGCGCATCCTTACGGCCCTGCTGTTTTGCTACAACCAACAGGTTAGCCAGACGCAAAAATCGTCGCTGCTCCACTTGTGCCGGGCAACGTCTCAGCTGGTGAATCAGGGATTTACCACGAAGTCGGGGCACGGTCATCGCATGAGCTATGGGTAAACGTTGTTTGTATCACCAGATAACTCCCCAATATAATGCATATTCTTTACAGCTCGGATCCCGCGACAGGAACGAACTTTCCCAAGCCCTCCTCACCACGCATTCCACTTTCCGCATCCTTCCTGATTGAATTGGTGCATGCAATTTATTTCGCCATGTTCAATGGTTATGGCACGATAGCCATTCAGACGCTGGACGACATCCACAACCGGGCCATCTACGAAATGTACTCGGAGCTGATCCTGGTGACCAGCGCAGTGCGCAACTCGCTGCACGCCAATCCATCTGGGCAACCCAACGACGGACCCATGGGACTGAGTGTGGCCCTAACACCGTCCACAAATACGGTGACCACGTCGGTGTCTAAGTCCATGATCACTAACGCCTCCTTCCGCACGAAAAAATTGCCGGATGACATACCTATTCAGGTGCAGGATCTAACCATGCAGCAGGCGCCGCAGCAGCTGGCCAGCGTGACTGAGGAGGCGGAACCAGGCTCGAAGGAGTCGCCTTCAACGAAGGAGAGCTCCGGCACTCGCACCTCGATAATGCGTCCCAGCATGGAAGGCATCAAGGCGCAGGCACACAAGGCACTAATTGCGGGCTTTAAGAAGTCCAAGGACAAGGAGAAAGAGAAGGATAAGGAGCCGCCAAAGCCACCGCAACGTAAGTTTGACAAGCACACGCAACGCAACTCGCTGCTTCAGCTGCAGGCGGATCCCATCTCGAATCCGAGTGCAGACCAGCCACCCACCGGCGAAGTTCTGCCGCTGCAGACGCTCTCGCTGATCAACGAAAATGGCAGCAACAGCTTCAGCGTGGACAGCGACCTGAACGATGGCGTGCTGGGCGCGAACGCCAACACATCCCTGCCTCCGCTGAGCAGCACCACCAACTCGGTGACCAGCAGCGACCTGCTCACCAAGAGCTTCGACTCCAGCATCGAACTGGCGCCGATGGGACACAGCAGCAGCAACGGCGGCAAGCTGGCCGAGCACGGCTTGGCGGAGTAGTGCAATTGATCGTCTCGTTCCAAAGGCGATTAGCCAAATCCAAGTATCAAGTATATATATTTACAACCATAGCTGGGGTGAGTGGGTTTCGATTGAAAAAAAATATGAAAATGATAAATTGTGATTGGCATTTTGTAATCCGTGGATAATTTCATTAGTAATTTTGAAGAGTCATAACAATGTTTAACATTAAAAATAATTCGTTTTTTTTTCTTCCCTAATATTAAAGACAAAAGCAAATTTTCTGATCAGCTGCAACTATAACCCTTGCATTCTGATCAGATCTTAAACGTCGGAATTATCCAAAGATTAACTGCCGTCACAATAATGTCTTCATATACTAAAAATCCACCTGCCCTCCTATATATATTCGCCACCTACCGCTGTGTATTAGCCGAAGAACCCGTGGCGCGAGGAGACATTTGAATTTATGGATTAAGGATCGTTTGAATTTGTTGAATTTGATGGGTTTTCTTAGTTGTTCGTATTTTTCATCGTATTCCAAAGCCAATTGTTGGTTAGAATAAGTGTTGCTAGGACGTCACAAGAGTTTATATACATAATGTATACACACGGAGCCCTCGGTAGACATCGTTTGCAAATGCCTCAATCAGGGGGAGATTATGTTCCGATTTCGGGGAACAGAACGTACACATTTCGGCGCATTTCACTTGTTTTAGGTAAGCAGCATGACGCTGACATATTCGATACCTACTAATCGCTCAGCCAGAGTTGGGTCCAGGCAATTTCAATTGAATTCTACAGGAAACCTTTTAGTTCTGTCACTTATTAGCATATACATGTGTAAACTAATATATACATACAAATATTTATTGAACGTTGACTTGAACCATGTTATTGATTTAAAATAAATACAACAACTAAATACGTAACCAACTCTTTTGGGTCAATCGCTCTTTTTTCTGAACTTTCCCTGCAGGAAAATTCGCGGCACATCAACGCCTTCCTTGAGATTGAGAGTTCTCCGGTGGACATAGGCGTTGGTGATTATCTCGAAGCCATTCTCCTTAAAAAGTTTGGATACTTCTTCTTCAGAGAAGAAGTAGCTGCGGGTGCCATCCTGGCGCACATAAAGCTTTTCGGCAATCTTGTTGCCCGGCTTAAAACGCAACTGTGCCATATCGTAGAGTCCATAATCCCTAAAGAGAACCAATCCTCCTGGTTTCAGTAGCTTCCACAGGTTCTGAACTACATCCTTGAACTTTTGTGGATGTATAGCGGAAAGCACAAAGACCAGGGTACAGACATCAAGACTGCCAGATGAGATGTGCTCATGCACCTGTTGCGTGGTGATATCGCATTGAAAAGCTGTTATCTGGTTGGAGTCGTACAGAGGATTGGATCGCACGAAGTCTACAGCACGGGGTGAGAAGTCGCAGGCGTAGAAGTAGAATCTTTTGTTTGTAAAGCATCCTTCCTCGCTGGTTTGCTCCTCTAGGAGCGGGAACACTAGGTTGCCCACGCCGCAGCCGACTTCAAATAGGGTGCGTTTCTCCTCTGATGCCTCCTGGTCCAATAACTCCTGGAACTCCCTCGTAGTCCAGTGGCGATCCTTGAAAAAACGAGTCTCATTCCGCTTGTAGAATATATCCCAGTTCCGCTGGGCGTCTGTTTCCAGCTTGTTGGCTTTAAATTCGGGCACGAAACCACGTTTGTTTTGCTCTTCTAACTTTTGCTTCTCAGCTTCTGAGAGCTCTTTGGCTTGTGTGGTAAATACATCCGGCGCTAGCGGTTCCTTAAGTATTTTAATATTAATAAGTAGTTTGAAGGACTTTAATAATAGATTTTTAATTTACCATGTTTCCTAATGTTATGGGACAATTTTAGCATGCGCCTAATTAGAAGATTGAAGTTTGTTAAAAGCGCGCCTGTTAATGGCTTTGCGTTCCTTAGACCTGATAGTATTCTTAATCACAGGCGTATAACTTTATACGAAAATGTTGTTAAAGAAATCTATTTAATAATTTAAAATAAACATGTTTTGATTTCCAATTGGGTTTCAGGTAAACATTTGTATTTTTAACACGGTCACACTGCCAACCATGGTCGTATCACAACCAATCTCAGTGGGGTAACAAATTATTAATAAAATACTATTTTTTTAAGTTTATTTTAAAAGTTTATATTTGCTAAAAGACTTTTATTTTTTGTTACAGCAACAGCAAATAAAATTACCATCAATAACTGCTATCGAATTTTCGATAACAGCGAAAATTGTGTTATCTAAATTTGAAATAAAATAGTCTTCTACTGACTGAAAACAATTCCTTTATTGCCTTGAGATTCTTATAGTATAAAGCGAACATTTTAAATACAGCCATTATGAAAACAACAAATAACAAAAGTGAAATAAAAAGCAAAGGCGGCAATGTTGCCAATTGCTTTGGTCTTTGGTTGCAGAAGGGCTTTCCATTCGGTTGAAAGGAGTCCCGGCGTGATGGCCCTCAGGAGCTATCTGCCCATGATGGTGGGTTCATCAGCCATTGCCAGCTCGTCACTGGCCGCTTTGGCGCCCTTCTTTTTGCCAGAGTACCACAGGAACATAACACCGCAGAGGATATTAACCGCGAAAGTGAACCAGGCCAAATATACGCCATAACCAAAGCTAAAACAGATCAAAAACTTAGAAAAATTCGATGTATTCGGTTGGCTTAACTTACGTTTGCTCAGCCCCATCGGGGTAAGCGTAAAACAGATGGTCTCTGGTGTATTCATTCGAGGCGAAGAGTACCTGTAAAACCACCAGCGCCGTGGAGGCGGCTACCAGGTGAATGCCACCCGCTAGCCGCTTGAACATGTAGCGCGGATTCATGAACGTGTAGAAGGAGAACACGGCACCCAGGCACATCACGAACAGAGTTATGCAGGCAAAGGATGCCTGCGTCCGGATGTAATCTGAAAGGTAGTACCAGGCGACTGCCAATTAGGAGCCGTCGCCTCCAAGCCGAAAGTGTGAGTACCTACCCAATAGTTCGTCATCGAAGCCGGGCTCGCTTCGCATTGTATTTGAGTTAGGAAACATGTCGATGTATTTGCAGCGCTCTAAGGGAAAAATTACGAATTACCCACGGAATAAAATCTAGAGTCCCTACTCACGATTCGGGATATAGGTGTAGGAGGCCGGCTGACCCCTCTTTGGTGGAAGTGGTGGCACCAGGATCAGGATGACCCGCTCATCGTTCAGTACATACGCAGGTATGTTTATATCCCGGATGTAGGTGCCCAGCAGACGAACCACCAGTGGATAATCCGTCCAGTTACTGAAGATGGCTAGCTGTGCCACCTCGGGGATCACGTAGTACGACCAGGTGTTGTTGTACTTAACCCGCTGCAGCGCCGAACCGAAAGTATTCCTAGCAATAATACCCTTCACATCCAGCGGGTCAATGGGTATGGGCTTGATGGTCGTGGCATTTATCTGCCGTTGGTTCTCCTCCGTGCTCATCACCAAAGTGCGGAAGGCATTCCGCAGCGCCTGAAACTCCTCATCCTCGCCTCGCGCCCAATGGGCAAACATGTGACGTCGCGCCGCTTCCGTAAAGTTTTCTGAAGTATCCAGTTTCTCCTGGGCGAACTCCTTGATGAAGTCCATGTGGGAGAGATTCCGCTTCGCCTCGTTGATGTTCGACTGCGAGGTGTACGACATGGAGCTAAAGTTGCGCACCACCTGGGCGTTGCTCATAGCATTCGGCACAATGGTGTTCCGGCAGTGACGCCACAGTCCCGAGTGCGAGGACATAAAAAAGCGACGCGACTCAGGGATAAAAATGCCTTAAAAAAATAAAAGAATTTTTTAATTAATCACAAACAAATCTTGAATGCATTTTATCGAAATTAAACTCTGACTTTGATATTGCTTTGATCCTAAGGAACTATTTCCTGAATAATAAAATGTTGTGTTAATATTCCATTTATATACAAATCACTACACATCATCCGTTGATATTATTAGATTAAAGAAAGATGCAAAAGAAAGCAAACACTAAAAGATTTATTGGCCTTTTTGGCAAGTTTTTGAAATATTACTTATGACATCGTGAGAATTTTTATATAAAAGTTTACTATAAACAAGAACATTAAGCAAATTTCCAAAAATGGCATACCTTTTCCGCCAGATATGATAATCCAGTGATCGGTAGAGATGGCCACTATCCATATCAGCAGGGACACCACCATGAGCATGCTACATCCGAGCAGAACCCTCCGCTGGAACATGTAGGCTTCCATCAGCGGCCGACGGGCCTCATCCCGACCGATGGTCGAAGTGGACACCTCGCGCTTCATTTTGTCGCCGGATCCGGGTCCGGATCTCGCTCCCCTCCTAGGGCTCTCTGGACGATGTCAAGGGGCAATCCACACGCACATGGAACAACGCACGTTCCTGGGAAAGGAAGTCGCCCCACTTATTAATTACAATCTCTCACCGGGCCAATGAAGTCATGCGGACACATCGCACACATGTGGGACATTGTCGGGCGCCGTTTTCATTATTCGGCAGGTGTTTCGCTGGGCCTACAATCCGTCCCACCCCATCCCAGAGCTCTCTAATTTAAACAATATTTTATTTTTATACTAGGCAAACAGCGGCAGGCAGAACAACAGTGGTAGTGTTTCAAAATTTGACGATAGAAGATTTTTAGGGAAAAGAATATGAAGAAGAAAAGCAGAAAAACCAAGAAAGAATGCAATGATAATATAACAAAACATCATGTTAAATTTATACTTTTTTGAACAGAAACTAGACACTTTTAATGACTTAAATGACCCTTTATATTTAATGACTAAAGATTTAAATGAATTTCACAGTATAATTGATCTTTATGTAAATCAAAATAATAATTTTAATATTTTTAGTTAAAGATTGTTTTATTACAAGTCCGATACTATTATTCTGACCAAAACTGTTAGTTTGCCTCACGCAAATCCGCGAAAACGTGCCCATTAATTATGTTGTTTTGGAGAATCCGTTTATTTTATTTATGTATTTACATACATGTTGCCACGGCGACCAGAAATTCCCGTTCGAAAACGGTTTTTCGTCTTTTGCCACTGACAGAAATTAAGCAAATTAGTGGACACATTCAGGCGAGAAAAATAAATGACAAAAATGCGAATTCCTTTTGAAAATTATTTCGGCTCTTCGCGGAATATTTTTGCAAGAATTAGGTGTGCCTCTTCCGAGTGGGTGCTTGGATGGACCGGTGGGTGGTTCAGTGGCAGGTGGGGATTGAGGATGGGGCACTGGGGGTTTCGGCGGAGGAGGGGTGTGCGTGCACAAGAGCCGTATACATAGTTAGTACCGCCTAACGTATGGATGCCATCCAAAGCTACGTTATTTTCGTTATATAGTATTCCCCCTTTGTTGCGAGACAATAATTGGGCTACCGAAACTGTCAACTTAAATCTGTTTTTGGGGAAAACCCAAGGAAAGCAAGGAAGATTTTCCTATACGGCGCCAGATTTCTACTCTCCACTTCCGCGATCTATTCTGGGAATAGATCTTTGAGTTGCAGCTGCATTTGCATCACCGGGAGTTGGGGGAGTTGCTGCACTTGCGTCATGAAGTGCGTCATTAAGCGGGAAGAACAAGTTCTATTGCATGTGCCACTTTCTGCTTTGCAGAGTTCTTTTTTCGAATTTTCGTCTTTTTTTAGTTGCTTCTTAGCCACACACAAATTACAGCAAACAATTCGAATTATTTTTAGACCAACCGCACACGTTTCAAAGATTCCTGACTGACAAAACGGTTGGAAACATCATTAATTCACAGCTCATTGTCGCTATTTGGGCGCAAATATATTGACACTTTTGACAGGCTAAAATTTTATATTTTTCGACAAAAAAAACCGCACACCAGTATAAATCGCGAAACGTTCGCCTGCCTATTTATTTATTTGTTTTATGTTTCAGCCTTTGTTTTACTTTCTGTCGGCCATTGTATTTTTGGTATGTGCCGTATTATTCAGCCGTCGCAACACGTAGAATTTCGCCCCCCGGCGTAAAAGAAGCGAATTTTGAGAAATGTGTATTTAATTAATGCCCCGCATAAATAATGCCAATGCCAGCGGATTTGGATCAGCACCGCCTTCTCGACAGCCCACCTCATAAACTGTCAGCCAGTGTTAACGTCTGTTAGGTATCCTGATTTATCGTTATATAAGAGCGATCCGCTCTCGGCGTTTACCATTAAAGCTGCAGCAGCGATGCAACGGAGATCTATAGCTGGCCTGAGCTATTTGTTTATGGACGCTGTGTTTGGATTTTATGAGCTACCCGGCCCGTCTAAAATAAAATTTCGTTAATCAACCAAACTAAACACCGATGCGAAACGGACCAGCGATAACAACCGAAATAAACAGCTTAATGCCCGCGGAATAAAAGAGCGCGATCTTGTGGTTTTTTCTGTTCCTGGCGATCGAATCGGATCGGATCGCGGCGGCACGGTTCCGTCTGCCGCTGGCCAAGGCAGAGCACAGACTGACTGGCTACTAGCGACCAGTGGTTGTCGCTCGCCTGACTTTTCCTCAGCTTTTCTTTTTGGGGAGCGCGGCGAACAATGGCTGCCTTTGTTTTAGCCAGCATAAACATAAAATCGTTCTACATATGCCGCTGGGAGCAGGGTAGGATGGGGGTTTGGGCAGGGCGGAGCTGCCACCTGCAGCAAGTCGCCGAAGGAATTGCTCGGGCAGACGTCATCGTTGCTTAATTGCGCCATAAACATGAACTCTCTACTCCGCCGATGCTTCTGCTGCTGCGGCAGTGTGCGCACAAAATTAGAATTTCGATGGATTTAGACATCTCTTTTTTAATGGTACACAGAGCATGGTACATGGGCAGCTATTTTTATATCTTCGCTAGCCACGCTAGCCGTCCGACGTGTTCCCCCGCTCGGCCATTAAACGTTGACATCGCGTTTATGAATGCCGTTGGCTATCTGTTGGCATACCATTAGCGCATCGTAAAGCCCGAAAAGGGGCAACGGTTGGACAGAGGATGACGTGGTGCGAACATCATCTAACCACTTGTTGGCCAGCCAGTGGTCGTGCCTCGTTTGCCAAATTCATATGGGTCGATGATTCTTTATTCTGGCTTCGTGAGTTATTCTTGTTTGTCCGAGATGCGGAGTGCTCCCATTTCCAGGTTGAGTTCGGTTAGGATGTCATTGGGCGCCGAGCCCTGCATGGTAAGGCCAGCAATCACCTGCTGAGCCTCCGGACAGTTGACGCAGGCGTTGCGGATGGCCAGGATACTCCACTCTCGCATCACTAAGGGAAAACATAAAACGGAAATTAGCGATGCATTAAAAATTTGTATTGATAGTAATTGGGTTTATAAAAAAAGCCCAGACATATCTTACAGGGATTCCGAGCATCCATGGTGGTACACTCGAGTAAAGAGGGCAGTAGTTGTGTGTCCAGGCAATAACCCTTGTTTGCTTTGTTGTTACACAAAAGATTGGCCGTACAGCGCACAAGAAGCGTCTTTAGTTCATAAGAAACTTTCTTTTCGTATCCCGCATCAATGCCTGAAGTGAGAGCTACCTCTTCAAGCTTGGTCATAGGTTTATCCAGACCCCCACCATCCGGTTCCTTGCCGGCGGACACCACGCATCTCAGCAGGCTACTAACGTTGATAAACAGCGACTGGTCCGAGGAGTAAACTTTGTCGTACTTTTCAGAGCCACTGGCGCTGGCAATGATGCGTAGCAGTGTGTGAACCTCTCTAGGATGAAGCTCATGTTTCAACTTGACGGTTTCGCGCAGAAGGCAATCAGATTTAAGGCGGAATTCCTTGGCAAAGTGCTGTAAGAGGAACAGGGCCACATCGCCGTTCGGACTATTTTCTTGTAGGTAGTGAGCCACATAGTCAAGGAAAGCGACACGATCTTCAGTCTCTAGTTTCTGGTAAGAAGCCACGCAGGAACGACCATTTTGTACGATGAAGTGTTCGAGGAGGAAGTGCAGATACTCAAAGTTGTAGGTGCTTTGTTCTTTGATAATAGCCCGCCATAGGCGTAGGCAGACCTGGAGCGCCACCTGATCGCTGATAATACCCTGACCACTGACAAATATGCTGTATATGATCATCAGGAACACATTGTTCGAACTGCCCAGAGGAGAGGCAAAAGCTTGTTCATAAATCTTGGAGCCATGCTGATTCCAAGTGAGGGATTGGCTGGTCTCATTATCTACGACGCTATTTGCCAGCACCTGGAGTGAAAGAGTGTGTATGATCCGATGCTTAGTTCGCATCAGTGGATTAAAAGCCACTATATCTAAAAAATTTGCAAACTCCGTCATTTTGGCCAAAGTCTCCTGGTTTTCTCTTCCTTTTGTAAGCAAAGCCCTAAGGTTTCTCAGTAAACCTGCAATTTCCTCTTCATTTTCATCCACATTTAGGCTTACAATCTTTTTTACAAGCTTGCTGACTTCGTTGTTCTAAAATATCATAATCATTTTAATAAAATTAAAATTTATAACAATAATATTTACCTCATGCTCCATACTCGATAAGTTGCCAGCTGACTGCTGCGATGGATTCTCGATTGACCATTGCAGCGTGTACCAACACTGCTCCATTTAGGTCTACACGCGGATGCGGTCACACTGCGGGGCCACAAAAGAAAAACAACAAAAGAAAAGGGAGAAAAGCCATTTCTTTTTGGCAATTCAAAGAGTCATGTAGCAAACAAAAAGCTGCAACGAAAACAAAACCAAACCAAGCAATGTCACTTCGAGCGCTTCGAAAAAGAGACACTGGCAGTAGCTACGGCAATAGTAACAACCATTTAGCACCTGTAAGAACTTCACAAGCAACGCTCTTCAAGAAGGCCAGCACAGCAACGACGTCACCGAAGAAGACGTTACTAAAAACTGTGAGCTCCAACCACGGATTAAGCAAACAGAAGCTGTTCCAGAACAGAAAACTACTTGGTCGCAAGTGGAATTCTAATCCTGACCTGCGACAAGGGTCAAAGTATCAAAACAACAGCCTGTTGCGCAGCAAATCGGAAGGGGATGTTAGTGAAGTCCTTGCCAGCAACTCTGGTGCTCCATTGACAGTAGCCAACGCCAAATCGGAAGTGTGTTTGCAGAGGATCAGCTCGCACAATTACGAACATCCTTTAGGGACCCCAGGAGGGAGAATCGAAATGCTTGGCGGTGCCAGTTCCCATCGGGACCTTACACAGTCCTCCTATGGCCACCAGGCAGGTGGACATACAGTGGAATTGGAATCCAGCACCAGGGCTCCCCGTCGCATGAGCGAATGCAGCCTAGGCTACAGCCAAACGAGTTCTCGCCACACGGGATCAAATTCTATGTTCGCCAGCCAGATGACACTCTCCTCGGGATCGGTGGTTCCCCCAGTGGATCCTAATGCGGTGCTGCGGGTGCCCATCATTGGCTACGAGGTTATGGAAGAGCGGGCGCGCTTTACAGTCTACAAACTGCGCGTTGAGAATCCGGAGACCAATGACTGCTGGCTGGTAATGCGCCGCTACACCGATTTTGTACGGCTGAATGGAAAGCTGAAGCAGGCTTTTCCTAACCTCAATCTCATGCTGCCGCGCAAGAAACTCTTCGGGGACAACTTTAACGCTGTCTTCCTGGATAATCGTGTGCAGGGACTGCAGATCTTCGTTAACTCAGTGATGGCCAAAGAGGAACTGCGGAAGTGCAAGCTGGTGCGGGAATTCTTCTGCCTGGACGAGCCACCCTCTTACTCGGAATCTATGGAGGAGTGTCGGGTAAGATTGGTTTATCTCTTTATTTGTTTGATTTACTCAAGGTTTAACTTAATCATAGGCTATTTTCGAGGCCCAGGAAGAGACTATCGTCCATCTGAAGCTGCAGATACAAAACAAGAACGATCTCATACTCAGCTTGCAGCAGAAGCTTCGCGAGGAGATGTCCGAAAAGGAGCAGCTCAGGGAGGCTATGAAGTGAGTTTTAAAATAGATTTTAGTTTTTTCTTAACCTCATCTTGTATTCAGAAACGTGGACCTCAATTGCTCCCACTGCTCTTCGGCCAACGACAGCTTGGGCCTAAAGTAAACCGATCCCAGGAGGAAATAGAAATCCAGTTTAATGTGCGAGTGCGTACAACATTATGCTGAGCATAACTCTACGCACTTGCACCACTCATGGAACACATCCATATCCAATTTAATAATCCAAACCAAGTGCATATCGAGGGGCTCGCCCCGTCAGTGCTTTAGTATTCATATCTAGACCTAGATGCTAGCAAGTGCTGCCCAAGTTGGTACTAAAAGAATTACAATAGTAGTTATTTTTGATAATCGTTTATGGGCAATTTACAGTTAAGAATGAGTTAATTAATTTAAGTGTATACGATGTTATGCAAGCTCACATACAAATAAATGTAAGGCACAATTTATTACTCAATGAAAGGTTGAATGAAATATTAATTTCAAAATGCAATTATACATTTAGGGTTACTTCATTTAAGGCACAAGGTGTCGTTCGGTGGATCAAAATCTAACAGATGCTGGGTGGTCTATAAATAATATGCTTATCCGTTAAAGTAGTAATTATATTTAAAACGAAAGAACTCTCAGAGACTTGTCATGGCAGGCGGCCTGGCATAGGCTTTAGGAATGAATCCATATTTTCTGGTTTTAGGAGCGTAAGCCCAAAGCCAGCCATCAACGGTCTGATTGTTCAGATCGGCGTAAATCCAATCTCCTCGCCGGACGGAAAGATATAAATCGTCAGGAGCCTGCGCCTTGTAATCATACAGCATCACCAGCTCTGTGCCATGGTATCGCAGATCATCCGTTCCCAATCCCAGTTGTGGCTGCTGTTGTTGCGTTTGCTGACCTTGTTGACCCTGCTGCAGGATGGTTTCCATGGCATTAAGTGTGGCTTTCTGCTGCTGTAAAACTCGCACACTGTCTGCTGGATAGATAAAGCTGGCCGGCACGAATCCTTCCTGTCCATCGCTTCGCATGATCCAAAACCAGTCAGGATCCTCACGGTTCAGCACGGTCACAAATTCGCCTCGTTCCACGGACAAATCATTTTCATCTCGGGCTATGAAAGTGTACAATACGATGCAGCGTCCGGAGGGTTCCTTAACGAAAGGAGTGCACTCTGGTTCCACAAGCAATATATTTTCCATGCTGTTTGCAGACCCTGGATTCAATGTCTCATCGCAGAGCACATCCAATTTGTTGTCCGTACCCAGGAGTGGAAGATTCTCTTCTAACGGTTGTTCGGGGCACTGTTCTCTTGGCAGTTTCTTTTTGATAGCGAGGTCCGCCAACTGTGTGTTGCAAGGAGCACAATAGGAGAAGGGTATAAAGCCCTCCTGTCGAGAGTCCTGACCAATTACGTAGACCCAGTCGTTTTCCCTGTATAGAATGTTAACCAGCTGGCCACGTTTTACCTCTAGTTCATCATCTACGCAAGGCGTGAAGTCGTGTAGCACTATCATTTTGGAATCAGGACTGAAACAAAGTGGGTTTTTAAAAAAATAGTTAAGGTAAATTATAAATAAAGACATACCTTAGACCGTGTTCTTTTTCGATGCCCACTCTCACCAACGTTTCAATGCTGGAGGAGCCAGTTATACGACCCATTCCTAATCCACCCACAGCTGGCAAATCCCTCTCTATGCTGGCACTTGTGGCTAAAAAAGCGTATCCAATAAAATTATGTTTTTTAAAATAAGTTTGTTAAAATATTTGATCAACTGTATATACTCCAAATATTCTGAGTCGTTTATTGTTACTGTCATATTAAAATAAAATAGTTTAGTTTTTACCGATAAACACATGCAATTTTCTTTTAGTGCACCAAGCAACAAGTTCGTGATTGAAGTCTTTCGTTTTAAGTACTGCTTCTTCCGCCTTTCTTTAACTTACCTTTCTTTTTATCGCGCCGCATGCGCACGGGACAAAGAAAAGCCATCTCCCCTCCCGCTCTTCACCTAATTCACCTTAAGCAAACAAACACAGCTAAATTTTAGCTAATTTTATAACTTATTTATTGTTTGTTTAATCTCAATGTGCTTCTTCTTCTCGGTCTTATTTTCTAGCGATGATACACTAGCGATTTTTCGATCCCGATTTTCGGGCAAGGTAGTCCGGTAATCGATTTACAAACAGCGCGCCTAAATTGAAAAGTTTTCGTGTATAATGTGTGTACGTGTCGGCTCTGTTTCTTCAAGCATGTAAATGTTATGGAAATTGCGAACTGTTCTTGAATCCGGCCTTAGATTCCGGTGCACTGCACCCGGCCGCCGTTCACCTTGGTCATTAGGTTGTATTTATTTTTTGGCTCATAAATCATAAAAATTGGTAATCAAAGTGGATGAATAAAAAGTATAAGCTTCTTCCGCTTGCTTTTAAGTTTTGGTTCGCCGGGTGGGACGCTTGGAAGCTGATGGTTTTCGTTTACTTTTGGTGGAGCGATTTCGTTCGTTGGCGAAGTTCTCATTCGTGGTTAGATCCTCGTAATACCGATAACTGCGACGTTGTGGAATAGCATAATCCAAGGCGCTAGCAAACGTTAATGCGTGGTAGGCGCACAGCAAGGATACGAGAAGCTTCCCAAAATAGCAGAGGTCCTGACGCAAGAACATGAAGACCTTAGGATGGCTACCCAGAAGATCCATGGCCATCCGAGTGCTGAGTGCCGCATCCCGCAGCGTGTCAATCAGGGAGTGGAACTGCTGCCACACAATCAGCACAAGGCCCTGGGTGCACAAGTAGAGGACCACAAGCTCCAGCAGTAGACGCCACAGCTCCTTTAATGGAGGCAAGCTCACCACCCGCAGATGATGCAATATGACCACAACTGACAAGACGAACAAAGCCGCTGGAAGATCGGGCACATGTTGCATGGGCAGCAAATTGCATCCAGCCATGTAGAGACCACCACATCCGATGCAGCCCGCCGCCAGCTCCGAGGTCTCGTACATTCCCCGCACAAGCACCATTGTGATAAATTTATGTTTGTTATCAGTATCCTGGTCTCTTTAAGTAACAATGAATTTAAAGTTGGAGCAGTTGTTATTCGAACGGGCTTACTTTTAACAAAGTGGGTGTAAAATGTTTCTTAAGCAGGCGTGTCAGAATGCAGATTCAAAGTCTACTCAGCAATTTAAAATATTTATTTTTTATAATTATTATAATTCTATGTTTCAATCAAAGACCTTTTCATCTCCCTGCTGCAACACAGGCTAACCTTTTGTGACTCGCGTCATTTGCTTCATCCGACAACTTTGGAAAAAGTGGGAGCAATGCACTATTTTGGTGCCAAGGATAAAACTTTCGCATGCAATTTTCGATTATAATTCAGCGAGAGGAAAACTGGCGAAAAGGGTGGAAAAGAGATGCAGTCAGAGAGGTAGGGTGCTAAGAGAGAAAGTGTGCAAACTGACCTACACTTCGGCATATCCCACGAACCCCTAACAAAATTGCGCATTTAGCATCTCGAACGGTATCCCTCTAACAAAAGCAGCAGGTGCCACACCCCCGAAACGCCCCCTTCAACTTGACTTTTGACTACTACGCAGTTGATTTCACATCCGCATCACATCCCCATCCAAAAAACCCCATCAAAAAACCCATCCCCATGCCCTATCCCAAGTTTTACCGGAGAGAGCTGTCTGCCTTATGAGTTAATCGATAGAGAGGATTCTGCGCAGTCCTCCAATCCTCGGATGCCATTCACAAAAAGGGGCGGCCAGTGGGCGGGGCAGGAGGTGGGTGGATGAGTGGATGAGTGGGCGAACCAATTTGGGTGGATGGTTGGCCCACTCATCACGGCTGTTGTGTCTGCGGGTAATTGTTGCTCGGACCTCTGATGGCCAAAAAATGAGACTAGACAGCGGACCAAATTAAGGGGAATGAGGTGGAAAATGGGCTAGGGTGGCAGATCGAGCCGGAAAAAGTAGCTCACTGGTTTTGTAGGTCAGCTATTTTGGGTTGTCACGCATATTTTAATAAGATATATGCCCCGTAGCCCATATAAATTCATCTGCAACAGTCGCCCTTGCATAAATTAAAGCGAAATATGACCTTGGAAAAAAGCACCCCTAAAGATTGCAACGAAAGTGGTGAAATACAATCAACATGACCTTGTCGATGATTTATTTCATGAATATATGCAAATAATAACTGGAAATTTCTAACTGGAGACACTTGGTCCTTGGAATGTTTTAAAATGTGTTTATTTTTATAAACTGTTTACTACATTATATACAAAAAAAAACAGGTACTCCTTAGAAAAACCTCGGAGCTGTAGCATTTCCCCTAAGAGTTCACTTTCAATCGATCAAAAAATTTTCAATTTCATCACATAATTTCCATTTTAAACATTGTGCAATACATTTGGCGATTTGAAAATATTTTGGCGAATAGCAAAACAATGGACGGGGGAAATGCTGGCAGGAAAAACTGCAACGGCGGTGGATGATAGAAAAATAAACAATATTTTGGCAATAAAGTACGCTATGCACGTATTTCGATTCGGCTAAAAATGTTCGGCCATTGGCAAATATCCAAAATGTATACAGATTTAAAAGAGGGATTATTATGAGCATATACGTTTGAAATGTAGCTCAAGCTCTTGGCCTGGTCAAATAACGAATAAGTGAAAGTTTCTAGAAGACAAACGCATCCCTATCACCTACTTTGACTTGGGAACCGCAAAATGCGCAATAAGAGCTGCCCTACAAGTCCATAAAAGTCCCAAATCCCTTTTCCGTTCGTGACCAAGCATCAATTGCGGATTTCATTATCCGCCGCCCGCCTGCAACTTTGTCAAATAGCACGTATACGTATGTAGTTAACACATACCTACACGAAAAAAATTATCCTCTCTATTATGAAATGTTCATAAAAATATATATATATTTTATATTATATATTATATATATATTATATATATATTTTTAATGAATTATATATACAAAAAAATCTAAAAATGTAGTTTTCAAATGTTGTTTTTGAAACTTTACAAAGTAAATATACAAATATACAGCAAATTTCTTGACGTTCTTCTATATCATTGCATGATGCAATAAAAGAGCAGCTCAGAAGGATGTTGGCGTGTGGGCACCAGAGGCGGTGCTCTAAGTGAGCGTTCAAGGACGTGCATACATTACATTACGACGAGCATTCCGTTGCGAATCGAGGCATTAAACCATGAAATGCGACCGAAGCTAAAGGCAAAGCCAAAGCCAAAAGCCCTGCTAAATGAAAATCCAATGGAGGTGTTAACACTGCGTATGTGCGATATTTAATTAAAGCGCGGGGGCGTGACCATAGGGGCGTAGGTGTGCCGTTGTTTTCCTCGAAATGCAGCCACGTCCTTGCCTACTTTTCAGAGAGGTGTGAGAGAACGAGAGAGAACGCAGGAGAGAGTAGTTTCCCAACGAAGGGAGACGAACGCATCCAATGTTACCGAAGCCTGTCGCTTTCATTCAGTAGAAAACGCACTCTCCCACGTCTCATACTCTCCTTTCACCCACCCCCCGTTTCTCTCGGGAGATTCGTCTCTCTCTCCCCTTTTTTTGGCTACGCTGTTTTCAGCACGTGCGCCCGTTATTTTTCCGCTCATTCGATGTTGGTTCCTCGTCCGGTGTGGTTCACAGTTTTCATTCTATCGCAGTGCTCATAGTTATCTATCCGTGTTTGGGTGTGAGTGAGTGTGGAAAAGGCCGCAACAACAACAACCACAAAGAGAGCAGAAAAATCCGCCGAAAATTAGGTAAATGGCGAGCACAAGTGTTGCAACTGGTTAAAGGGGTAATACGCTTTAAAGTTCCACTGCAAGTAATTTTTTTATACCCAAAGAAAATATCTTAAGATTAGAACAATTTATCACACAATGATTGTGTCGACAGAAAAATATTTATGCACATAGATAAGTACGTACTCCTAATGCAAGATAAGTGTGGCAAAGGTTACATATTTTTATATTGACTAAGCTAAGGCTAAGGTGGTAACTTAGTACTAATCTTATGTGTAATTTTTTTCAAAAAATTTGTTTAAAACTTTAATTTGTCTCGGACTATCCAACATAAGAGTAAAAATTAATGCACCTGAGTCATTTGCATCAAGGACTTGTGGCAAAAAAAAACATCTATTTCCTGTGCTTTCTTTATTTTTCGATGTTTCCTTTTTCTTTTTATTTCACATACAAGCAAAGTGTGTTTTCATTTCAATGTTTACAATTTTTTTCTGCTTGGTTTTATTTATTTTGTTCAAAATAAAGCAGAACATTAAAAACGGTTTTTGTGTTGCCGAATTTCGTCTGCGACGTCAAAGATATTTTAATGTGGTCATATATGTGTATGTAGGTGTATATATGCACAAATCGGTTTTTAAAGAAAATTTCGCATGTTTACTTTGTTATATTTTTATAAAGCGGCACGCAAAATATCCATTTGGGGTTAAGCGCCAGACATCATCCATCAATTAGTCACTTAATTGTGGTATTAACGAGATTGCCAAAATAAAGATGATGACATCTACTTAACATATATAAGATAATCTAGGTCTTAGGGATAGTTTATTTATGGCCCCAAAAAATAATATATTTTCGTTTATTCACCTGTGCTTGGTTTTATTAAAGTTTATTACTTTTTAATGGGTCCAAGTTTCTTACTTTGTTAAAATATGTTTATCGCCTTCCTTTGCTTTTTTCGATATACAATTTGTCACAAAAGTGTTTTCGCGTGAAGATTTTTTTAGAAATTTCCCATTCTTATTGAAAAAAAAGCACTTTGCATTAAGTTTTGAGAAAGATTTTTTTATTTTATATTTTTTATGTATTTCTTAAGAATACACAAAAAACAAAACATTAATTTTCCATCTAACAAAAAGATATAACAAAAACAAAAAAAGTCAACATATTTTCCACTGTCAAATAAGTGTTTTCGTTTTAAGGAACTGGGTGATTACTTAACGGCCGACCATTTACTGGCTTATTTTCGAGCCTATTCTCATTTTTTGCCCAACTTATTATAATTTGGACAGTTCTTATATTCAATTTAAACAAATTTGCAATGTCTGCAGTACTATTCCCAATGGTATGGTTGTAATATACCAATTGGATCACATCAAAAGAAACTCTTTTGCCCGGCATTGTAAAACACTTATTTATACGACTATTAACGTCTGTAAGTACGGAGAACTGACATTGAACAGCTCAAAATGCATATTTATATCATCTAGTCGACCCTAAAAGCATATTCTAGAAAAAAAATTCGAGAAAACAACAGAAATGTAAAAACGAAAACACTTATTTGACAGTGGAGATTATGTAGACTTTTTTTGTTTTTGTTATATCTTTTTTGTTAGTTGAAAAATTTATGTTTTGTTTTTTGTGTATTCTTAAGAAATACATGAATAATATAAAATAAAAAAATCTATCTCAAAACTTATTGCATAGTGGTTTTTTCTTAATAAGAATGGGAAATTTCTAAAAAAATCTTCACGCGAAAACACTTTTGTGACAAATTGTATGTACATATTTACTGAATGGTAATTTGGATTTTTAGTAAACAGACTGTGGTTGCTTTTGACTGTTTGCCTTCCATTTGCATAATCAAATTTAGTTTATTACTCGCAGCTACATCAATTTAAATGCGAGTCTGAGAACTGGCCAATTGCAGAAACTATTTTATTTCGCCCAACCACCCTCCATCCCCCAGCTTTTTGTTCTTCTTTTGTTTGGAAAGTTCTCGAACGCTCTCAGGGGTTAATTACGGGAATAAGAACTTGGCACCCGTAAATTATTCAGCACTTCCCCTTTTCTTGCCAACTGTAAATTGCATCCAATTGGGTTTAATTGCTCAATCTGGAACCGCACTTGTGTGGCTATTTTTGCACTTCTAGATTGCACAATCGGGATTGGAAAAATCAAACATTTTACCCCGAATCCTAATTGACTTTTCTCTTTTCAGCTATGGATAAACAGAATGCAAAAATGTATGCAATTGCCGTCATAAGTTCGCTCATTGAAATTCGTAATAATTGAGCCTCCGAAAATGAACCAAAAGAGCATTTAGCCAAGAGAGAGAGAGAGAGTGAGATGCGCCCCCACTTTAACCGTTTCATTTGCAACGTCATCGTCATCTGAAGAGTACCTTCGAAGAAAAGAGAGCGCGCGAGCGCATTACGCCTTTGTTTACACGCCCATTTCACAACTCCCCCAAACGGATACATCATCTTAGGACTTGCTAAATGTGCACATCAAACCACTATTTGGATAATTAATGCAAAGGAATCCGCGATAAAAACGCAAGCGATAAAAGAGTCTGCGCAAAGAGAGTGCAGATAAAGAGAGGGAGGAAAGATAAAGAGAGCGAGCTGCGTTGGGCTCCAAAAGTCGCGTTCATTGTGTGTGGCTCCCATTTGGAAAAATTGCGTCTCGCGACACAACGTGCGTCCAAAGCAGCGGAAAGTTTTTCGATTCGCGGCCCGGTTATTGTAATTGTATATGCAATTGTGCTTCAAAAACTCCAGAGTCTTTGAAAATTTGTCATTGGGCAAACCAATAACACAAGCTAACCCATAAACCCATATCATCTAGTGTGACGAGTTTTAAATATCGATTTTTTTGGCTAACGCGCGTCGATGACCTCGCACACACCAATAACAACAACTATAAATACCACTACAATTGTGAGCTAAAAGCTGCAAGTACACGCAGAAAAAAAGCGCTCCAAAGCTGTGTCTAAGTTTTTAAGTAAGCCAAACGCTTTACATAATTGCCCCAGTGCCAAAAGAGGCAGCCACAACAAAAACAACGAAGAAAACAACGGCGTTGCAAGGGGGAAAACTCTCGATTGGAAGAAGGGGAAGAACAAGAAGGCGCAGAAGAGCCCCCGAAAAGAGCGGCACCCAAAAACCGCAGAGACACAGACACATGCTCAGATACCGTCTCGTGTCGACTCACTTCCTCAAGCAGCCGTAGTGTGCAAGCGAGCGAAACAGCGATACCCAAAGAGGGGGAGCGTGATTAAGTGAGCGAGTGCGAGAGCGTGGGTGTAACTGCAAGTGCAACAAGAGAGAGCGAGAGCGATCGCAGGACATAACTGGGCTATAAAAGCGCGACAGGTGCACTCTGCCTGCTCATTCACCGTTAGGCGGGCACTTCAATTGTTGCTAAGAGTCCTCTGGTCTCCCAGAAAGAGGCAGGAATCAGGATTCTAGCGCGTGGTTCTCAGATATACAGAGAGTGAGAGAGAGAGGAAGGAAATTCGCATCCGATCCGGCACTAAAATCCATTCACAACGTATTCGCTAGGAGTGTTACGCCTTTTGGGTCTGAGCTACAGCCTTGATAGCGAAAATGTGCAGAGATCGCGATATGAGTTTGTCGTAGATCAGCGCAACCGTCGTTACAAGGTCAAGAAAAAATCAAGCTCAAGAGCGAGTAGGAAGGTGAAGGGGGCAAGAGCCCAAGGGCCCCAACGAGAGAGATTGCGTGAGATTGCGAAATCCTGGACCACTAGCAACCACAATAACCAGATCTAGCTACCATACCAAAGTTAACAATATTAGCAAAAGGCCACAAAAAAAAAAAAAATAATTAAATATAAGTAAGGTTCCGTCATACCTTCCATTTCGGGTGCGCGTGTGAATCAACGGCAATGTGACTATCCTACGCAGCCGGGCTCTATCCAACGGTTTAAGCCGGTTCCAAAAAATTAATCCAGATTCGGGCCAAGTGATTTCGATCTTCAATTCGGTACGTTTCAATTTTTACAACCATCAAGTCCAGCGGAAAACGTCGTGCAACTGGCGAACGTACGGGGAAAAACCAGCAAGATTGAAGACTTTGGGAGAAATCTTTGGAAGTCCGTTAAGGCTTGCATTGTAAGTATTAGCCAAAGTTATCTTAAAAATAATAAATAATTTTGCAAATGAATTGAGGTTTGAATTTTGTATCAATACAAACTAATCTGACCAAGTGAATCAAACCAGGCGGACTCATCTTATTTACTAATTGAGACACTAAGAAAAAAATGGAAATTATTATTAACAGAAAGAATTAGTACGCTTCCAGATATTACTTAACTAAATTTTTTTGTACGTGCCCTTACAAATCGCAAAATGTTTTTCTACCGGTTATTTTGAGGTCATACGATATTGGTAAACACATTTCCAGTAACAAATATTGTAAATAATCCAATTCTATTTATCGGTGGGACGTCTAAATTTTACTCTGTTTTCACACCTGTCCTCCACAATTGCCTTTAATTGCTGTATTTGTATTTACATAAACAATTGCCAACTAATTGCGATGCGCACCATATAGGTATATAATATTTTGTTTATTTTTGCCACCACTGCGGCTTATAAAGAAATTAACACATTTGGCCAGGGATATAAAAAAGTTTGCAAAGGTAATCGGATCCATTGCATATTTTCAGACGCCTGTCACAAAAAATAACGAACGCTAAAATTTCCAGGAAAATCCCCCCTTATAAACATATTGATATCCATTTTAGCGCTCCCCAGTCGCTCATATTGAAGTCTATATAGTTATAGGGTTTTTTTATGCCCATGACAAACGAAAACCTTATCTTTTTAGGCTGGCTACTGATTTTTCCATTACATGCCCATTCAATCGATAAATTTTGTGCTCTGTTTTCTGTCTCTGTGTTGTTTGTTTATTGTTTCTCACTTACAGATATTGAGTTTGAGTCATGGCAAAACAGTAAGGCCTCTCTAACAACAACTCAACGGAAAGTTTTCCGAAAAAATTCCACTTGCCCATTTGCTTTATTTATTATCAAGGGGTTTTGCCATTTTGTAAATATAATGTAGCCTGTTTTGCGGAGCAGCTTTTCCTTCTGGCCCCTCGATTTCCCTGCCTTGTATGATTTCCATTGTCATGTCAGTTTTGTCGTGACGTGCAACGAAAATTGGTTTGTCGAGTGTGTTGACCCAAAAATTACCAACTTTATTGACAGTCTACGTTCGAATTTATTTGTATACCTACCTATCCCCAGAATATAACTGAAGGCAAACTAATTAAGTTGTAGTCTAGCCTCTAGAGGTTTGAACAATATTTTAAGAGTATTTTTACCCAGACGCCAAAAATCAATTAACGCTTAAACTAAAAAGATTAGCAAACAGAATTTTGCCAAATTGCGCGGTTTTATCTATTTTTAGTCTGCGTCCGATAAGTTCAATGTGTAAGCGATCAGTCGTGAGGTTTATTTTTGGCATTGTTTAAATTTCTATTTGGCATTCGGCCTGGTCCACTGAACAGCATCTATTATCATCTGGGATTACTGTTTGCCGAGACAGAAATCCACCTTCAGCATGGAAGTGGAATCGGGGGTATACTGTTCATATATACGCAAAAAATACTTTTATAAAGATGAATTGATAATAACTTAAATAATAAATCAAAGCTAAACAAAAGTTTTGAAATAGTTATTTACATTTTTTATTATTGTCTCCAAATATAATATAACTTTTGAGTTAAACAAGCAAAATCTGGAACAGGTTAATTAGCTCTCGGAACATTACTGTTGCACTTTCCTGAAAACGTGTTGTTTTGTCATTAAATTTTCTTTTGAATGCTGTGTAGCCACATGATCTCGCCGATCTCCATTCTTGAGATCATTCATTAAAAACCGCGAGTCATTGAAGAGCGATTGTATAAGAGACTTCGCATCCATTAGATGCATCCGCCAGGGTCTCGTTTGCGTGTCTCGTGACCAACTTTGACTGGTGGTCATGTGGCCTGAGTGTCTGGATCTAGTCGGCGATTGACACCAGGCAGCACACAAAAAGAGCGAACTATAATTCATGGCAATTCAAACACTTTTGGCTAAGAATACGAGACGCCGTCGTATTGTCCCGTCGAAAATTAAATGTTTTAATTTAAAATGAAGCCAGAGGGAATAAATTAAATAACAAAACCTGTTCATGTTTTACGTAGCTCGTAAATTATGGCAACGAGCATCCCCCTTTCTTCAGTCGCGGGCTTATTTTATTTATATACGAGTTGGCAAAGTTCACAAAACTGGAAAAAGAAATTTCTGATTGCTGTCGATTTTTTTATGAACTGGAGATGCCTTCATCAATTGAAATTGATTGATTCTAACGAAAGCGGGCAAAAATAAAGACACAAATAAAGAGAGCATAAAGCGGAATTTGTAAATTAATTGATGGATTCAAACGAGCGAAAAACAACAACAGAAAATGATCAAGTGACCAGCAATAAAGTGCTTACGTCACGAGCGGAAAATAGAGGATATGTACTTTGATCCTAAGAACCAGCGCTCATTTCCTGGCATTTGAAATGCACCTTTGCTTTTAGCCAGGCTTGTTTTTGCACTTGCTTTATTTTCCATATTTTCTTGACTCATTTGTCAAATTTTCTTAACTTCTATTTTATTTTTCTGTCCACATTTTTGCCGCTCTGCTTTGCTTGTTGTTTCAGCCACGCTTCATTAGAATTTTGTGTGCTTCGCATTTGCATTTCGGCTTTGGGCTTGGTAATATTCCATTGGCATTTCCCCATAACTTGTTGGGTAGTTTGATACTTCCCCCTTCCTCACTAATTTTGTATTCACTCTTAACTTCTGCGGAAAGTTGCGCAATCTTAGAAATTGCAGCCGAAAAGCACGTGACTGACATTAACCGATTTGAAGGGTATTTTTTGGGGGTGAGATAGACACTTGTTTAGTCGATACAATACAGCACTGATTGATGCCAACTGTAGTGGAAAGTTACGATTGTACGAGCTCCAAAAATAGAGCTGGCAAAAATAGAAGCAAGTTCCTTAGTTTCGGTTTTATAAACCACATATCAAGATCATGCCTGGACACTTGAGATGGCTGCTTGAAATTCCAGTGGCAGTACATAAATTTTGTTCGCTATCAGTTTCTGTGAATCGCTCTTCCCTTATCTAATCGGTGTGATTAATTGTCGTTCAATTATATGGCCACATATGTATCCATTAAAGGCAAATACGTGCCGTCAACTGAGTGCAACCAATATCTATTTGAAGACCCGCCAATTTGGAATTTCATTCTTTACTTTAAATGGGACTTTTCCGGCCTTGATTTCAATTGGTCTTTAAGGAAAGTGATTGAAGTAGGCAAACACGAAAACAGCCACGATAATTTCATTTGAATGGCTTTAAAAAGCAGCACGTAACAGATGTGAATCAATAAACATCTATTAACAGCTGTGTAGTCAAATATAACAAACATTTTATAAAATAAATCCAAGCAGATATCAACATAATTTCTAGACCAGATAATCATCAAAAATATTCCCTGCATTATGAAGTAATCTAATTATTCTATTAAATAATTAAATACCCCTTAAAAAAGCGAAACCTAGTAAACAATTGCAAGCGGGTTGTTTACGATTCGGTCGCCGAATTCCCTCGCCACTCGAATGGATGAAATGTCAACATCGCCGGCCGCTTTTATCGTGAGAGACTCTTCCCATATCAAAAATACAATTGCGCTAACACTGTTTACCCACTCGATTCCAAAGCGGAGACCTAAAACCTCTCAATGGGCGAATAGGAGAGCATTATCTTCTGGCCGACCTGCAATCGCCGGTTTACTACCGGTTTTAGCCGGCGCTAGGCAGTCTGAGGCTGTTGATTTTTCGATTATATTAGCCCGGTTACCAGGTAAATCCGATTTATCGGCCGGTGAAAATGTGTTTTCAATATTTGCCCCCCGTTGAAATTACTCGAGCAATTGGCTACTCTCGTCAGCAAGAAATATTCGCACGGGCTTGTTAAAATGCCCGAAATCTAACGTCTCACGGTTCGCATCACCTCAAATCGCGCATACGCCGCGTGGGCCAATTTTAGCATCACGGTGCGAGGCGACTCTGACGTTTCGCCGCTGGAGCTGCGAGGCTGCCTGTGGTTGTTGCTGTTGTTGTTGCTGTCACTGCAGAGCAACAAAGCCCCATAAAATCCCCATGCCATTGTACCCATGACTTTGTTTTCAAGCCGTTTTCGGCGGTAAACATATTGATTCCAGCGCGTGTCTCTTCAAAAAGTGTGCTACACGACCTTCTGTTCATTGGCCTAGGCCGAAGGATTATGGAATTTACGAGTTACCTGGCTTAATTTTTAAACCCCTTTTAAAATACTTTGCTTGGAAAATGGAAAGGCAATTGATTAAGCTGAATTTAATTAAAGTACATTATAATTTAATAGGCCTTTGATGGAGTATTAGAAAGTTAGAAAGAGTTTTCAAGGCAAATTAAAATCAACTTAAAAGCTTAGTTCATATTTTAATAAATAAATAATTTAGGAATGCTCTTTATTAAATCAACGACAAGATTTTCTAATTTGTTATCATTCCCAGCGCCCTTTTCAATTTATTGTTTTGCTTGATTGGTTCCGAAACTACTTAGTCTCCAATCGTCTGCAGTCCATAAATAGTCCATGACGAAAAAATCTTATCGAGAATGTCTGATCTTTATCTGCAAACCACAAACTGAAAGCGAAATTCGAATAAATGCCAATTCATTTGTGGGCTCGTGTCAGCTGCCATTTGGCGAGTGGGTATGTGGTTCGGTGGTTCAGTGGTTCAGTGCGGATTGTTATCCACATCGACCTTTTGCGGGAGCTTTTTGAGTCATGCACTTGTGTGGTTGCCTCTGTGTAAACAATTACTGAACCATTTTATTGCGTAAACAGTTCTGGAGAAGAAAACTCGCAATGACAGAGATAATATTTCCAGCTCTGATGAGTAAATCGTAGAACAAGTGAAATTACTTCCATTATACAATCAATACATTCGATTGTGTTGTTAATTAATGTGGTTCGATTTTCTAGCAATGTGTACATCAATTCCTAAATCAACAAACTCGACACGAGCTCATTTGAAGTCCACTTCATTATCCATTATAGGGTGTCTGACGACAGGCTTTCACTTTGCCCTATCTGTATTTCTTTAAATGTCTCCAGAACTAATTCCTCCTTCCGTTGCAGGGTTTAAGGCAGTCTAATTAATTTGATAAAAGCTAAGACCCTTCTTTAATAGTCTTTTCAACTGAAAATGCTTTGCACGCGCCTATCGTGTATTTTGGCAGTTTCGGTATTTTGATGGAAATTAAGTGTAATCATAAATATGTAATGCTTAAAATAGTATTTTATAAATACTCGTTCGCTTTTTAAGAGGTAGAACCAAAAATAAGGGCACACAAATGTTTGGGACAACTGCCAAGTGATGGTTGTAATATTTATCACTCATACGCCGTGTTGACTTTGGTATATAATAAAGAACCTTTTAAATTATTTAATAATATTCTTATAGCACTCGTAAACTTAATTTGTAAAAAAAACGGCTGTCCAATAATAGATATTGAGATAATGAAACACCATATGTCATATATTGCCTTTATACATATGTATATAGTACCCCTTCATCTCAATGTAAATGTGTGATTTTCGAAATGTTCTTGTTTCATTTTTGTTGCTGTTCTCGATCACGTTCGCCATTGACGTCACTTTAGGGCGCGTGGGTCTTAATTAGTTCGACTCGTTTGCGACCGGGCAGTTGACCGAAGATGCTCCGATGTTTGGTTAACCTAGAGGATTGTGACTCAGAGAATTCCAGCTCCCCCTCAACGTCGTCGCTGCCTCAATTTGTATTTTCACACACGTCGTGACATTGCACTTGAAATTCGTTTTTCAACGGCTGTGCTGCTTCGGATTTTCGCATTTGTGCCCGTGCATATTTCTGTGTTTATTTCCCGTCAACGGGAAGTGCAATTAACCGTTAGCCGCTAGCCGCTGGCCCTGTTTACCTGTGTTACCTGTCTTTCGGCCTCGGATCCCCCGAAATTCACTTCGATTAATCGATCGATTTGGACTGCGAACTCTAAATTCGATTGGAGTGCGAAACGCGTGTTGCAGGGGGCGTAAACAAGTGCATAAATTAATTCACCTCATTAATGTGGCCATAAAGTCTAGAGCTGCTGCTAATTTGCGGGCCAGATTTATTTTTAACCCTCTCGGCAACATTCAAGACCCAGCCTGATTATTCCCCCTCCGATAAGAAAATTAAAGGTTTACCCAAGACCGATCTCCTTTTAGACTTGTTAGCATTCCCGAGTCTTGTTTACCGAAGCTTTCGCACCTTTTGGCCGCCCTCTCTTTTGATTTCCCGATCGATCGGGAACTACTATATCCCACCGCGCAGGCGCGCTCTCTCGCCATAGCTCCACCGCTCTCGCGCGATTTTCGCATATAATTCGCGAGGTCGGAGCGGAATGGGTTTAATAGTGATTCGGTGCGCCCAAAGAAAGCAACGCCAGCGTTCTCCTCAAACTTTTTTGCTCGGCTGCGTCCGAGCCAAAAGCAAAGTAATCCAAAAGAAAACTCTCGGTAGCTGGAAAACACAAACGGAATCCGTTATTGCAAAAAACTAAGCAACCTCCACAACATGTGAAGTGATTTAAAACTTCTGACCTTTGAAACGGTTAAACGCTTAAGAAAACGGCAGACAAAAAAAAAAAAAACGTGAAAAGAAATTTCAATTAGTGTTTATTGAAATTTATTAACAGAGATTTAAGGCGTTGACATTTTTATTATAACTTTTATTGCCCAAAGGAAGTCTATTCAAATCAAACACTTGTGATCAGAACCCAAAGTGAACTGAATTAAATTCATTGTGATAATAAATCCAGTTAGACTGATTAAATTAGAGATTAGCAGACCAAAATGACGCCCAGGATTATCACATACATTTTGGTAAATATCTAGTGGTATTGGAAAATTATTTTTAACGACTAAGAATTTGAAGCCGATAATTTTGGATAATTTCACCATGTTTTTAAATTTCATAATTTTTTTCTTATATAACATTTCAACAATTTTATAAATCAAATTTTTATAAGACAAATTATTTCAATAAAAAGCTATTTTGCTTGATCCTTGTTCATTTGGTAGAATAATTTAAATTTTTCAAGTCAAAAGTTTATATAACAGAGAAGACAATCTTAAAGATTTTAACGTAAAACCTGCCTAGCAGTTGCCATAAATTATTTATCAGATCGTGTGCCGCTTATATAAGCTGGACATTTCGCTGAACTATTCGCGACTGCTGACTTTGATGATGGTTCATGACTGGGCACAAATAAGTGTATTTAGCAGAACATTACTCATACGACACGTTGTGCCGGGCACTTATTAACCCGGTTAATTGTGCCGGGGAAACGACATTTCTCTGGCTGCTTAATTATTTACAATTAACCGTTAAGTTTTGTCACGGCACTCAAATGGATTTTTCGCATTGTCTCACCGAGTTTCTCCTTTTCTCTCGATCTCTTTCTCAGTGCGGCATGCGCCATCCCACAACTGGGCTGAACGAAGACGACCTGAGTCGTCTCACTGGTTCATCATCGTCGACGGCCTCCTGCGGCAGCGCAGCCTCCTCGTCATCGTCCTCATCCTCGTCGTCGTCTTCCTCGAATCCCGCTGCCCGTCATGAGGTGGTCCGCAGTCCGGAGAAGCCGACGCCAGCGGCGGGCGGTGTGGATAAGAGCCACCAGAGCCACCTGAACAGTGGCTTCAGCTCCACCTACCTGCCGGAGATCATCCACCCGGCGCTGGAATGGCAGAAGTCGTCGCGCAAGCGCAAGGAGCGCCTGGACAGCAGCTCGGCCTTTGGCCAAGATCGCAAGCTGCAGCGCAGCAACAGCGAGGAGCTGCTCACGGAACTACCGGCCGCCCTGGTATCGCCCACCGCCCAGGTGGCCGCCAATCTGCTGGAGGCCCAGTGCGAGGTCATCCGACGGGTGTCCTCGGAGGACTTCAAGCGCACCGCCAGCTACGCCAACTATCGCCAGGAGTTCGAGCGCGGCGAGCAGGAGGAGGCCTCGGAGCTGGGCGAGAACAACGCCGCGCTGGCCAACCTGCCGGCCCAGGAGGCGGCCAAGGAGCGCGCCCGCCCGGAGACCAGTCCCGCCCGCCAGCCGCCGGCCAAGGAGGCCAGCGATGACTCCGAGTGCGAGCACGAGCGGCGCCGCAGCAGCGAGCGCTTCTGCAAGTCCCGCCAGCCGCCGGTCCGCAAGTCGGGCGTGGCCAAGAAGGGCGGTGGCGGTGGCTCCAAGTACCTGCCCTCCCGCCGGGACGAGCAGAGCGCCTACAAGTACGATCTGTCGGCCTTGAAGTACGAACGGAGGGGTTTCATCAGCAGCCGCAAGCAGCAGGGCATCCAGTCGGCCGCCGACCACAACGACAACAACCTGATCGACTTCCACCAGCAGCAGAAGGAGCTGCAGACGAAGAGGAGCGCCAGCATTTCGCCCACGCCGACCACCAGTTCCTCGGCGGGCAGCGACGACAGCACGCCCACTTCCAACGCCCCGGCGCCCATCAAGGCCAAGCCGCAGCGGCAGCAGCAGAGCCTGGACCTGACCTCCGCCCAGGAGTCGCTGCCCTGGGAGCGCGGCGATGAGCCGGCTCCGATTTTGAGCCGGCGGTACGCCCACTCGCGGCCGCACATCGGCGGCAACCTGGATGCGGCCGCCCAGCTGGCCAAGGCCATGCCGTATCCGCAGCAGCTGCCCAAGCAGGCGGCCACCGTGCAGCTGCACGCGGACATCGCCGACATGGACTGCTGCCTGGAGCCGATGGACGCGGTGCGGGCCTTCAGCTCGCTGGAGAACATGCGCACTCGCGACGTGATGCAACAGGTGCTGCCCGCCATGATGGTGGCCTTCCAGTCGCCCGAGGAGCGTCTCAAGGCCATCAATCGGCGCGTCACCGTGCTGAAGAAGAAGCTGGTCCAGCTGGAGGAGTCGCTGGAGCAGCGGCTGGGCTACCGGCCGTCCCAAGCGGAGCGACTGAACGACAAGTACATGAAGAACGCCCTCGCGGAGTTGAGCAAGCTGCGCAAGGAGCGGCACGAGCTGAAGACTGATCCCATCGCAGCCCTCGGCCTGAAGGTGGGCAGCGGCGGCGGAGGCGTCGGTGGCCAGGAGGTGGCCAAGAAGCTGGAGCGCATGAAGGCCACCCTCGCTGAAATCGAGCAGGTAATAGAAATCCCCCAAAGTTTATTTTTTTCCTCGCCCGCTGGCAAAATCACGAGACACGAAGACGCAGTTTTATGACAATTAGCAAGTGGGGCAGACGTCACAGCCGAAACCAGATACATATATACAATGGTGTGGGGGTAGGGGTGGTGGTATATAGTATAGGTGACAAGCCCAGCAATTTGGCAATAACTTTGATCTTGCCACATTGTCAAACGGCACTTGGTAAACATATTTTAAGAACAGAATTTTGTTTTGGTTAGAAAATGAAAACAAATTTCGCGGTTGAGAGATGTTTTAATGCCCCGTCAGAAGGCTTTTAGGAGATATAGGATATATGTAGGAATTATATGCCTATGTTATAAATATATCCCTTTAAAGGGTTTGGTAGAATATACAGCACTACATTTCTTTCAATGTTATTACAAATGAGGAATTGGCTTACGTAATTTGCTCAAAAACGAATGAATCCTGATTATGTCATTGTTTTCTAGACATTTCTATGGATTCTGTACAGACAGACCGAATGAAAACAATTTCCACATTCCAAATTAGGAGGTTTCTGCCGCATTATAATGGCTATCTATTTATATGCATATACCATAGGTATTTATGACATCCAGACAAGCCTCCACATTCTAAATATTGACAAATTAACGATACATTTGTCATAGAGCGGCGCAGACAAACACTTGGCCCATCGGAATCCGCTCGAAATTGAATTTCTGCCAAGAAAACAAAGTGTGCGCGAAATGATTTCCCTCGTTGGGCTGTGGGAAATTGGAAAAAGACCAGAGAGGCAGCCATCCAAGTGCGAATATATTATTGCTATAATGCAATGTCTGTATTGCAGGGGCATTATTTGTTTACAATACGGGTATATTCCGCATTTGTTTCTATTTCTGTTTTGGCGCTCTGGCATCTTCTTTTCGAATGTCTGCTGTTGTCGCCTAGTCATTGTCATAAACAAATCACAGGCGAGCCATACCTAATGCCACTGAATTATTGTCTTGTTTACCGGGCTGGGTGGTCTTTATCAGTTCACATTGTTGGCTACCGCCGCACTGATTACTTGCAATTTATCATTGGGTATCGAATTATACAACGCTACACAAGTAAAAGTTGACTTCAAGGTTGTAATGGCTGTTCCTCCTTTTACAGAATCTCAACGAGAAGCGCGTGAATGGAAACCGCTCCGAGCAGCTGGAGGATCTGAGCGCCGACCAACTGGTGCAGGAGAAGAGTGCCGTGCAGCATGGACTGCTGTACTTCGAGAGCCTCTATGGACACCCCATCACCAAGGAGGAGCGCGATGCCGCTCGACCGCTCTACGATCGCTATCGGCAACTGAAGCGTCTGGTCTCGCGCACCGTGATGTTCGGAGCGGGCACAGGCGTTCCCGAGCTGCCCACCATCCTGGAGCACGAGGCCATGGTGTTCGAGGCCACCTCCACACCGCAGCAGTATTCATCGAACAACAGCACCGAGACCACCAACTCGCCGAGCGACTCGAATGCCCCGAATACTCTCAACCAGAACGTTTCCTCCGACGAGTCGACGACCACCACCACCCTGACGGGTCCGGCGGCCGGAGGAACTGCCGCCAACCAGGAGCACCAGGCGGCCAGCGAGAACATCTCCGCGCTCAGTCTGGACCAGCTTTGGGAGCAGCTAGACCGAGCGCGCGACGAGAAATCCCTGCTTAAGTCCACCATCCGGGAGTACGAGTCCCTGTTCGAGGAGCAGAACGGACGCAAGATGCTGAAGCAGGACCGGCGGTCACTCGAGACGGAGACCTATGCCCAGTACAAGGAGAAGAAGGCCAAGGTCCGATTGCTCCAGGCGCTGATTAAGAAGCACATCGGCCACTAAGCTATGAATATCCTACTTCCATTCGACTTCTTTTCACCCACGCATGCGATACTTATTTATTTCATCATACCAACCAAACAAATACAAACCTAGATCTATACAAATTATATGTAGTTTTTAGACTTACATTTACCATATATTCTATAATGATACATTTTATGAATATTGTTGATTCCTTATTGTTTTTTGAAAACATCTATTGAGTAATTGTAATAAAAAAATTGAACATTATGAGACAAAGAGGAGTGATTGAGAAAGCAACCGCTAGGCATTTGATTCGGCCTCATCCCCTTCTTATTTAGACTCCCGCACGGAATTGATATCGAAATGAAACCCAAAAATCTGCAATATATTTTCACACTCTGCTTTTGAGTTATGTAAATCGTCATTGATGTTAAAAAATGACTTTGGCCTGATTTGTCCCACTTCGAAAACGGGGAGCACAGATTTTTCGATTATCTATAGTTTAAAACGATCCAAGAAAGGAGCAGGTCGAGACCCCAAATCAAATCATTACAAACTTTATAAATGTTGTCTAGTAGAAATGAACATTTTATATCGATATCTGAACTAGACTCTAGCGATCTATAAACAATATTACCGTCATTCTAGTTGTGCTTTTCATTAAATGTTTCAGTGTGCAAATGGCACGCACCCACACTCGAAAAAACAAAACTTCTAAAGCATTTGAGAGCGTTGGAAACGAAAGTCGAGTTGAGACGATCATAAGTTAGTATCGACTGCAGGCCAGGCGGCTGGAAGATGATTTGATTTCGTTGTGCAACAAGCAATTGGGTTTTTTGAAAGTGTATGCCCCCGCCCCCTAATCCATGCATGCGATATATGAATATACATATAAATATATATATATTTACAATGATAAAGAGTGTAAGGCCCAAGCCAAGCAAATACATATGTAACGTGTATTTAAACAACGTACACTTATATTTACATGTTTACATATACGAACATCCAAAACAAAATATATATACATATAGGACTCAACATTTACAAATTGAATATTCTTATATGCAGGCCACTTAATTGGGTCGATGTGGAAAGCAGAGCATTACAAGTATCTCCCAGCTCACTGAAGCGAATGAATGTCTATGCATAATTTGAAATGCAAAATAAAATATATCACGTTATATTAAATAAAATCTTTCGTATTTTTATTCATCGATAAGACTACATCAGATTTATTTATAGCATCGAGTGGGGGCTTCACAATCCGTCGGGTATCTGCAGAAGATAAGATAAAAATTAGTTTCGGTGTGGGAAGGTAAATCATACGGATGGAAATGAATATGACGGATCAGTCACGTGAATTATCGACATAGAAGTTCAGCTATATGCTTGTCTAGGTCTTCATCATGGTACGAAATGATAAGTTTGCGGGAAGTTAAGGAATACATACCACTAATCTCATGTGAATCCCAAAGCCGAATAAAGACAAGCAGTTTTTGAGGTTTTGCAATCTGAAAAAAACATACACAAACTAAAATTATTACAAAAGCCAAGTTTATTCGCAAGCCTCAGATAAAAGATTTATTTTTCAGCTTAGTATATCATCAATTATTCTTATGACAGGGATAACTGTTTGGCTTAAATAAGGTGTTCATCACAGAAAATGTTGTATCAATTTGTTTATGGCTTTATACCACCTACTCACCATTTTTAGGCAGGAAAGTTCTACGGGTAAGCCATCAGTTGAAATCATTTCCGTTTAAGCCTGAAATTTGAAAAAGAAGTGCTGATTAGCATAAATTGTATATTGCTCTACACAGTTAGCATATTTTTTCGGTTCAGTCGAAAAAAGTAGCAACACGCGTGAATTCAGGTATATGCTTGTCTATTGGTTTGTCATCAAAAAAAATAATTAAAATTCATAAGATTGTTGTATACACACCTTTTCGAGGCTGACTGAAGAACTTCATTCCACACTTAACGCCTTATATCTGAAATATAAAGTGGAATAGTTTTATTATAGGTTCTTACGTAAAAGGGGCAACATATTTTGAAAAATGAGTTTATCAGTACGTTAACCAATCGACATAATTTCTCCGACTGGGGCGGTATCTACAATCATCATAAAAATAAACCTAATTTGATAGTAGTGTAATTTAAAATGGGCGTACCTTCATTGCATTGTGGTCCATTTTAATTTCAACTAGGAATCCAAATATTCCAAAAATAAGATAGATATCTGAAAGATATACAAAAAAAAATTTGAATATAAGATCTTAGAAGTCACAAAATAAGTTTTCAAGTATGAATTTATCAGTACGTTTAACCAATCGACATAATTTCTCCGACTGGGGCGGTATCCGAAATCATCATTAAGTTTTATGTTTCAAGTATAAATAAAAAGTGAGCTTACCTTCAATTTTGCCAGTCATTTCCAAATTGTGATTATCATTCGATGTAATTCAAACCATTTACATAACTGAAAACATAAACATTTTAAAATTAGTTTCCAATTATGATAATATTCGGTTGCTTATAAAAGTTAATGTCAGCATATTTTATCATCAATTATTCTTATGACAGGGATAACTGTTTGGCTTAAATAAGGTGTTCATCATAAAAATGAAAATTAATTGGCTAGCAAAATGATGTTAAGCCTACCTTTTTTAATAAGTGACATTCCTTTCTTGCTTCATACTTTTGGATCCACATACCTATAAATAAAATAAGTGGATTAAAACACGTGGAATAAATATTTCTACAAGAAGAAAGAAAATATATATCAGCTTATTTTATCATCAATTATTCTTATGACAGGGATAACTGTTTGGCTTAAATAAGGTGTTCATCACTGCAATTAAATAAACATTTTTAATATTTTTTTTTTGCTTACCATTTTGGTTTTAAAATTTGACGATATTTTGAATGCATTTCAACCCGGTCTGAAAAATTTCAAAAGTTAAAATGTGTTTTCCATAATTTCAAGAAAGTTGTGAATTTTCAAGTCTCAGTCGGTTGAATATCAACATGATTGTTCGGTTATATGCTTGTCTATTGGTTTGACATCATAGAAAATTCATAAACAACTATTTTGAAACGATACTCACCGTTTTGAACCAAAATGCAGCAAAGTTGGAAACCATTTATTCAGTCCTGGAATGTTAACAGAGACTTTAATACGACTTTACTTAAGATTTTACATATAAAGAGTTAATGTATTAATCAGTATATTTAACCGTATCGTCATTATTCTTCCGACTGGGGCGGTATCGCTTACATCATAAAACTATTTGTTAGATTATAGATATTTAAAGATGCTACGCACCATGTTCAAAATCTATATTGCAAGTTCTGTAGCACTTCGCCAGTTTGAAAGTCACAAGAACATCTTCTGCAAATAAAAAAAATGTCTTTTAAAGAAAATATTTAGAAGAAGCACACTCGCTTATATATATAAAAAAAAAAAGTCAGCAGTAAATTTTTGCGTTGGATATAGAACAGTTTTCTTCATAGAATATCAAAGCGAGCCTCGTAAATGTTTCATCATACTTTTATAGAAGTTTTTTCAATGAAGGCAGGTTCTCACCTTGTAAGGCCGAAAAATTGACATTTATTAAAAAAATTGTGTTGAGAAAACGGTTAAAGATAAAAATCTGAAATTTGTAACTTTATTTGAAAACATATTTGTTTTGCGAAAAAAAATTTCAAAATTGAAAAATCAAAAAAGGGGCTGGAGGGGGCGTTCCTCAGTTGCAAAATTTCGGCAAAAAGGTGTCCCGCTTACGGAAGTGATTCAGCCAAAACGGGTAATCGGAAACACAAAAACCAAAAAGATTCTTAAAGTGTACAGTATTGTGCATAAAATGAACTAGGATCAGAAAAAAAAAAATGAAAATTGCAAAAGTTATTAGCTTTTGAAAAAAATTTCGATTTTCGCGCTTTTTTTCTCACTAATTATTTTCTCAATTAAACAGTTTTCAATATTTTTGGATAATCCTAGTTCATTTGCTAAAGGAAACAATTAGCAACATTTAAAAAAAAAATTGATGGCGATTGGTTAACCCCAACGCCTTCAATTACTTCCGTAAGGTCCGAAAACGTGGTTCCGAGATAAACGCGTTTAAAGTTTTGGCTTCCAATGGCCGGCGCTCGACATGTGCTCCATGTAAGGGCCTGTAATTTTTTTAATATTTCAAATTTGGATCTGAAATTTTTTGAGAACATTTTCGGAACATATATCTATACGATAAGCCAAAAAAAAAAAAAAAAATGAATTTTTTTTTTGCCACAAGGGGAGAACCTGCCTTAAGGCATATTTATTTACCTGTTGTTTTTGACTTTCTCAGCAATTCACACCGGGTTTATTTTAGCCATCAATCTAAACGAATTAGAGCAAATAAAATTTGAAAATTAGTTAATGGGAAATTGGAGCTGCAACGTTTATATTATTATTTGGACTCAGTTTCTAAGGTGTAAGTATTCATCAAAAACTTTCAAGAGTAGCAAATAATAATAAATCATCATATTCAGGATAGGCTTTTTATTTTGTTAGCTTTAAATATTCACCTTGGACGTGATTCATGTGGTGTCACATATTTCAGGGTTGGTTGCACCGAACTACTCTGCAAAAAGAAAGAAACCGAAAATGATTAAAATTTGTAAAAATCAAAATCCAATTTTTTTTTGCATGTTAAAGTCAGCAAGTTAAGTTTGCGTTGGATATGGAACAGTTTTCTTCATAAAATATCAAAGCGAGCTGGGTAAATGTTTCATCATACGTTTATAAATGTAACTTATTGTTATCTAATGTATATACAGTCGACTCTCGTTAATTCAAACCTGCGATAATTCGAACCTCTCTATAAATCAAAGTTATCACGAGGTCCCTACAAAATCTCTTTATATTTCGAACTAAATCAATACATTTTCATACACTTGGTAATTCGAACGAAAAAATCATTGATATTTAACAAAACCACGCGTTAATTCGAACTCATCAGCGTCTAACACTCGACAATTCAAAGTTGCAGAGAAAAAATTTTGCGACAAGTTCAAACTTGCCTTTGTTTTTGTTTTGATTATGTAGTTTTTGACGCACACACTTCTTACGAATTGGTTTGTGTAGTTATTCAGTTACTGTTACTCTTTCGTTGGTATGCATATTAAAAGTTAATGTTAGCTATGAGCCCTAGAAAGTATAAAGAACCTTTGGCAGAGGTGTCAGTTAAGGAAGCAAGATCCTCATTTGATACCTACAAAGCTTACATATGTCTACAAAACGAAAGTGATGAAAAAGTATTTCAGGCACTTTTTCTCTTAAAAAAAGTTATTGAGCAGTGTGAGCAGCAGAATTGTGCTTTAAAGCAAGCCAGTATAACAAAGTTCTTTCGAAAATTTCGAAATTTCGAACCATTTGATATTTCAAACACTCGATAATTCGAAATATTTCAAGAGTCCCTCGAGTTTCGAATTAACGAGAGTCGACTGTATACCTTTTTAGTCGCTTCAATTGAACTTCATTTGGATTATACCTGCAAATATAGAGCAGATATTCAGAACGTTAATATTTTGGGAAAATTGGTAGAAATAAATATTGTGGATTAAAAGTCAGCAAGTTAATTTTGCGTTGGATATGGAACAGTTTTCTTCATAAAATATCAAAGCGAGCTGGGTAAATGTTTCATCATACGTTTATAAGTGTAACTTATCGTAATCTAATGCATATATACCTTTCTAGCTAGAAATATATATTCGCTTCAATTGCATTTCATCTGGATTATACCTGCAATTATAGAGCAGATGTTCAGATCGTTAATATTTTGGGAAAATCAGTAGAAATTAATATTGTGGATTAAAAGTCAGCAAGTTATTTTTGCGTTGGATAGGAACAGTTCTCTTCATAGAAATCAAAGCGAGCTGGGTAAGTGTTTCATCATTCGTTTACTGAATCTATTAATTAAAATATAAAATAATTACCTCAACTGTCTCAGAAGTTTTAAATACAACTCCATTCATGTCCAGTCCGGTCCACCAACCTGCAAGATAGAAAACCGCAAGTTTAAAATAATTTATTCTAAATATGACTTAACAATTTATTTTTTTATAAATCAGTTTTTAAGGTGAAAGTATTCATCATCGACTTTCAAGAGTAGCAAATAATAATAAATCATCATTTACATGGTTTTTTTTAATATTAAATTGAATGTAAAGTTAAAGTACGTACCCTTTGGAGATTGACATCCACCATTTCGACGGTTTACTTTTATTTCTGAAAGAAATATACTACATTTTAATACACATATTAAGAAGGGAAGCTCTTATTTTGTATCAATCAAGTAAGTCAGCAGATTATTTTTGCGTTGGATATGGAACAGTTCTCTTCATTGATTATCAAAGCGAGCTGGGTAAATGTTTCATCATACAGATTTTTGCTAGATATATTATAACAATAGTTTAAAACAGTTCAGTACAAACTATAGCTCAAAAAATGCCGGTATAGTTACAAGTCGGAAAACAGCGTGGACCACTGTGACAGAAGCAGATTCTTTTTTTCAGATAATAGCATTGTAAACTATTGTTATAAGAGATCTGTATATATTTTATATCGAAACTAACCTTACTTTTCGACACATGTAAGATTTGTGGTAAAAACCAGTGAAACATATATTTCCCATTTCATTATAGTGCAGATGGTTGCTGCTACCGCGTGGCATTCTGTAAATGAAGAGAGCAACATAATTTATAATGCAATTCTATCACATAATGCGCTCAGCAACATGTGGATTTTTGGCCATCAGAATAGGAAACCAATCAACACGTCTTTTCAGACTGGGGCGGTACGATTTTATCAGCATTTTAACCAAGCCACATAGTTTCTATAGTTAATTTAAATATTAACTTACCCTTTTGAGAAATTTTAGTTGGGAATCAAGAGAGAAAACTCGACTAGCCATTTCCAAAGAAAAATTAAAATGGAAGAGTGCACGTGGTAATGTGACCGTAGCTGCATTTCTGAAAAATGTCTGTAGTATCGATAGGACAATCGATATTTCAGAGGGTAGTTCCAAAAGTGTAACCTCATTCAATAAGTAAAATTTATTTGAAATGTACATTTCTTACGCCTGTGTTCAAAATTAAAATATATAATAGCAAAATGTAAAAGCCGTTAAGCCAAATACAGTTATTAAAAGTAGATATAAATAAATTCTTTTTAGATCTAATATCTAAAATCATTTCTATAAAATAGTTAATGAGACAGTGTGAACATTTTATTTTTTCATGTTTACTTTGCAACTTGTCTGTCAAAAGCTATAAATAAAATCTTACTCCCCTGCTTTGGTCACACTTCATATTTGTTGTTGCTTGTCGTTGCGTCCCGTGTGTGTCGCTTTGCGTAACGTTAAAAGTTTTGATTTTCTCCGGCAGACGCATCCGCCAAAGAAATGGTGCTGACTAAGGAATACCGAGTGTGCATGCCACTCACCGTGGAGGAGGTGGGAGACCGACCTTATACTCCTTCAAATAGTAGCTACAATTAAAGCTTTTCTCTCATCATTTTGCAGTACAAGATCGGACAGCTTTATATGATAGCGCGCCATAGTCTGGAACAATCGGAGGAGGGCGAGGGCGTCGAGGTGGTGGAGAACAAACCATGCGAGGATCCGGTCCACGGCAAGGGTCAATACACGGAAAAGCACATCCATTTGTCCAGGTGAGATTAACCCAAAGAGCTATTTAATTGTTATGAATCGGTTTTTAATTATATCGCCTTTTTCAGCCGACTGCCATACTGGATTCAGGCAATCTGCCCGCGCGTCTTCTATGTGATAGAGAAATCATGGAACTACTATCCCTACACGCTAACAGGTGAGCAGTAACCCACCACCACTTACTGCGCATCCCATTCTATTTTTACTTCGACTGTGTATTCCGGAGGCAATCTCCTTCTTGCCTTATTGCGACAGCCATATGGCAGCATTCTTCGAACATCATGTGTTTTTGGGGGGCAGCGAGAATTCCGCGTTATCATCCGACCATCATGTCTCGATACGCCGACATGGTGGAGGTACGTCTGCCGATAAAGGCCCCATATAACGCACACCTGCCGAACTCTGACAGTACGTCATCGATTCGGCTTTCACGGGGATCGAAAACAGAGCTCTATGCCGCTTGTTCCTCCAATCTGCGTTGGGCAATTGCTTAACAACTGTCGTTATTCACATCACAATGTCTGATAAAATCTGATTACACGGTGCCTAATGCATCGATGAAGCGCTGTGCACTCGATAGGGATTTCTGTTTGTGTGTTCTGGCTTTGGGTCGTTGACTTTGAAGAGTGTTTTCCGTTAAAAGCTGCTTCATTTGCAAACGGATTTACTATTCCATTATCTCAATAGGGTTATTTTATTTAATTAATATGATTTACTATGACGTACAACCAGTACGTAAAGCTACAACAACCTGGTTTCGGCTTTAATTCAATTATCGTTATTAATGCTCATATTTTAGTTCGTTGCCGATGGCGGCGGATTGTTTACTTAAGTATTTAGATATCATCGAAAAATTGCCTTCAACTAAAATATGAACTTTTCCATGAAATGCTAATACTTATTTCGAAGTTTATTTTAGATTTGATATCATAATCTCACTAGTATGTGGACAAATCTAAACAAACTATTTAATGCATACGTTAACCCCTAGGGTTCGGTATTCTTAAGCGCTTTATACACCAAATGGGCGTTTTGTTTATAAGACTCATGGGTACTGTAATTTTGAGCACACCTAGCTCAAAATAGTACATTAAGCACGCTAGATTTATATTTGATGAGCTGGCTTATTGATTTATTTTTGATGCCTCGTTATAATTTCATGTGCTGTAATCGGATCGTAATTGGCTGGAACTTTTAATAGAATACACGGTAATTGTATGGCTTCCACTTTGGTTGTCCTTCGCTAACCTATTATTTCTTTCTAGTGTTCCTTCATACCCAAGTTAAATGTGCTCATCAAAACTAAGTACGAGGACAACAATGGCAGCACAGAAAATGTAATTTCCGAAGGCCAAAACTTGACATTTAATAATAATGTTTATGATTGACAGTGCTTGGATCTCAGTGAGGAAGAGCTGAAAGCTCGAACTGTGGATCATCTGGATATAGCTTTTGATGAAGTCAGTGCAAAGCATTATAAGAAGGAGGAAGACCCCAAATTCTACAAGTCTGCGAAGACAAGTAATGTTGCATAAGTTTATAAATAGTATTATTACAAAATCATTAATAACTTATATGCAGACCGCGGTCCACTGATTGAGGGCTGGCGAGAGACGGATAAACCTATCATGTGCTCCTACAAGGTGGTCCATGCCAGCTTCGAAGTTTGGGGCCTGCAGACCAAAGTGGAGGACTTCATCCAGCGTGGGATTCGGGAGATTCTCCTGCTGGGCCATCGACAGGCCTTTGCATGGGTCGATGAATGGCACGGCATGACCCTCGAGGATGTTCGCGCCTACGAACGCCAAAAGCAGGCCGAGACAAATGAGAAAATCCACAACACCAGTGGTGGTAGTGCAAGTGAGGCGGCGGGAGATTCTGCCGGCGAAGCCAGTGCAGGTGGAGACATTGATTGAGGCTTGAACTAGATCGTAGAGTAGTTAAAGTGACGGAATGCAGGCAAATTGTACCTTCTATGCCTTGCGGCAAGCTTACAAAGTTTCATAGGAAATATCTTATTAACATACGCATATTTGTGTATATAGTATATCAATGTCGATGCATTTCACCGGTCCAAAGAAGCTCAGAGCTCTAGTAACTGCCTGCAGCGTTTAAAAGTACAATGCACAAGCACCTAGCTGGAAACTCGAAACCAAATAATTGTTAAAAACTAGACCACACAATTTTTAGTCAAACTTATATATGCACACACATTCTAGTGAACGGTTTGTGTTAACTATATACCCTAGATTAGCCCCATCCTAAGTGTATATTTTGGTGTACAAATACAGAACGATTAAACGTATCAAAAACTTAGCGGCATCATATGATTGTTAATTGCTTTTATTTTTGGCTAAGGCCATTAAAGCGTTTAAATTGCTCACTGAACGATCAAATTATTAGTAATTTGTATGCCAATGAACCAGGTAGTAGATGAAAATGATTCACCCGGCGCTCAATAGAGTGGATTCTAAAAGTATATATCAATATAAAACCGCGCAAGTCGACCCTGACACTGATCGTAAATCACCCCCACACCCTTTCTCCCATTGCCAGGGGAACCCAACAGCTGCTTTTACCGAAACGAGCCCCCAAATAAATTTGAGAGAGCTATTGATAAGTCTATATCGCTCTCGCTGTCAGCTGATTCGTCGCTGGAGATCTCGGGCGCCAAAAAACAACACCAGCGTAGCGTCAGGAGAAGAATAAGCAAAAGCCCCAGCGATTCGCGTTCGCGCCGCATTTGAACTTCAAACGCGAGAAAAGTAGCACAGTGCGGAAAGATACGCGGATGCGTGGCGATTAAACGGCGTGGTGCGGAAAAATAACAAGTTCTGATTATGCTACTCGCATAAAATAAATGGAACAGTCAAAACAATTCGGTCCGAATAGCCCTACCTGGTAACGCCGATCGTGACAATGGAATATTCTGAATGAAAGCATCGAAACTCGGATAAACATCTTAAAATAAATATTTAAAAATATCAGAAAATTGCGATGGCGGGCAGTGTGCTTCAAAAGGGGGCGGTGGAAAGTATTTCGCTGTTCTTCATCATTATAATAAGGTAAAAACCCAAGTGGACCACGCGGCGTATGCGTAATTTAATGTAATATATGCAATGTGTGTTTGTTATCAGATGTTTACAGCTCTAGTTGATTTATTAATAAACATACTAAATCCTATTCTGGGCCAGGCCATATGTGGGTTATAGTCCACAGTAAACCTTTTATAAGGCTAAAGTTACTTATCACCAGACCAAATCAAACCTAACTGATTGGGTTTTATGGTTAATATAAAGACTAGACAACGCAAAGTTAAGTGGAACATACTATTCGCTGGAACGTACAAATCTTTGTTTAGATATAAGATATGACAGTTTTATTCACCATTTCTGAGTTTTATATTTTACAAGCAAATAAGGTTATTAGGACAATAAAGTTCTAAGGTAGCAACTTCCTCAACATTCAGAAAAGTGGCATAAAAACCCAACACTTCATTCCACCTTTATCGCACCCCAAGCAGGGGACTATTCAAAACGTATCATAATAATGAGTTCCGTAAGAGACTCAGGTATTGCCCCTAATTTAAAAATTCTTATCACACCACCAGCTATTAAAAGTTTGGCTTATCAAAATAATATATAACACCGAATTGCGCCTAGATCTGGTCTATATATTCTCATTTTAAAGCCTGCATGTCGCCTTGTCATCTTTTAGATCTCATTTATTTTTTGCCACTTATCGTTTTATCTCAATGGGAATCAAAAATCAATTGACTGCCGCCGTTGTGTCGTTTCATTTGTGTCATTTATTTCGAACTTTTGTCGTTGGGGAATTGATAATCTTGTTTTTAAAATAATCCTTTCGAAATGGAATTTTCAAGCGCATATCGAGTTTCGTAATTAGCGAGTTAAAGCTGGCAAATAAATCGTTTAAGCTCCAACAACCTAATAAAAATGAACATCTTGCACAACCGAATTGATTGTCTAAACGAAATAGCATGCCAATTGCTTCTATGATAAAAAGTCAAGTGAAGAATGCTTTGCAGCTAACTTTTCAATTAAAATTTGACATTTCTTGTCACGCATACGCCATGTAGTACTTTTGGAAAGCATTTTAGCTCAATAAGAGAAACTTCAGAGAAAAATAAAATCAAAATTGGTTTTCAGAAAATAATGGAATACCGGTCTTTGTGTACCTTAAAAATTCGCCAATGTTAATTAACGATAATTGACAGCCCAAGTCACTAGGAGAAAGAGTGTCGATTCTGTCAGTTAGGATCGTGGCTTTATAAAGCACATAAACTGAATACCAACCGAATTTTAATATTTGTCGTTCGCCAATTTTTACCACTTCAAGCCAAACAAAGCTGCTACCGAACTGTTTTACCCGTGGATTTAAAGTAAATATTTTCGGTGTTATAATATTTCACTTTGTGTATTGTCGAACCTAACGCCTTGAACGCAAGTTGTTAATTGTCAGTTAGACCCACTTAGTACCCTTAGAAAAACGCGCCGGGATATATAAAAAGATGATGTATGTATTTTCCGTGCGTATTTGCGTCGTGTTTACTTGGAAATAAACTAAAAGATATATAGCCGTACGTAAAGTTTGGAAATAAACCTATAGATATATTGCCCAAAGTTTCCACTGACCTACCTCTACCTTAAGTAATTCAGTAGAGAAGGAATACGGGCTGGGAGAATGCGTCTTTAATTTATTCCGGACTCTGTCACCCTGAGAGATTGCACCTCGAGATGTGCTAACTGGGCATCATGTGATATACTTCTGGCCGCTAATAGAACCGCCATATAGACGGAGCAAACAAGATCTCCCTACTGCGCAGGTATTCCACATGGAGTTGAGCTACCGTTCAGATTAGGTGTACATGTTTGCCCAAGTCGGTTGGCTATAAGCAGTTTGCAGTGCCAAGAACCGATTCATTAAATCTGTCTTGCTATTTTTAAAAACGAGTGGAAAAAATAAAACGTACATTTTCAACCCGCGCTATGAGTGATATGAAAAGTAATCTGGGACAACTAAATTTCCTGAATCTGTGGGGTAAATGAAAAAGCCAGTATCAGTTTCTGTATCTCTATTTGTGTTTTCCCCAAGCAATTAAGACTTACCTGGCGTCTGCTTATCAAGTTGGCCCTAAACGAGAGTCGCACTGCGGCCGAATTATCACCAATTTGAGGGCTGTCTGGCCCAAAATAGCATCATGAGATAGACATTTATTTACTTACCAATTATCTGTTACCCAGACTGAGCCATGCCTCGGACGAAAGCCACGAATCAACCACTTCGCTGGCCACCACTACCACCAAAATCGTTCCGATACCCGATGTTGGCAGAAGCTGCTTCAACTGGTCATCTGCGCCGGAGGCAGCGGGCGGAAATTGTGCGAGATTAATCCGGAATGGCACTCTAAAGTGCTACGGAGGAATGAATAACCTGCCGGCTCTGAAGTGAGTATTTTTAGGTCTGTGTTTACAAATTTGTTTTAGTCTAAAAAGATAATAAGGTCTTTTGAATTTCTTTGGAATACAAAGGAGGTCGTCTCTCCCACTCCTCATATTTATTTGTTAATATTAACTTTGGATTTATTTATATTTCTTTTTTTGCAGCTACTCAGGAAAGTTGATCCGAGCTCAACCCGCTTTGGAAATGATCCTTTGCGGCTGGCCAAAGGATGGATTCAATCACATGAAGGACCTCCAAAAGTTGCCCCGCCTTCGATCCCTGACCATCGAGTACAGTGGCTTCACCGAGTTCAAATTCGACTTTCCTGAAATGTCGGAGCTCCAGACGATCAACATTTCGTGGACGAATCTCTCGTACATCTCGTCCAGGACCTTCAAGCGGGTGCATCCCCTCAAGGTTCTGGATCTGCGATGGAACCAACTCATCCAGCTGGACGGACCTTTGCTGCTGCCCCGCAACTTCGAGCAACTCTATCTGGCGGGGAATCCTTGGAACTGCACACGCAACTTCAAATGGATGCTGTTGCAGCCGGAAAAAGGTCGACTGGTGGTCGATCGGGATGAGCTAATCTGCACGGATCGAAAGTATAAGGAGCGCCAGATGCTAATAGTTATGCATTACAAATTGGTGGGTTTAATATTGGTTTCTATGACTAAATTATAATAACTAACTAGTTAAATGAATTGCAGGAGCTGCGGAAGCAGTGCCAATCCCACGAGGATCTGAGGAACTGCACTTGCCTGATGCATCATATCTTGCCCAAGACACACATTCCCCTCTATACGGTCAACTGTTCCCATTTGCAGTTCCACCGCCTGCCTGCCTTTTTGCCAGAAAACACCACCACCCTAGTCATCAACGATAATATGGTAATTTTTGCTTTTATGAATTACTTAATAACGAAACTGATCCTATTTGGAAGCAATATAGATTTAAGTTATTGAATCAAAAATGCATTCTTTTCAGATCAGTGACATTAATCCGCTGCGGGACAATCCCCACTACCAGCACGTAGTGGACATGCAGCTGGAGAACAACCAAGTGTCGAACGTGGACAACCTGGAGGACACCTACTGGCTGCAGAACTTCCGCCTGCTCAATTTGCGGGGCAACAATCTCCGGAAGCTGCATGTCTACGCCTTGGACAATGCCCTCGATGACAACGAGAACGCCAATCTCCTGCTGCTCAGCCGGAATCCCTGGCACTGCACCTGCAAGTTCGGCAGCCGGCTGCGAGAGTTGCTGACCAAGTACAAGGACATCGTGCGGGATGCTTGGAACGTGGAGTGCACCTACATGCAGGAGGATGAGCAGCGGCTGGCCAAGGTGCTGACCCTCAGCCGGCAGGAGATGTGCAATGTCAGTCCGGAGAGCGGCACCCAGATCCATCCCATCGATTGGCTGAACGGAGTCCTGGCGAGCCTCATCCTTCTCATCCTGGGCAAGCTTGCCTACGATTACTACCATTACAAGTATTACGGCCGAGTTCCTTGGATTGTGATGAAGATGCCATAGTCCCAATCCTAATCCTAAGCAAGGAGAGTTCACCTCGAAAGTATTTCTCAAACACAGACAACGGTTTGCTGGTTTATTTTTGAAAATCTACAAAAACAATACCGGTCTTTGTATCATATATGAATATTTATATATAAATAATATTATTTAGGTATTTATGTATGCATGTATATTTAAGCTAAGTCAACGCAAAACTCTCAAAATAGTTGTTGGTTTTCCCACCATTGCACTGCTTAGACTGTTTTATTCGGTTATAAACTTGCGTTCCCACGTTCCTTCACATTCGACGGTTATTAGCATTCGACCTGCATTTAACTTGGCACAAAGCGCTTAATATTTTATAATGGGAATCAGCTAGGATAAGTAAATGTTTGCATTGGAACAGAACGGTATCTGTGTGAAGTTTAAGTTAAGTTACAAGTAATTCCATCTAAATGAATCTAATTTTGTTTTATATTTACAATTAAAATCCGTCGATTTCATTTCTTTGGCCTTCGAAATCAGTGCAAAACTTAGCATCTCTTCTGTCAAAGCAAATGCAAATGAATTAAAATAAGTGTATAGGTTACAAGCTTATAAATTAAACAACAGTGCTGGACATTGTAAACAAAGCTTAAAACATTTTTGTACTTTACATCAATCAAGTGAATGATAAAACAAGGCAAAATAATTCGCTGGCTGAGAGCGGTACGTCTAAAGTTCTTTTTGTTTCCTACGCGAGCCCATGGAAATGTGGTTAGGACGATCAGCTAATGCTTCTTGTAAATTTTTGTATAAAAAGTCAAAGTAAAATTTAGATAGTTTAAAATTGAGTTCCCTTGTTTCTGTTGTATATGATATGGAAACATTATCCTAACCACTACTGAGGACTCGTGTAGAAACCAGCCAGAGATCGCAAAGTAAACAACAGCGGATGGCATAAAGTTGGCTATTTCCCGGGGACCCAGACTATCTGGTCCCCCGTTAACATTTTCCGTTTTTGGCTAAGCATGCGAGTATTCAATATGTCTATAAATATACGATCCACTTTACAGCCTAGAACAGCATGTAGGAATGATCACGTTCCAGTCGCGACTTGGCGCGCATCTGTATATTGCCAATGGGATCCGAGGGCGGTGGAATGCCAGTAATTTGGTGGGTGGGCTCCTTGTAGAAGAACTCGGTCCTACCGTTCTTGTGGCCATAATACACCGAGTCGTGAGATCTTGAAATATTTCGGAATTGTTAAACCAACTAAAGAATGATGAGCTTGAATCGTATACCTCAAAAACAAATCGGTAAGATGATGACCACTGGAATGTATCGAGTGCATGCTTTCAAGGATGTTCAGCTCTAAGGGATTCCATGGTCCGTTTCGCTGCAAGACATCCCACTTGGAGTCGACGCACATGAAGCTATAATTGCTGCCATCGCGGTTATCGCCATCCACATTTACATTGAGTGTCTGATTCAGTTGAGATTCCATGTGCGGAAACTTGGCCACACATATGTCAAACTAAAATCAAAGAACATTTTATATTAGCTAAATTCAAGCTTTTAACTTCAACATACTACTCACCATCTTCTGCACCACCTGTTGCTGTTGGCAAGTTCCTACCTCCATGAGCAGCAACAATGTCATATTCTGCTGTCCACAAATGTAGAGCTCCGTTCGCTGCAAGCCATCCGGTTGAATGGGACCTGGAGGCTGAACAGGAGCAGAGGACAAAACGGACAAGGCATCCACTGCATCCTCGCACTTCAGGGAACTGCGGCGTGGGAAAACCTTACTGCTGGTCAGCGGAGTTTGTATCTCGATGGGGGTAGCTTCGCTCAAGGCCAGCACCGATAGTTTGGCCATCAGCGGTGTAAGTGGCACTCCTCCTGCTCCACTGCGTCCGGATGCTCGCTCCCCGAAAGTAGATTCCCCTGCAGATTTCAGGGGAAGCGTCATCGATCGTTTATCCAGCGGCGTTTTGGCAGCAGAAATGTTGAGATTCCGGTCGGCCGAGGATGCCTCCGCAGCCTGCTGCCGCATGTGCTCGTCCAGCTTCTGGATCTCGGCGTTGAACTCCTGAAACTCGGCTACCAGAGCGGCGAGCTCCGCATCCTCGTGAGCCTGCTCGCTGGCCACGCCCCACAGCTTGCGGTACTGATCGAGGAACTGCTGGAACAGGCTGCGCGAGATCTGCTGACCATTTGTATTAAACACCGGATAGGTGGGATCGCTGATGGTGCGGGACGTGATCTTCTCGTCGTTCTCGATAAAATCAGGAGAGCCGGAGGAGGCATCTCCATCACCGCTTCCATTCCTGTTGACATCGGTCTTAAAGTTGTGTGTGAAGTTGTTGAGCTTTTTGGAAATGGCTCGCAGAGCATCCTGCAGATCCGCCGATGACTTGCGCCGCGTGAGCTGCTTGTTCGGATTGCTGATGAAGTTTTGGAAGAATTTCTCAACATCCATTTTCAGGGAATTTCGTCGCGACTGCGCCTTGCCATTGGAATTGTGGACATCCTCCTCTTTGCCCTCGTCTTCGGGGTTGGCGCAAATGGACATAACATTGGCCACCGGCAGAACCTTGTTCTCGGTCATGGGGGTGTTGCAAACGCTGGTGCGTCCAATGAACTGGGGATAGGAATCCGTTTCGTCGAAGTTAATGGATGCAATGCCAGACTCCGGGAGCTCCTTGCTCTGCAAGTTCTTTATACGCAGCGGCAGATGAGTGGGTCGCATGGACTTGGGTCTGGCTGGTGGCAATTCCGCCGCTCCAGTCTGCTTCTGCTGCTGCTCCTCCGACGCATGCTCCTCCTCGGGAATGTGGGTGAAGATTAGCGACTTGTCCCGCTTCATCTTGCGCTTGGCATACTGAAAGGGCATTCCGTTCTGGGAAAGCGGTGCCGTGCCCATTTGCAGGTTCTGGGCACGCTGTGCCTCGCCCACCAACTGGCGGTACTGCATGTGCTCCAGGTAGACCACGAGCATCTGGACGCCGTTGGGAATGTGGAACTCATAGTTGGTTGACACTTGCTCGGCGGCTGTGCGAATGTGGAGAGGATCGGTGAGCACCAAGTGCTTGGTCACCATATCGCTCAGTTGAGAGGCCACCACCCTTTGAGGGAAAGTAATCATTAAGTAAGAAAGTGTTCAATATTATTAGTTTTTATTCACTCACTTGTTGTGATAGAGAATTGCTCCGCCGAGGATCCCCTTAGTTTGCTGACAGCTCTGCAACGTCTGTATGGCCTCCAGGAAAATATGGCTAGCAGTCTGAAAATCAAAACGAGTTCAGTCAGTTCTCTCGATGATAACAACCACCACTCACCTTCGGCATGCGCAATCTGGGCACGTTATGGAAAGTACTTCCATTTCGCTGCAGCAACGGCAGATATGTCTCGAAAATGTGGTAGAGCTTCTCGCTGAGATTCCGGCGGTTCTGGACAGCATACTGAGCATACAGAGTCTGCATATCACGGTGGAAAAACTTGAGCAGGGCACTAAGCATATCAGCACGATGCTCCAACAGTTGATCTCCAATATTTCGATCAGTGCCAATTGCCTGAAAACCAGAATGTATATTAATGTCATGATGTGGGATTTTGTACTCCTTATTACCAAAATAAAACGTCCGAACTCCTTGAGCACAAACTTGCCATTCTGCAGGGAAAGGATGCGCGGATTAAAGAAACAATCCTTGAGAAAGTACGATGTGCCCATAAGTTGGCCGCACAGAGCCACTTTTTGGGAGTCGGAAACCCAACTGGGGTGGAAGTATAGAACCGCCGATATGGGATCATCCGCCTCGTCCATCAAACACTCTGTGTCGTAGACAAACACTATCATCGTCTCCCTGTAAAGTTAAGAAAGTGATAAATCAGTCAAATGGGATTAGTAATAAGTCCAAAAATATCCTTTGTGATTAAGAAGTTTGAAGTAAAACCAAGTTTTATATCAATTTTGACACCTTTCGGTCAGGATCGCTGGCCGTTGGCTTTGCTGTAGCTTTTTCCATCGCTTGTGGCTGTTTTTACGCCAATCCCGAAACATTGCAATGTAAAGAATCTCAAATCTGCGGGATTTCGGAGCTTCCAAGTCTAACGCTGCATCGTGGCCGCTTATCGCGTTTGACGACCGCCAATTCTGATAAGTCAACAAGCCAATACCGCCGCACAATGCCAACTGTCTGACATGGTGATTCTGATGTGGCCCAGCTGCCTGATACAACCAACTGTGATACGAGAGCGCGATCAGAATTCCGCTCACGCCAAAGTTGGGGCAACAGGTGAGCAGTGAGGTGAAAGCTTTTGCTTCTAGTTTTCTAGCGCTGCGGTTGAGCGGGTGTACGAGTGCCGCGCTCTTCAATAACATATCTATTTGTTCAATGCCAAAGGTATCGATTCCAGTTTTAGAGGGTTCCGAAGCCCCAGAGAATCGCTGATTTTACAGTTTTAAAGGCGTTGTGAAGCGAGAAAAAATGGTTTTGCTAATATTTTTGCTTTGCAATTAGCAAATGTTTATGCAAGTGATAAAGCTTTTAGGCTTTAAAGGTGTTTTCGAGGTGAAACCAAGATCCAAACATAAATTAAAAATAACACCCCCAAACCAGTCTTAAACTGGACTATGTGATTAATTAAAAACAACCATGTGCTGCTCAACTATATTTATTATTTAATAACATATCGGATTCTATAACTTCTTAGTATGCTAGCCGGCGGCAGATTTTAGAGCCATCGCTGGTAGCTGTTGAACCGTGTTCTGCAGTTCAGACAGATTATACTTGGCCACATAACCATTGGGTCCTGCCTCATAGGTTACCAGAAGGTACCTAGATCTCGGGAACGGCTGTCCAAACGAACCCTTCACTTGAAGGAGCCCCGAGGGAAGCACTTCAACGTTCTCCTCCCGTCCCGTTCCTTCTATATCGATTCTAGGGGATAAAAGTCGGTTTAGGCACTCACTGAATAACGTGCACAATCATTTACCTCAAATAATAACCATGGTCGGATGGCATTAATATGACACCGTTGTCATTAATAGATGGCACAAGGTAAGTTGCAGAAGATGTGGGTGCAGAATTTACCAGATTCAGAAGCAGAATGGAAAGCACCTACGGTTGACAATATAAACCATTTCCAGGTACAATATTTCGGAAAAAACTCACCGCGCTAAATAACTTCGCCATCATTTAAATAAAATAAAGTGGACTACCTGAGGAAGTACTCCTGATGAAGACCTTTTGGTGGTTCGCTAGCAACTGACATTTTTAAAAAACATGCATCGAGAAGCAAACAAATTTCCTAATACAGGTCTAAAACTGGATTTATGAATTAACACCGAAAGCTGTGTTTCTGTGTATTGTGGGTTGATTTTTTAATTGCTCTTCAAGCTGTGACCAAGACAAGGTGACAACAAAATCAACCAGTCCCTCGGAGTAGAATTCTTTATGGTTTTGTTCTTAGCAAAAAATAACTAACTATGTATTTCGTTAAAAAACATTTTTTAATACAAATTTTTTATTTTTTTTGACATCTTAAAAAATTTCACTTTTGTTTTGCAATTCAAAGTGTTAATCTCGTTTGTAAATTTCTTATTTTATTTAAGGCACACTTAACAAAAAAACCTATCCAGCTGCGGATTTTAGGGCACCGGGACTGAGAAATAATGGAGTCTGTGGCGGGGGCGTTGGGGGACCTTTGCCAAAACTGTATTTGGCAACGTATCCGTTCGGACCTGCCTCATAGGTCAGAACAAGATTAGCTCCCTGATCCTCGAAGGGTTGATTAATCACTCCATTGACTTGTAGGTGACCGGCTTCATTCTGTTTTACAGTTTCCTGCCGAATAGTGCCACCCGGATGTTCAATTCTGCAGGAACAAATTAAACTTCATATAGGGCCATCATTTGAATAAACTAAAATTGACTACCTGAGGAAGTACTCCTGGTTAAGAGGCTCCAGTTGAAAGCCATTAGTGCGGATTTGTGGAACGATAGTTGGAGAACTTTGAGGTGCCGCGTTGGCTAAATGAACGATTAGAACCGAGAATATCTAAATTTTGCCATTAGCTACTTTTTTTTGCCCAATTTAATTTTGAAGTCTCCGTTACTCACCGCGCACAAACGGTACGACATGATGACCTGCCTGTGGTTGAATGAATACTACCTGAACTTCGGTTGGGATGGTCACGCTCGAGCCCAAACCGAAGGCTGGCTTTATTAAGTAGCAAACAAGTTTGATTTTTGCGATGAAGATATGAAAAAATCACACTTGCGCTTCACGCGCAACACTTAAATCCACCTACTAATTGGACATGTATTTCACAAATGATGGCAAAGTTCCCATCCTATAAGGGTATTGAGTGGGAGATAGACAAATCCATCTAAAACCAGTTGCTAGCCTTCGAAGTGACAATTAACTTGGTTCAAATTAATTTACATGATGACCATTGCATTCCCGTCGAAAAATTGCTTGTCACTATGGATTCGCGATTAAATTGAACACCTGGCGAAACAAATTTCTACAGGGAGTTCCCAAGTCATTTTTAACGGTTGCTACGAGAGATTCTTACGTTTTACAGGTATTTAGAAAAAAGAATGATTAATAGGTTCCTTTAAAGGTCAATAACTTATTAATCATTCTTCACATTTAAAATTTGTTAAAGTTAAATGTTGTACCACAAAGCTAAGTTAATTCATTTTCGTAAGGTTTAAATTTAAATATACAATTGCTTTAAGAAATATATAAGTTAATTTCAAATCAAATTTGTAAAGGCTTATCAAATTAAATAAAGTATGAAATGAAGATGCTTCAGAGTTGCACGTTGTGTGAGTGAATGGGGGATTCCCCAGGCATGGTTAACAAATTTATACAAACGTTAGATAAGAACACTTAAGAAATCTTAATATAAGATTGAACTCGTTTTGAAAGAAACTCCAGTTTTCATTTTACCGGTTTTCAACCGTTTGAACTTGGACGTTTTATCAATTTCACCGCTTGAAATCAATACTTGTCTTTTCACTTTGTGTATGTGAATGAAAACATCGTGGGCGGGGGGTGGTGGATTGCGCGCGGGGGCGGAGGCTGCAGCTCAAAACAAACACAAAAATACCCCCACATACACATACCGCCGCCCACACAAACACTTATACACCCATATAAACTATTTGAAGTTTTTGCACTGGCTCTAAGCGTTATCAATTGTACTTACTTTGAACCCATGGTGTATTGCAGTGTTAAGCTCCCTTTGTCTGGTGATTATTGCACTTATTCCTGCCTTATTTTATTCATTTTAGTTTTTATTTTGTATTTTTCTTCGCAGATAAACGAATGGAGCTGCCATACTTAGTGGCACTGAGAAACACCACAGTCTGTTGGTGTGGTCTTACTAAACTAAGCTGTCAGTTGGTATATTTTTCTGGTATATTTCGAAAGGCTGGTGATGGTCACTTTAAAAATGGCCGTCGATCAGTGAAGTTGTATACACTTTTTTCGTGTTCCGTGTTTTTCGCTTAATTTAATCGTTTATTTAAATGTTTTTATGAATTTTGGTGAGTCAAGAAGTTGGTCGAAAGATTGATGTGAGCGTATACCGTATTTTAAAAGGACTTGTGTAAAGTTTAAAAGCCTTAAACAAAGTTTTACAAAGGCAACCCCCGCATAGCGTCTCTCGCCTCCATGCAACAACAACACACCCAAAGAGACGCACTGGAAGCATAAAAAGCAACAAACAGGTTTTCATTGTGTACAGACGTGTGTTACTTCCCTCTCGCTCTCGCGCTCTTTAATTTATGCGCATGCAGCACCATCAACAAAAGCAACAACAACAGCATCATTTATATATATGTGTAGTATACAAACCAACATAAGAAACAAGAAATACAAGAAAATAAATCATCGTGAGTGTGTGTGTGTTTGTGGAGTGCTGTAAACAGCAGCCAAAGTGGTAAAGTAAACGAGTCGAAAAAAGAAGCGGATAATAAGTGGAAAAGAAGCTGAAAGCAAAGAGTTAGCCAGCTTAGAAGTGACGCGTAGCTACAGGTGAATATATCGGACTTGTTTTTCAAGCGCGAGGCGGTGGTCAACAGTAAAACGGGTTTGATGCCCAAAAGAAAAAGAATCCAATCGATTAGCAGACTAATCAATTTACCACCAAGTTTTAACGGTAAAGCCAAATGGAAGTTGCATTTACATACGAACATTTTCCAGCGCGTGTTCCCAATTTCCTAAAGTGCGTATTCCAATTCAAGTGCCCAAACTGGAACGCGTCCCACTTAACCCCACTGCGGTGCAAGCTGTTTAAATTAACCCTAGTAAACAACTCCCACATTTGTGTGGCTCTGTGTTTTGTGAATGAAAAAAAATGTAAAACTTGTCGTGCCATAATAACGCCTCTCCAAAAGATTCAGCTGAATCATCTAAATATAGTAAACTGGTTCATCTACATGATTCACCAAACATCGGAAGTCCGGTGATAATTCCATCCTACAGACCATGTCTGTTCTGCTTTTTTCGTTTGATAAGTGGAAAATAAGAAAAACAGAACAGAGCATTGAACCTCTGCCGATAAGCGTTTAAACAAAAGAAAACCGCAGCCCAGAAATTATTGTTATTCATAAAAAATATACATATTGTCGTTACATCAGAGCGGAGTCCAAGCTCCATTAAAATCTGGCAGCCAGTCAGTCTCCAAATGGCAAAATCCACTACAAGACACTCAAATCCACCTGTTGCCACTTGGTTCGACTTAATGAAAACGCCTACGGACACAAACGGGTATTACAGTGGGGCTTCTTATAGGGTAACCTAAATATAAAACAAATCCTTTTTCATTACCTTATATTATGATTAAAAATAACGTCGTACATCATTTTGAGCACCAGAAAGTAAAATTATACTAAATGGATCATTAATGTTTTATTTCCAATTCAATACTGTTTTTATCGTCAAGGACCAGTTTAAATTTAATGAGATCTCCTTAACGTACTTATTGCCCAATATATAGGAAAGTGTTAAGAAATTGGTTTTCCACGCGGGGATAAAAAGGCTTTAAATAAGACACTCTGTCCCGTTTGTAAACTAAGAGTAAAAACCACCATTATATTAAGTGCAGGAAATTATTTAACAAAATGAACAAAATACATCGTTAAAAGCCCAATTTACGGTAAAGTTCGTCGTTCTTTCCACCTGGTTCCACTGTTCATCGTAGGTTTTCTGCTGTGGGCGGCTGATTGCAAGTGGTGTATATCTAATAACTACACGCTAAAATCAATTTTGTATTGAACACGTCCGTTGTAAGAAACACTGCCAGTTTTCAGTTGTTTATTCTTTCACTCTAAAAAAAACGTATCTCGATTTAACACGTTTTTTCGGGCTTCCCACACGCAGGTCTAAAAAGATGAGGTAGAAAGGGAACGGCAACAAGTGTCAAACGTGACATACTTTTCACCCTTATCTTGATGAGGCTGTTATCTGGGAACTCTTCAAACCCATTCTTATCAGCCGGGAGGTGGTCGAGTGAACCTCCCAACTATCCCAAAAATAGTGGCACACATTCGAAACTTGATCTTTAATTTCAGCTCGTTAATTTAACGCCAGACGGTCAGTTTTTTGGGCTGGCATAATTGTATCTGTATTTTTATGGGCTGCCAGAAGCGGAACGGACTTCCTGGCATTGAACCCGAGTGTGTGGCTTGTGAAATATGAGAACGCCACTAAAAAAATGAAAACTTACGAAAACGCCGGTTTTATTATTGCAACCTCGAATCGAAAACACCCTTGAAAAGCTCTCATATGTTAAGATATTAAAACATTTCATATAAAACAGATTATATTTCTTAAGATTAATGTCATTATGGGTTTCTTAAATTGTAATTGCTAACGCTTATTTTTACCTAATAGTTTACTTCTTCACCTTTCAGACCTTTCTAAAAGAACCAATGAGAACCGAGTTGGTTAGATTTAGGGCGCCTAAAAAAGGTGTTAATTACCTGTCTTTCTACCTTGATGACTGATTATTTCTGTAAGAGGTTTCACTAGCTCCAACTAAAAGTAGTATCCAATTTAGCGGTCAGTACCATTCGCTGTTTTCCCTGCCAAGTAAGCCGTAATCAGAGTGATAAATTGTGCCGTTCAAGAGGGTATTCAAATGTAATTTATAATATTTATTATGCACTTTTATGGCATTTCTCATACGTGTTCTTGAGGGCCAACCCCCATAATTTGAGGGCATTAAAGCGGCCAAGAGATGGGCCACAGGTCACTTGACCTGTGACTTAAAACTCTGGCGGCTGAGCCGTGAAAAAACCTTCGCTTAGGAAAACGAAAGACGAAAAGCGATGCCATACTATATACTATATGATACCCACCACCACGAATCATCCGAATTCATTGAGCGAAACACAACAAGTTGTTGCCACCGACCTTCAATTGGCCAATAAAGCAATTTATCGGAGATCCCAGCCGAACCGATCCGTCAGTAGGTAAAAGTTGTCCATGTGTAACCCACCGACTTTTTGGGTGCGTGAGAAACTATAACACTCGAGTGTTCGTCTTGAGAAAAAAAAACCAAGTGAAAACCTGAAAACCCGCATGGAAATTACGTGTGTGTGTGAATGAGGAAAACACACCTATGTATGCTCGAATGTCCGGTGTTCGCCGCGGGGAAAAAAGTCACTTACAGACCGTCAACGGCACGTCCTGAAAATCGTAGTTCAACGCTGATTAGGAGGAAAATTGGCGGAAAATACCGCACGTGATTCCCAACAAAAGCAGGAAAACCAGGCTGTCATGAGCTATGAGTCATGCTCGAAAAACATGACATGTCCGCCAGGACGCGGAATATTGGATTGGATACAGTCATTCCCAAATTATCATATACTCCGCCACATTTTAATTTTGAAATTCTCTCTATTTATATACATATATAAAAATAATACCTTTTTTTTTACCTTTTAACTTATTTGGTAACCTAATATTTTTATCACCATTTAAAAACGACTGTTGTTTGTATTACGGAACAAATATCTGATTTAATATATAAGAATCTTTGATAGGTCAGCAGTATAGATACCGGTTTTTTCCTCAACATTTGTGTATCTCACCTAACAATAGTTTGTTTACCATACGATAAATGTTTGCATTAAAGCAAAAAGCTTTTGATCAAGTTTTACTGCTTGACGTCTTTCCTTAAAATCATCATTTTCATTATTTTATTGTATAATTTTAAACACATTATTTAGAATTACCCAACGCGTAATAATTTAAAACTCTGAGTTAGGGGGTAAAAACTAAAGGGAGTTCAGTGCTCGAAATGCAGAAGTTAAGTGTCCATAAAGATTGGCCGATAAACATTGTTCCCCTCAGTTTTCGGCGAGTTACACAGGGTTCTACCTAGGGAGGTTCTGCTGTAACGAAAAGAGCCCGACAGAGAGAGGAAAAATCGAATAAGGGAGAGGCAGGGCAGTAGTAAGTGCTGCTCAAACCGCTCGGCAGTTGCTCTCAAAGCGTGGGCGGTTGATTTACGTTGTTTGCTTTTCGCATTTCATGCCGATTTCGGCGTTCAGTGCTCATTCAGTCTAGCCCACGTTCGGTTCGCGGTCCGCTGCTCAAACTCAAACGAAATTCAAAACAATAAACACCCGAAAACACAACCAAGCCGGAAAGAAACTGGCGAAAAGAAAGTGTGCAGAATTCACAAGTAGCCGTTATATAAGTGGGATTTAATTATCTGATTCGGTAATAAAAGCAGATGCGAGACAAAGGGGAAACCCAATGATAAACAAACAAATTTATGGCGGTCATAAACAAATTTTTGTGCGTTTCAAATAAAACATGATTGCTCTCTACGTGCTTTTCTGCAGACTTACATATTGCGGAGTTTGTTAGGCCAAAAGTTTGCTGATTATGCGCTTTGCAAGAAAAAAGATCTTCCACCAATCACCGCGGTTCACTGAAAGATTCTAATAATTTCTAAACCCACTTTTCCAACCGTCTTCAATTGCAGGTTTCGCGTTTTCCTTTTTTGCCGACAGCTAATTGCATTAAAATAAAACCAACAAGTTGTTGAGCTGGGTGTAAATTATTGTGTAGTTGTCGCTGACACTCGAATACTTATAGCCAGATGCTGAAGCAGCAGCAGTGACAATAACACCAGTAATCAGCACAACTATCGGCGACAATGGCAGACATCGGACATCAGAATGCGAGGCGTCAGTGATTAAAACCAGTCGGAGAGGCCAGCCAGCCAACCAGCCAGCCCCACTGGCACCACCAGCAAAAAGCAGCCCAAGTTCCGAGCCCCACACGCTGCTGAATCATCAGAACTCGGAGGAGTACTAGTTTTCCAGCTACTGCGAGGCAGCAATGAGCAAAATGTGCTCCAAGAGCAGACCTTCGCCGGCGGTTTCGCCAACTTGGGGGTCTTACAAAAGCAGCTTGAGTGCGATATCTATTAGCCTGCTGATCACCTGTGCCGGACTGACGGCCGTGGCAGGTTGGATGCCCGACGTGCGACCCGATTTGCAAACAAGTATGTACCACCAAGCCCCGATCAAAAGCCCCTCCCTCTCCTATCAAACGATTTGTTTATTTGTGTCATTCGTTTGGTTTGGTCGCCTCTGTTTTCGCTGCCTTCTGCTCTTGGTGTTGCTGGTTTATCAATGACGAGCTAAGCTGTGGAAGCTCTGATTTTCCAAGCTGCTTATCAGGCGGAATTTTCGCAACGCCAGCAGCAAATTAGCATTTCCTCAAAAGCAAGTTAAACAGAAGTCATGCTAGCGACTAAATTTAAATTTCGAGAAAACACGAGTTGTTGTACAAGTTATATAACCAACCAACAGTTCGAGAACCTTTTTTCAACCGGTAACCTTTAATGTTGTTTCTTTCTTTGCAGCACAAGATAAGGTCTTGGCCCATTTTATTGGCAACTCGACGGACTATTTCAAGATTTTGGACCACCACGATGAATATGTTCTAGTTGGTGCCAAGTGAGTGAATTTCTTTTATTTTAACGATCCATTCGATACCTTTGATTTCGGGCAAACAATGAAAAGTTCCCGCTACTGTTGCCTGTGCGCAGAGAAACTTGGCACGAACACGTTTAAATATTTATAAAAACACAATAAACCAAAGTTCGATTCGCGGAATAATTAACGCGCCATTGGCATTACTCCCCTGCTTTATTGGCTGTTTGTCTCGATATTCGTTTTCATTAGAGGCAAGTGCAAATCTAGCATTTCTCATTCCCTTTCCGGGAATTAGGAGTGATTTGGCATTGACCAGATCCAGAAGTCTGGAATCGGTATATTCCACTTGTTTAGCTTTACCCATTTAATTATATATCCCATGAGTAAGGCGTTCGAGGCACATTTTATCACGTTGCTCTATAGTGTCCGGTCAATATTTATGAACAGCAACTTATTATTATGAATAAAATGCATCATTGGATCGATAAGGAGCTATGAATAAATATTCATTCATTTTTATAATTACTCAACGATTTTACTCGCGATGGGCGAACTCGGCAAACGCCCATTCGACTGACTAATGGTCAGTTATCGGGGATCTCAAATGGACCGACAAATGCAAACCAGCTTTCGATCTATCATATTTTCCTGCGCCCCAGACTTGATGGTGCCATAAACAACATAGCAACAAATTAGCAGTCAGAATAATTAGCCACTTAAAACACAGAATTATACAATTGTATACAAGTTCTAATTATTTGCACAAAGGCAACCTTGGGATATGATTGTCGGTGGGGCCTACAAACAGCTGCGGTCAAATTAATAGCAATGTGGTCTTGAATCTCCTCTAATGGATAACAAAGAAATAATAAAACGCAGGGTTTGCAAATTTTGTTTATTGTAAAAGTTGTTTATAAGTCGTAATGTTTACCTTTAGCGTTGCTCGCCAGTTTGTATCCTATTATACGTTTGCCTTTATTCAAGGCGGTTATAAGAAATATTAATTATTTTAAAATGGTTTATAACAGCTAAAGGTGCAAGGTAAAAAGACTAAAAGAAACGTTTAATTAATGAAAAACAACTATAATTTTGACCAGCATTGTTTAGCCAAACATTTTGTGTGTTCCTGGCACGAAGCGGCAAACGTTTTTCGTCGTTTATTTTCGGTCGCCGTACTTGGCGGGCTTCCATTCGACATTCTGGGCAGGCACACGCCATCGGCAAATTAATTCCCGCATTTGCTAATTCAATTGTTCTCCGTCTCGATTCGCAGGGACGTCATCTACAATGTGAGCCTAAATGGCCTGAGGGAGATTGCGCGTCTGGAGTGGCACAGCACGGATGCGGATCGGGAGCTGTGCGCGCTGAAGGGGAAGCACGAGTGGGACTGCCACAACTACCTGCGCGTCTTCGCCCTGCGCCCGAACGGCGAGGTGTTGCTCTGCGGCACCAACTCGTACAAGCCGCGCTGTCGTCACTACTCGCCAGTGGAAGTGTCATCGGAGGAGGGCTCCCCCCGCTGGCCACGCCCACGCCATGCGCTACGAAGTCAGCCGGGACGTGGAGGCCCAGGGCCTGTGCCCCTACAGCCCCGCCCACAACAGCACGTACGCCTTCGCCGACGGTCAGTTGTACAGCGCCACCGTGGCGGACTTTTCGGGCGGAGATCCCCTCATCTATCGCGAGAACCTGCGCACCGAACAGTATGATCTCAAGCAACTCAACCAGCCGGACTTTGTCGGCGCCATCGAGAGGAACGGCTACGTGCTCTTCTTCTTCCGCGAGCTGTCCATGGAGTTCATGAACTTCGGCAAGGCGGTCTACTCGCGAGTGGCGAGGGTGTGCAAGAACGACAGGGGCGGACCCTACAACCACGGCAAGAGCTGGACCTCCTTCCTGAAGGCCCGGCTCAACTGCTCGGTTCCCGGGGAGTTTCCCTTCTATTTTGATGAAATCCGTAAGTTGACAAAGAAAAGAAACATTTATTGTAAAAGTAGCTAATAGAAATATTTTGTGTATTAATTGTTTCTTTTGTAATGAAACTAAATCATATTTCGATCTTTTTCCCTTTCAGAGGCTATAAGTCCGATTGTAGAGAGCGGCTCCAAGTCGCTAGTTTATGCAGTCTTCACCACATCAGTAAATGCCATTTCCGGTTCGGCAGTTTGTGCCTTCAACGTGGACGACATTCTAGCCGCTTTTGACGGAGAGTTCAAATCGCAGAAGGACTCGCAGTCCCACTGGCTGCCAGTGGACCGGGAACAAGTGCCGAAACCACGACCAGGACAGTGTGTGGAGGACTCTAGAACGCTGACCAGCATTGCGGTCAATTTCATTAAGAACCATCCGCTGATGGAGGACGCTGTGCCGGCAGTGCATGGACGTCCCTTGCTGACCAAGGTGAACCTTCTCCACCGCCTCACTGCGATTGCAGTCCATCCGCGGGTCAAGTCGCTTAGCGGTGAATACTACGATGTGATCTACAGTGGCACAGACGACGGCAAAGTTACCAAGTTCATCAACATACTAAACACGCATCCAAACTCGACTGTGGATCGCCTAAGGACGGTGGTTATATCGGAAATGCAGGTGCTGCCACTGGGAACGCCAGTGAGGGAGTTGGTGATCTCAACTTCAAAGAACACGCTGGTGGTGGTCAGTGATGGCAGCCTGGTCAGTGTGCCCCTGCACCACTGCACCCACATTGTGGACTGCTTGGGCTGCCTGAGTCTGCAGGACCCCATCTGCGCCTGGGACTTGCAGACACACGAGTGCAAGAACCTGGCCACCAGTCAGCACAAGTTCGGAACCAAGACCTATCTGCAGAGCTTGAACAGCACCAAGAAAGCGGCAGCCTTGCTGTGTCCCCACATTCCTCGCGATGGACCAGGAGCAGAGACTGTGAGCTTTGTAACCATGGCTCCGCCGCCAACGGGCGAGCAGAAGCTTCTGTACTCCAATGTGGGTGTTCCGCAGGGAAGCCAGCCAAGTTTGGAACAGCAGCCAACAGGCGGCGATGACTTTGGCCTAAATAAGATCACGCTCACGTCCATGGATCCCGATGATATTATGCCAAACTTAAATGGTGAGAAAACTATTAGTACTTTAATATATTCTGCGATTCTAAAGTGTTTTTTTCTCCACCAGATCCCCAGAAGTCTACAGCAACTGTGGATGAAATCAAACATGCTTCAACTCCAAGCTTTATGTTTCTCACAATCGTCGTTTTCTTTACCTTCATAGTGGGTGGCACTGCGGGAGTATTCTGCGTTAAGGCCAAAAATCGCCTTATGGAGGCCCAAATGGATGATAGCCATCGCAATCATTTCGGCAAACCAATGTAAGTAGATCTTGTAAAAAGGGTCTAATGACTTTGATAATAATTAAATGTTTCCCCTCAGACAATTTAAACATCAAAACACTGGCAAGGATATTAATTTATTGATGGGCTCAAACGCCTACACCACCACACAGAAAACTCCTAATCTGGATCTTGAAAAGGATCGCAGTCACGAGTGCAAAAACTCCACGGAACATTTGGAAAAGGAGCTGCCCTGCAAGACGTCGACGCTGACGAAAGTAAAACGCACTTACATCTAGTGGGCTTGCACGGCAGCCAAGTGCAAAATTAGTCGAATTTCTATACTCTAAAACATATTTTCGTTGTTTATGTTGCTGTTAGTTATAGTAACCCCCCACCCATCCCGCGAATGAAGTAGACGACAGAATCGGATGCGTTTGAAACGCGTCTGAAGAGTAGGGCGCAGAAGTCGTGGCGTCTTTTTTTACTTAGCATGTATTGTAATTTAGTTTGATGTAAAATTTCAATAAGTTTAGTTTGTTTGGCAAAATTTAGTTAAATTTATTGAAAACAAAGTGCACGGGCTGCCTTAGCCCAGGCCATTTAAAGCATTCCGCATTCCCCTGACGTCGACCTTACTGTTCGAAATTGGAGTGCCTGCTCTTGGCTGGGCAGCCCGCATGGTGTTTTTCCTTATGTGTACTCTAAATGTATATTCTTTAAGTGCAAATATTAGAGCTGTACAAATTTACACACACATATCAAACCTACCGAAATCGAACCCGGTCAGTAAGCGATCAGCTCGTGGTTAAATATCCCCAAGCCCACAGCCCCATTTATTTCTCGAAATTCAATCGAATATTCTACAAGTATTTTGTTAGACTGAATGATTTATTTTTTCTATATGAGTTTGTTTGTGGATAACTAACAGAATGCGACATGGACTTAAAAGCTCTATGCTTTGTGGCTAACAAAAGCGTAAATTCTATCTAACATAAGCTCAATAAGGAATTGAACATAGCATGTAATTAAAAGTATGAACTAGGCTAAGAAACGAACAAAACTTCTATGAGGCTGTTTCATATGAACTGACACCGCAGCCCCACATCATTATGATGAGAATACGCACAACAAAACGGAAATAAATAGAATTCTGCAACAACAGCAAGCCTTATAAAAAGTATAAAATCGTGTCGAATCTAGGCCTTAACTCTAAACTTGTATGCTTTGCATGAAAAACATTGAGCTTGGCAATGAAAGTAAATCAGCATTTTAATATTTTTATGTTTACTTTTAAGCTGTTGTCCGTCCCACTGAAGAAGTTGCATAATACAATGTACAATGGCAATTTTAAATTATAACGTGTAAAATGCAATTTTCATCGTAATTAATATATTTTTATACGCATGTCTACGCCTAATGTCTAAAAATAAGTGTAAGAAGGGGTAAAACCAAGCATCCCTGAAAAAAGCTACACATAAAATATTTTTAAACCATTAAAAAAAAATTAATATAAAGATAAAATTCTCATATTGTGATAGATTTTTATTGAAATTTAAAAAAAAAATGTAATGATATGCCTTTAGGTTGAAAAACAATGATATATGACGAGAGTCTGATTGCATGCATAATAATAATGTGAAGAAAAAGGGTCTTCCGTTTGGAGGATTAGAAACCAGAGAACCCAACGTGGTGATTACTTTTTATTACTGTGTATGTCTTGTACTGTATATTGTTGTATACATCCGATAAGCAATTCGAAAATCTAATAAAGTCGTCATTTTTTCATATAGATTATTTTTTTAATTAAATTTTTGGAATGGGGAAATAAAGTAAATTAAAACTTAATATTTATTTAGGTTTAAATTTGTTATTTTATTTATTTTTTAATTTAATTGTGGGTTGTTCTATATGACAAAAAAACCCACAGGCACAGGATGGTTTCGTGGTAATTTAAAAGCGATTATTGGCGCTCAAAAAAAATCGGTAATTTCAACACTGTTTCCAGACTTTTTAGTTGTGGCCGCTTTTTAGTTACACTCAACGGTCACATTGGACATTACACATTCGGCGTGTTGCACATTTTCTCTGTTTAATTAAAGTTAAAGACCAAATCACGGTTATATAACAAGATGAACAGCCTGAGAACTGCCACCATGAGATTCGCCAGCCTGGCCAGCTCCAGTGCGGGTTCCTTAGGCAAGCGCGACTTCACCCGCAGCTTGTGGCACATGACCAAAAAGCCGGTGGCCGCCGGAGGATCCGATCATGTAACCGTTCTGAACCTCCACAAGCCCAGCATAAATTGCACGTGCGGCTGCAATGTGCACACCAAATGTAAGTAGTTATCTCAAAAAACTCGTACATGGGTGGTCCATAGAGCTAGTTACATAACCTCAAACGTGGAGTGACGAAATGTCGACTAAAACTCTCAAAATATATTCTCTTGTTCTACCCCAGGCGAGCGAGAGCTGGTGGAGTTCCTTACCGAGGAGATTGTGGCCGAGCGCAAGGTACAGAAGGGCAAGTCGGTTCCCAGCACACTTGATGGGTTTAGCGTGAAGCTGACCGGCGCCGATGTGGAGCTTACCAAGCAGACAGACAAGGAGAAGGTTGTGGTCAGCTTTAATGTAAACCACTCCGTGGACAGCGAGGAGGAGCCCGAAATCAATCCGAATGCCGACAAGCCGGAACTGGGCGAGATGAGGAGCAAGCCCCAGTTCGAAGTCGACATCATCAAGGGAAACTCGACGCTTTCTTTCACCTGCTCCTTCCTGCAAGGCGAAGCTCAAGAGGGCGAGTATAGTGAGTTCCTGGAATGAAGACTTAATTTACCCATTATTAACACCTGCTTTTCCTTTCTTTAAGATGACGTGTTTTCTATTGATGAGATGGCCATCTTTGAGGGCGAATGGAACGACAAAGTCTATGCCGTCGCCGGCGACGTGCTCGATGGCTACTTGTACGACTTGCTAATCAATCTACTGGAGGAGAAGGGCATAAGCCAGGAGTTTGCCGAAAAACTGTCGGACCTAGCCACTGCCCACGAGCACACCTCTTACATTGGTCTGCTGGAAAAACTTTCAAAGTTCACCGCCGGTGGCAAGTGAACATTTATCCACCATAATCTTAAAGCATAAAGTTGTGTAGATTTTTAAGTTTCTACTGTCGGCTGCCGCAGTTTCACCACTTAAAAACGGTTTTGATCAGTTGTGTTTTTGGTTAGCCTGCGGCCGTTAGTTTAGTTTTTAGGCCAGCGAACAATCTACATGTTTCTGGAAAAACGGGAACGGGTGCCAACAATTTGACCTATTTCGGCACTTGCTTCAGGTTTGATTTCATCAAATACAGCGTTAATTACTAAGACTTTGTTCTGTTGTTATTTAAATGGAGTACTGTAAACCACCGTATTTCAAAGCTCTTAAGAATTATCAGTAAGTGGGTAGATTTTTCGTAGATTTTGTTTAATAATATAGACAATTAGCTACAGCTTTCAGTTGCTTCAGAACTGCCTTGAATAAGGCCTGGGATCGTAATCACTTGGTCGATGTCCTCCCCAATCCTCGTGGTTCTTGCAGGCGGCACAGATGACTAGCGCAAGGAGCACAAGAATTGGCAGCAGTTGCATCTTGATTGTTGGAATCTTAACTTTAGACTGGACTGTTGAAGCTAAGGATGCTCCTTTTTATACCGCAGATTTGCCCTGATTATCTCTGCTAAGAGTGATTTCCCTTTTGGGAAGTACGCTTATCTGTTTGTTCTCCGTTGGGATCCACATTTTACTAATACATCTATGTACAACTGAAATATTTACAACAATAAATAATAGTATATAATTAAATCTTTCTGAATTAATTTCAAAAGACTTTTAAATATTACGATATAATAACACTTTATTACATTAATGCATAATAACGACTTTGGTCTTCATTGAAATCCGAAGTCTTCCTGAATATAACATTTTGTAAGCTGGCTATTTAAACTTAATTGTAAAACATTCACTACACAATTTATATACGGATTTAGTGTTCTGGATAAAAGCCATGAAGCTTGACCAAAGCAGATCCTGGTACATGGAAATCAAGGTATATTCAGCCAACTCCTAAGCCGTTCCCCCTCGCAGGTGCCGGCGTTGATGACCGGTAAGACTGCTGGGGACCTGTTCCTGGCCAATTGAGAAATCAAGGCCGTAGCCAGAATACAGAAGTGGAGTTACGGGTCAACTTTTGCTCTTCGGCTGTGATTTTCCGCCGGCACTGTTTGCGTTGTCGTACTCGGAACCCGTGGAATACTCCGATCCGACCTCCCGCAACTCGATCTTCTGTTCCCGCATGGCTCGCTAAAGGTCAAAGGTTGGGTTATCAATTCGGATGATGAAACGCACCGGCTTACCTTGACGCACTCCTGGTAAACTCGGAATATTGGCGCACATCCCGAGTCATCCGTCTGACCCTTTAGGAATCCCTCCGAGAACCAACTGTTGAAACAGGCATCGTATTGCTTCTTCAGCTCATTGCAGTCCTCGCCAATGCTGTTCATTTGTAGGCCAGTTTTTTGTGTTTTATGTTATAATTTGTCTATTGAATAATAAGCCGAAAAAATGTGCAGATGGTTGTTGTGCAAAGGTCATACTAAAGATAAGGCTTATAGCGATGAGGGCAATATAATATCGATAAAGGTTCCGTTGAAATAAAAATCGCAATCGAAATTTGAAAGTTACTTTTTAAGAAGGAATTGATTTATTTAAATAAAATATATTCTGGCAGTTTGGTTATTGGATAATCAGTTGCACATGGTCCCTACGATATCAACAAACGAACTTGTTTACTTAACCTGGTGTTTGATTAACTTTAAGCTGATGCATGCTGGCGAGGATTAGGATTTGCACGCGTTGGGCTTTACTCCTCGTAGATACTTTGTACCGGGGGCTTTTAAAGTTTATCTTGGTTGGTTCTTGTGGAGCAGCAAGTGGGGTCAACTCCTGCCCTTGGTTTGCTGATTTTCGCTGGAACTGCTGGGGTTGTCGCACTCGGAACCCGTCTCAAATATTGGGTCAATCTCCCGCAAATCGATCTTCTTCTCCCGGATGGCTCGCTATAAATCCAAAGTTAGGCCAAGCGTTTTTAAAGTTTAATTATAGTCTTACTTTAACGCAATCCTGATAAACTCGGAAAATGGGCGCGCACGCTGAGTCATCCGTTTGACCTTTTAAGAACCGTTCCGAGAACCAGCTGTTGAAACAAGCATCGTACTGCTTCTTGAGCTCATTGCAATCCTCGCCAACGCTACTCATTTGTATCTTACGTTTAATTGTTCGTTGTAAATATAAAATTTATCTATTAAATAAGAGATCCGAAAAAATGTGACAAAGGTCCGTGGAATGGTAACACTATAGAAAAGGTTTTTAGAGGTGTGAGCAGGTAGGCATATCGATATCAAAAGTTCGTTACAACTTAAATTTTGTTATCGCAATTCAAATCTTACGGTTCACCGAATTTAAATCCGTCGGATACCTTAAAATCTTATTTATGAGCAGATATATTTAAAAAAATTTGAGCGCTCCCCCGATAAAAGCATATGGTTTTCTTTTTCTTGTTTTATGGGGTTTTTTGAGTTTTGGGTTTATACAAAATGTAGTTATCAATATTATCATTTAACGTAATGAGCGCTAAAACAAATTCATGTGGGACTTGGCTACAGCAACATGCAATGTCGACGGATGATGGAACCAGACCTCCGATCCAGTCGGAAACCGAACCGGAGGCCTGACTGCACTTAACCCCACGAGTTTTCCATGGCCATTCCATCTTTAATAGTCGAAGTGTGCTACAAATTTGTTCTGATTAAGTTTTGCTGGTGTTTAAGCTAACGCTCGCTGGAGAGGATTGGGTAGCGGGTGCGCTGGCGTCTACTCCTCGTCGATGGTCTGGACTTGTTGCTGTTGCTGCTGCTGCCTATCTTGCTGGTTCTTGTGGTGTCCGCGCTGTTGATTGCGGTTACGGTTGCGCTCCCGCCGCTGGCCAGGCCAGTTGCCGCCCTGGTTGTTTTGGTTGCGGTTGTAGCCACGATCTCCGCGGTTGCCCATGTTGCCGCGCTGGAAGAAGTTGCCCTGCTTCATATCGAACACCTTCTCGTTGACGTCGACCAAATTGGTCACCTTGTCCACGAACTGCATGGCCAGGGCCTGCAGGCGCGATGGCTCCGAACGGTGCATGACCACGGTCTCTGAAGGATCGTCCAGGCTGGCCATCAGCTCCTCGTTGATAATCATCTTGCTGATGATCGAGTGCACCTTCGGCACGGGAAGCTCGTACATCTGCGCCAGCGAGGGAATGCTGATCGAGGTGTAGACGTTCGAGTAGGTGAACAGGTAGGTGCGCAGCGACTCCTCCTTGATAAACTTGGTCAACATCTCGCGGACGCGATCCGATTCGTAGAACAGGTCCCACACCTTCGTGTTCATTTTCTTGTTGACTATAAAATTGGCGCACGCCTGCCAGTTGCCGCAACGCATTGCCTTGGCGGCGGCCACGACGTGTTCTCGCATCGATTCTGGCGGACCGACCAGGGATTGACGCTCAGACGAACGCAGTTGCTGGTAAAACGTTTTGCTGATCATGCGGCGGCGAGCGTCGAACTCATGGGCTGCGATGTAGGGAATCTCCAGCAGCATGGCGGACACTAGGTAGACGCACTCAAGCAGCTCCAGGTTGATGTGCATGTGGAATGGCATCTGGCGTTGCTTTTCAATCTTCTCCTGCTCTGCGGAACGTTCGTGCTGGCGCTGGGGCAGCAGACCTTGAGCGAGCAACTCCTTGGGCTTTCCGGTAACCATTAAATCCACAAGACAGTGATGGGCATCCTTCACGTTCTCCTGACGGAAGGCGCACAGACCCAGGTTGGCCATCATGCGGTTGTACAGGATGCGGGTGGCCGGATCGGCGGCATCGATGTTGTCCTGCAGGTGAGACATCAGCACCAGATCACGGGCCTGGAACCAGTTGTCGTGCATGGCATGATGGTAGATGTGAGCCAGGATGGCCCGCGTCCTGATACGATCCGTGTCGTCCTTGGCGTAGATGAACTTGCACAGTTTGTCCATTACGTCCACAGAGGTGGTGGTCGTGGCTGGCACCTCGCCGCGTTTCTTTTTCAGCACCTCCGGATCAAACTTGTAGTACAGATGCTCGATCTTGCGCAGATAAATGCGGCAGCGCTCGTTGTTTGTGCCGGCGCGCTCGAAGTACTGCAGTACCAGTTCGATGGTCTTCACCACGTTCACCTCGTCCTTTAGCCGTGATACGTAGTCGTTGGAGTGAGGATCGCATTCCTTCAACAGCTTGACGAACTCATCATCCAAACGCTCAACGGCGGCCAGAGGGCATCCACGAACGTAGAACGGTGAGGTAGTGTACTCCTCATTCTCCTCAGCGACACTCTCGCTCATAACGATGTCCGGATTGGCCAGCAGCAACTTTAACATGCTCTGCATCACCTCCAGCAGGAGGGCCCAGTGCTCCAGCTTCATGGGCTCGGAGATCTTCTGGTTGTAATCGTAGATAGCCGAAATGATGTTAAAGTGGATCTTCACGGAGACAGCGGTTCCAAGGTTGTGCTGGTCTGAGATGTCTCTCAGCTCAAACAGAAGATCGATCTGAAGGCGGCGATCGGTGCGCTTCTTACCACGAGCCGACATGATCTCCAAAAGCTTGGCAAGCACCAGAGGAACGTCAATTTCGGCATCCTTCTCAAACATCTTGGGCTTCTCCACAACATGACCCTTAACAACGGTCTCCCACTCGCCATCCTCATCGTCTTCGGCACGCTTGCGAATCTTGATCTTCTGCTCCTTGCGCTTGTCCTTCCGCTTGTCGTCGTCCTTGTCCTCCTTTTCGGTGGTGCGCTTCAAGAAACGCTCACGCATGTTCTGGTACTGATTCTCGTCATCGGAGGATTCGGTCTCCGACTCGGAATCCGAGTCCCAGTCAATGGAGTCATCGGAATCGTCGTCCTCGGCGGGAGCAGCCTTGGTTGGTGCTAGCTTCGCCGCTTTGGGAGCGGCTTCCGTTGGCTTGGCTTCGACATCGCTATCGTCACCAGCATCTCCACCATCGCTGTCCAACGGCACTACCTCGTCCTCGGCTTCGCTCTCCTGGTCGGGTGCCTCACGGAATCGCGACAAATCGTCCTCGAAGTCTTTGATGTACTTGCGGACTTTCTGGCGCAGCGTGCCTAACGACTTGGAGTTGTTCTTAGACAGGTTTTTCCTGCCCTCGCGATCCTCCCACACCTCGTTGATGAAGTCCTCCAGTTCGGCCAGACAGCGAATGTAAAAGCGCGGAGTGATGCCATTCTCCTCCTTCGAGATGACCGGCAGCGCCTTCTGATACGCGCGCGTTAGCTCCTCGAAGGCAGTCAGAGTATTGGGGATGTCCTTAATTTTCTTGTGGTTGCGGATGGTCTTGATAATGCTTGTGAGGTTCTCGTAGCGTTTCTCCTTCGTGGAGCGTACCACACGCTTGACCTCCTCCTCATCATCGCTGAATTGCTATGCATCCCAAAGAAATAAACCGGAATAAGTAAAATGTAATCGAGGGATGCCTCACATTTGGGCGGTACTCACGAAGGCACTAGCTTTGTTGAAGTTGGTCGCTTGGATCTCCTCCTCGCTGGACTCGGATTCCGAGTCGGACCCATTGGCAAAGAAACGCGACATCTTCGTTAACTTTCTACGAGGGCGTTTGTCTGCGCCTGGAATCACAATTTAGTTTATTAGTTTGGGGCCACATAAGTTTTTGCTTCGGTTGAGGTTATGTTTGAGCGGCCAACATGGCGTTTTGCAAAAAAATTCTGCCAAAGGTTTCTGCATGATTGCAGATTGTTTAATGGAAGGCCTTTAGGAAAATCGGTTTTCCGCCTTGTCATTTTAGTGCTTCTACCACTCGGCTCTCAGTATTTCACAATAAACTTACTATTTTTACAGCAAAACTAAACGATGTCGAATGCACAAGACATCAAAAAGAGAGTTAGAGATGTGCGATGTCTGCATGTGTACTTGTTGGCGATGAATTCGGTGAGATCACGGGATGGAGAACTTAATTTTTTTAATGTGTATAACACTGACAGTAAATTCTTTTTTTGTGATTGGTTAAACAGAATTTATTTAAGATATATTATTTAGTTGTTAAGTGAAAAGATTATTTGGGTTGTAAAAAGTCACTGTCATCCCTAAAAGAGAGAGTGTCAGTATATCGATTACTGGAAGCCGGCATGCCTAGCGAGTTATCGATTGAGCGCAAATAGTTAGGCGGTTTTTTTTTTATATTTTTCTGAAAATAGACAACAAATTAAGTAGTAAATTTATTTTAAAAAGCTGTTATAAAAATAAAGGCGAAAAAAATTGCCCTAGACCGATCAATCCAAGTTCAAGAATAGTTGTTTATCTTTTGCAACATTTCCGCTAGCAACATGTTGCTGCGCCTGCGCGCTAATCAGCCGGCATTTCAGAACCAAACAGAGCGGGGTTTCCCTTGCCAGCCTCTGCCTTTTGGCGCCCCAACCAATCTTCGGATCAATTGTGTGCGTGTGAGTGCTTTTGGCCCGGCCAACATGCAGTCAGGCGGCCAGGAAAAAGCAAATTCAATCCAAACGTTTTCGCGCGCGCCAACAAGTCGCATGCGTTCTCTCCTTCGCTCCGACGGACAGTTCAAGTTCAAAAACAGATTTTTCGGATGTGCTCTGCGATTGGGTAGCGTTGACGCCAATATCCGGCTACAGTGTTTCAAGTGCTTTTGCAGTGCTAAAAAGAATTCAATAAATTTATTTAAATTCTTCCCGTGTGTGCTGTGTGCCCCTTTGCTGTGTAAACAAAATTTGGATTAAGTGTGTTGTGTTTGTGTGTGGCATGTGCTCCTCGTATCCATATCCTGTTTAAGTAGATTCTCAAATGCGGTGGCTTTAATCGCTTGAAAACACGGAAAACACTTTAACGCAAATGTAAGCATAATAAATAATAATTGCAGATTGATGTAAATGTGTTTATCGGCGGTGTCGGAAATGGCAAATTAAAAATTGATCAGTTAATCTCACGAAATCGCTTTTTGCTGGCTTTCTGACAGCTGACATTCGAGTCTGCATATGGTCGATTTATTTTCCAAAAATATTGATGAGGCTTCCATAAATTCCGTGCCCGCGTATCGACATTGAATCTGTAAAAAGTTCGTGAAAAATGCGGGTTTCCGGTCCTTGACTGCTCCTAAACTGCAGTTTAACTCGTAAATCGTGAGTGGGTGGTGGGCTTCATGCGTTTACATTTAAATCGACAAAAACAGGCTAGTTTTTCTGGGGTTTCCTGTCCTGTTTCCTTTTCGTTTAGGTGCTGTTTATTTTGCTTCCGCCTTCCGTTTGCATACGGCTTGTGTTGCTCCATAAATCCTGAATATGGGTTGCAATTTTCTAAACCAGCCCCCTGGAACTGGGCATTGAAATTTCCATTTTAATGCAATTTTTGCATGTTGATGGATTTCCTGTTGATTGTGTATTGAATTCCCATGTTGGGTTACGTAATTTCAATAAATAATTTCGGATAACTGTTCTATCATTCGAAAGGAAACATTTGCTAACATTTCAATTTATTTTGTGTTTACCAAAAGTGTTGCATACGTATTCGCTTAATTTTACAGAAACGTAAAAATTAAGTTCAAATACTTTGGCTGTGTTAACTGAATAGTTACACACTTATCTTTTTTTATATAGCTATATAATAATACCTATTTAACAAAAAATCATCTTGAAATTGTTCGATATCCTTTTTTTCTGTGCACAGTAAACGCTGGATATATCTCATTTCACTTTAGTGTATGCAGCCGTAAAGATTCAGTCACCACCAGAATCTTGGCTCATGTTTTATTCGAGGATTTTGGTAACACCCTTTTCATGCTGTGCACACTTGGCCGCAAGACAGAAACTACCAAGTTAATGAAAACCAGAAAAAACAGAACAAACCGAAACAACACAACCCGAAGGAAAATGCAAAGAACTGAAAATTGGCGGGGAGCAAATGGAAACCCCAAAAATGCATCGGAGCCGCGTGCCATTTATTAGCTTTGGCAGCTGGAGGAGCTAACTGCCTGGCTTAAATGGGCCATTAACAAAACCTACATGACAGGGAATACTTCTGGGGGAAAATATACTGCAGGCTTATGGAAAATTTACGTTGCCTCTTGACCTAATCGCTCAAGTTGTCTATATCGCTCGCTATCTAAATATATCAACGAGGCGTGCTTCTGGACACGATCCGTTAATCCATCGAGTTCATTGAGTAAGTTTGTTTACAATTAGCCGACGCGACAGCATTAAACAAAAACGATGTCGACGAGCGCCTGTAAACAAAATACCTGAATATTGTACGGAAACATATGTGAAAAGTTTCGTGAATGTTATTTTATTGGATGGATTGATTTAAGGTGTCTACAAAATTTAACAATACCTGCACCTTGCCAAATTTTCGTTGGCAAAACTTACAAAAACAGAAACAAATGGCGAGAAGCCGCGCGGAGCAAATACATTTTACTTTCTCGATTTATCGACTGCTTATCTGCGAAAAGGCCAAGTTTACACATTATTTAGCGGGGCCGGAAAACGACTTTAAGGGATAAATATACAAATGAACAAATGAAATCGCTTAGATAAGGCTTTTTGCCCCCCAGAAGTCCACCTCATAAACATGTTTATTACACCGAATTTATGTATTTGGGTTACCTTTGATTTATGCTAGCAACGAATTGATATGCATCTTCCGCGTTTATTCCTCGCTTTGTTTCTAGCCGGGAACTCAGAAACCGCACCCACGTCGATATCCCGCCCGTTTTTACCCCACAACCTCGAGGTCACCGCGGATCTGCCAAGAAAAACTAATTTCGCCCTGCTAATACATACGAATGACAGTCATTTAATTTCTATGAGTCATAAATTTTTATAATGCGCATACGCCGGGTGTGCGCGTCACAGTCGGAGCTGAAAGTAAAGCGGCGAACAATTGCACCTAATTAGCTGGAAACGGAGCTGGATTCACGGCACACACTGTTTGCAGTTAATCAAGGTGGAGAACGGCGAAGGAAAGTCTGGGCAAACTTTAATTGAAATGTAAGATAGTTCGGTGCTTTCTTTTGTTTTACTTGGAAGGCAAAGTTGGCTTGGCCAAACACAACACGTCGGCCAATGATTTTGTTTGCCCGACACTTCAAGTGCTGGATCCGAGCGGTCGAAACTGTCATTTCTGCCTGGATTCTCGAGTCCCGGTCAAGTTGTTGTTTGTTTTTTCGGGGAGCGGGACAGAGATGATCCCAAAACCAATGCCAATCACCACAAAACACCCGAGTAATGATGCGGAACTTTTCAAGTGCCTTTGTCTCTCACTTCTGGCTTTTCCTTTCACTTTTCCCCGCCTTTTGTTCGAAGGACTCTGGACATTGACAGCAAAGTTGTCAGCCTGATTCAAATCTTTTCCTGGAAAGTTATTAGCAAAGGACAAAGGCAAAGATGTCCGATGTGTCTGCAAATGGCAATTATTTAATTGTTTCCGTTCGTTCGGGTAAAGAAAAGACATCTTTTCAAAGATAAAGTAATTTCTAAAAATAAATAAAGTAAGTCAACCAAATATTATTAAGGAAAAGGTTTTCTTTTTCGTTTCCTCAAAGTACTCCTTTCGCTTAACTTTGCTTCCGCGAATTGTTATAATTCTTTTAAGGATTCCATGCTCTTTGGTAATAAAGCTGTTGCAAGAGCTGAAGGCAAACTGCAGTTCAGCCCCTCTGCCAATCCGAGGAGTGCATCACCATTTAGCCAAGTCGAAAGCGAGTCCGATGTGCAATTAGCATTATTAGGTTGTGCGTAACACGAAACCGCAATTCCCGCGTTGCACAAAGGTTGAATTTTAAATGGTTTATTCCCATTTCCGAGTTTTTCCTCTCCGACTTGCGAAATGCTAAAAGTTATGCATATTTGTACTTGTGTGCCATCTCATTAATTAAGTAACTGGAAGGGAAACAGACGTTTTTAGCACTATTGCCCCAAGCTGCTCTTGGGAGGAGCGTTTCTGATAGCGCTCACGCTTCGAATTAATTAATGCTGAGCGTTTTCCGCTTCTAATATGAAAAGTGTGCGATGTCTCAGTTCTTGGCAGAAAATTAATTTATTGCTTCGAAGTCTTAGGAAATTTAATTTCGGTATTCCATTAAAGCGTGGAAATCTGGAGATTATTGTTTGCCACAACTTTGATTACTTTTGAGGCAGAGCTAAGCTTTTAAAGCCGAGTTAAGATTTCAGAGGTAGAATACTTTATATTACCTAATCTCTTTTGGTTTAATTTATTTAAATCGCTTGAACAAGCACTTATAGAACGCAATGTTTATTTTCAACGAGTTAGGAAACAAAAGAAGTTAGATTAGTTCTAAAATAAATACAATTATAGAAATCAGTCACGTGCGATGCGCCTATTGTTTTGCCAAAATCACTTCGCTGGAAACCAACAAGCGGAATCCGAATCACTGGGAAATGATTAAAATTGCATAGGCGAAACTGAAACAGAATTTTCCGCATTTTTCACGAGTGAAAACACGCCCCCATCTGCCATTTGTTTTCCACATTTAATGAGCTCGCCGAGGGGAAGTTAGCACCTCATGTAAGCTGTCATGTAATTTAATATAAGGCGCCTTCTCTTGACACCAGCACACCAGTGCCACACCAACCAGATCCCGGCTGCAGGACCCAGGAACGGGCAACACCCAACCAATTAACTGTGGGCCATTGTGCACAAAATGGCCCGTGACGGGGCGAAATGCCGAAAGCCGAAAGCCGGGCCAAAACCCCGGGCCGAAAGCAAGAAGTCGGGGGCGGGAGACAAATTACAAAATGAAAATGATATATGTGCTGATGTCGGGGGCAGGATGGATTGGGGCATAAGTGCGGCGTGTCCGTCAGTCAGTCAAATTTATGTGTCGAGGAGTTGACGTCCCCGCCCCCGCCCCCCTCAATTGCCCCTTCCCCCCGTCAATAGCCACTCCCCCAAGATCCCTTCGGTCCACCAGCTGTTGCTGAATAATGAAGCCGCTCTACGCTCTACACCCATCAAAGAAATGTCAACAAACTACGAAAAGACCAGAAAAAAACAAGCGAAAATTAAGAGCTTTGGGGGAATGCTGAATTATGCAAAGTGGTTGGCATTGGGGCAAAAAATAAAATGTAAATTAATGAGTAGCAGGGATGTAGGAGGAAACAATTTGTCAGCATTTGAGAAATTGAACGCAAATCATTTATAGGCGTCTTGATGTTGGCAGGAAAGACAGAGTATATTACCTTTTACTGGGGATTAGTAAGTTCTTAAACGAACTGCGAGTTTTCCAAATATTCAATGCTTTTCAGCATAGTGACCCAAAACTGGACTTCCAGTACCCATAACTTTGTCAATTTTGATCCGATTCCAAAGTAGCACACCTCTAAACGTTTTTAATCGCATCCCTGATAAAACTACATTCAAAGGTTTTCATTTTGGGATGGTTAAAATTTTTACCTCTGTTCATGTCAGATTTGTTCAAGTTTTGCCAATAGGAGAAATAAAAAAAATAACTCTTACATTTTCAGGAAAACAAACACAGAGTATCTCACATTCTTCTAGGACAAACCATTCGAAAATTACTTTGTTTATTTTAAATTGTCATTTACAGCTACCAAAGCTCTTGTCCAGCGGACTTTATGTGCGACATCCATTACTCAAGTGTATAAATCAAGTGTCGGACATTCCATTTGTACGTGCGAAGGACTCTTCCGCCCTCCGAAAAATTCAACTATAGGAAAAAGCGAAACGAGACGAAAAATTGGCACTTTTTATCGGGCAATTAGTCCTCGTAAAGGGCAGAAACAGAAAGTAACCTCGAGAACCCAGTAGAAAGTGATTAAGCCAAATGGGTAAACCGAGTAAAGTGAAATGCAATAAAAGA